TATACTACTCAACAGAACAAGGCCTTGATAGTTAACTATAGTCATATATACTACTCAACAGAACAAGGCTTTGATAGTTAACTATAGCCATATATACTACTCAACAGAACAAGGCCTTGATAGTCAACTATAGCCATATATACTACTTAACAGAACAAGGCCTTGATAGTTAACTATAGTCATATATACTACTCAACAGAACAAGGCTTTGATAGTTAACTATAGTCATATATACTACTCAACAGAACAAGGCCTTGATAGTTAACCATAGTCATATATACTACTTAACAGAACAAGGCTTTGATAGTTAACTATAGCCATATATACTACTCAACAGAACAAGGCCTTGATAGTTAACTATAGTCATATATACTACTTAACAGAACAAGGCTTTGATAGTTAACTATAGCCATATATACTACTCAACAGAACAAGGCCTTGATAGTTAACTATAGTCATATATACTACTCAACAGAACAAGGCCTTGATAGTTAACTATAGTCATATATACTACTCAACAGAACAAGGCCTTGATAGTTAACTAGTCATATATACTACTGAACAGAACAAGGCCTTGATAGTTAACTATAGTCATATATACTACTCAACAGAACAAGGCCTTGATAGTTAACTATAGTCATATATACTACTCAACAGAACAAGGCCTTGATAGTTAACTATAGCCATATATACTACTCAACAGAACAAGGCCTTGATAGTTTACTATAGTCATATATACTACTTAACAGAACAAGGCTTTGATAGTTAACTATAGCCATATATACTACTCAACAGAACAAGGCCTTGATAGTTTTACTATAGTCATATATACTACTCAACAGAACAAGGCCTTGATAGTCAACTATAGTCATATATACTACTCAACAGAACAAGGCCTTGATAGTTAACTATAGTCATATATACTACTCTACAGAACAAGGCCTTGATAGTTAACTATAGTCCATATATACTACTCCAACAGAACAAGGCCTTGATAGTTAACTATAGTCATATATACTACTCAACAGAACAAGGCCTTGATAGTTAACCATAGTCATATATACTACTTAACAGAACAAGGCTTTGATAGTTAACTATAGTCATATATACTACTTAACAGAACAAGGCTTTGATAGTTAACTATAGCCATATATACTACTCAACAGAACAAGGCCTTGATAGTTAACTATAGTCATATATACTACTTAACAGAACAAGGCTTTGATAGTTAACTATAGCCATATATACTACTCAACAGAACAAGGCCTTGATAGTCAACTATAGTCATATATACTACTCAACAGAACAAGGCCTTGATAGTTAACTATAGTCATATATACTACTCAACAGAACAAGGCCTTGATAGTTAACCATAGTCATATATACTACTCAACAGAACAAGGCCTTGATAGTTAACTATAGTCATATATACTACTTAACAGAACAAGGCCTTGATAGTTAACTATAGTCATATATACTACTCAACAGAACAAGGCCTTGATAGTTAACTATAGTCATATATACTACTCAACAGAACAAGGCCTTGATAGTTAACTATAGTCATATATATACTACTCAACAGAACAAGGCCTTGATAGTTAACTATAGTCATATATACTACTCAACAGAACAAGGCCTTTGATAGTTAACTATAGTCATATATATACTACTCAACAGAACAAGGCCTTGATAGTTAACTATAGTCATATATACTACTTAACAGAACAAGGCCTTGATAGTTAACTATAGTCATATATACTACTCAACAGAACAAGGCCTTGATAGTTAACTATAGTCATATATACTACTTAACAGAACAAGGCTTTGATAGTTAACTATAGCCATATATACTACTCAACAGAACAAGGCCTTGATAGTTAACTATAGTCATATATACTACTTAACAGAACAAGGCTTTGATAGTTAACTATAGTCAACAGAACAAGGCTTTGATAGTTAACTATAGCCATATATACTACTCAACAGAACAAGGCCTTGATAGTTAACTATAGTCATATATACTACTCAACAGAACAAGGCCTTGATAGTTAACTATAGTCATATATACTACTCAACAGAACAAGGCCTTGATAGTTTACTATAGTCATATATACTACTCAACAGAACAAGGCCTTGATAGTTAACTATAGTCATATATACTACTCAACAGAACAAGGCCTTGATAGTTAACTATAGTCATATATACTACTCAACAGAACAAGGCCTTGATAGTTAACTATAGTCACATATACTACTCAACAGAACAAGGCCTTGATAGTTAACTATAGTCATATATACTACTCAACAGAACAAGGCCTTGATAGTTAACTATAGTCATATATACTACTCAACAGAACAAGGCCTTGATAGTTTACTATAGTCATATATACTACTCAACAGAACAAGGCCTTGATAGTTAACTATAGTCATATATACTACTCAACAGAACAAGGCCTTGATAGTTAACTATAGTCATATATACTACTCAACAGAACAAGGCTTTGATAGTTAACTATAGTCATATATACTACTCAACAGAACAAGGCCTTGATAGTTAACTATAGTCATATATACTACTCAACAGAACAAGGCCTTGATAGTTAACTATAGTCATATATACTACTCAACAGAACAAGGCCTTGATAGTTAACTATAGTCATATATACTACTGAACAGAACAAGGCCTTGATAGTTAACTATAGTCATATATACTACTCAACAGAACAAGGCCTTGATAGTTAACTATAGTCATATATACTACTCAACAGAACAAGGCCTTGATAGTTAACTATAGTCATATATACTACTCAACAGAACAAGGCCTTGATAGTTAACTATAGTCATATATACTACTCAACAGAACAAGGCCTTGATAGTTAACTATAGTCATATATACTACTCAACAGAACAAGGCCTTGATAGTTAACTAGTCATATATACTACTGAACAGAACAAGGCTTTGATAGTTAACTATAGTCATATATACTACTCAACAGAACAAGGCCTTGATAGTTAACTATAGTCATATGTACTACTCAACAGAACAAGGCTTTGATAGTTAACTATAGCCATATATACTACTCAACAGAACAAGGCCTTGATAGTTAACTATAGTCATATATACTACTCAACAGAACAAGGCCTTGATAGTTAACTATAGTCATATATACTACAGAACAAGGCCTTGATAGTTAACTAGTCATATATACTACTGAACAGAACAAGGCCTTGATAGTTAACTATAGTCATATGTACTACTCAACAGAACAAGGCCTTGATAGTTTACTATAGTCATATATACTACTCAACAGAACAAGGCCTTGATAGTTAACTATAGTCATATATACTACTCAACAGAACAAGGCCTTGATAGTTTACTATAGTCATATATACTACTGAACAGAACAAGGCTTTGATAGTTAACTATGATATATACTACTCAACAGAACAAGGCCTTGATAGTTTACTATAGTCATATATACTACTCAACAGAACAAGGCCTTGATAGTTAACTATAGTCATATATACTACTCAACAGAACAAGGCCTTGATAGTTAAATATAGTCATATATACTACTCAACAGAACAAGGCCTTGATAGTTAACTATAGTCATATATACTACTCAACAGAACAAGGCCTTGATAGTTAACTATAGTCATATATACTACTCAACAGAACAAGGCCTTGATAGTTAACTATAGTCATATATACTACTCAACAGAACAAGGCTTTGATAGTTAACTATAGTCATATATACTACTCAACAGAACAAGGCTTTGATAGTTAACTATAGTCATATATACTACTCAACAGAACAAGGCCTTGATAGTTAACTATAGTCATATATACTACTGAACAGAACAAGGCCTTGATAGTTAACTATAGTCATATATACTACTCAACAGAACAAGGCCTTGATAGTTTACTATAGTCATATATACTACTCAACAGAACAAGGCCTTGATAGTTAACTATAGTCATATATACTACTCAACAGAACAAGGCCTTGATAGTTAAATATAGTCATATATACTACTCAACAGAACAAGGCCTTGATAGTTAACTATAGTCATATATACTACTCAACAGAACAAGGCCTTGATAGTTAACTATAGTCATATATACTACTCAACAGAACAAGGCTTTGATAGTTAACTATAGTCATATATACTACTCAACAGAACAAGGCTTTGATAGTTAACTATAGTCATATATACTACTTAACAGAACAAGGCTTTGATAGTTAACTATAGTCATATATACTACTCAACAGAACAAGGCCTTGATAGTTAACTATAGTCATATATACTACTCAACAGAACAAGGCTTTGATAGTTAACTATAGTCATATATACTACTCAACAGAACAAGGCTTTGATAGTTAACTATAGTCATATATACTACTCAACAGAACAAGGCCTTGATAGTTAACTATAGTCATATGTACTACTCAACAGAACAAGGCCTTGATAGTTACCTATAGTCATAGAAACAATCAGGTGTTCTTTCATTTCTTTTGAGTAGTATAAAATCACTGAAGTCAGTCTTTTGTACTGACAACATAGATATCAGTTTGTGACATCCTGAATAATAGAGGAAATGTCACTGATGATACTTTGATGAGATACTATGACATGAGTGAGTGAGTTTAATTTTACACCGCACTCAGCAATATTCCAGCTATATGGTGGCGGACTGTAAATAATCGAGTCTGGACTACACAATCCAGTGATCAACAGCATGAACATCGATCTGAGCAATTTGGAACCGATGACATGTGTCAACCAAGTCAGCGAGCCTGACCACCCAATCCCGTTAGTTGCCTCTTACGACAAGCATGGGTTACTGAAGGCTCATTCTATCCTGGACCTTCACGGGTGCTATGACATGATGTTACTTCAACTCACCAATCAGTTTAAAGAATCAACAAAGTGGGGAAATACATTGTAGGTTTAGGTAGTTAGGTTCTAAAAACAATCGTTACTCAACATTTACATACCATGGAAATATTTATATATATATATGCTGACTCACCTTTGTGCTTGCTGAATCGTCTAATTTTCTCACAAAAGTCTTCCTGCCCTACATTCTTTTGATCAACTCCAGTGTCTGTCATGAGTCTGAAACAGCCAAGCCATCACACCATCTTTGATTATTGAGTGTCTTTTAATATGACACCCCAATCAGCAATATACCATATGACATAAATAATTATGTCTGGATCAGAATATCGAGTTAATGATTTTGTCAGCAATGATCCTCGCCATTCTGGTACACTGACACAATCCACCTTTTCTCCACATCTGGGTGGCGTTTCACAAAGCTATCGTTACGCTACAACTGTTGTCCATCCTGTACTGTAACATAGACTTAGGACAGTCGTAGCGCTACGATAGCTTTGTGAAACGGGGCTCTGGTCCTTTTGGTTGAGCCTATTGGGTAGCTGCTTCTCATGACAACCTGGAGATGCTGGGGATCGATTCTGATCTAGAATCTTCATCTGGTCAATATACAGTAGCACTCATGACATTGAGTAAACTGTCTTGCAGATATCATAAACTCACCTTGATGCTATATGATAAGACTCTGGATGTATGGAGGTCATATCTAGCGGATTTGGCGTACAATCAGTTTCTGATTTCTTCTTTTTGGCGGACCCTTTTGATGAGCCAGCTTTCCTCTTCCTCCCTTTGCCTGATGGGCCTGCTGCCTCAGCTTCAGCATCCTCATCTGGCCTAGATAGCATATCGTATAAAGTAATGGGGTATAAATCCTATATACTATAAACATGCTGCAATACTAACTCTAACATTAAGGTGCAGAGACAAATTTGTTTGTTATTTGTTTTCAGTTTGTAATTGGAAAACTTCTCCCAAATAGTTATATTTTATGTTCTTAATTATCAATATCCCGAGAAGATGGCAATGGCAACTGGCAATGCTTAATTCATTGAAACCACTTAAAATAGATTTTACCAACCCTAACAAGATGTAGAATGAAGTGGAACAACCCTAACTACATTGACTTTCCCACCACTTACCTCTTTCCCTCCAAACTGAAGTGGAACAACCCTTGCTCCACCATTGACTTTCCCACCACTTACCTCTTTCCCTCCAAACTATAGTGGAACAACCCTAACTACATTGACTTTCCCACCACTTACCTCTCTCCCTCCAGACTAAAGTGGAACAACCCTAACTACATTGACTTTCCCACCACTTACCTCTCTCCCTCCAGACTGAAGTGGAACAACCCTAACTACATTGACTTTCCCACCACTTACCTCTCTCCCTCCAGACTGAAGTGAAACAACCCTAACTACATTGACTTTCCCACCACTTACCTCTCTCCCTCCAGACTGAAGTGGAACAACCCTAACTACATTGACTTTCCCACCACTTACCTCTCTCCCTCCAGACTAAAGTGGAACAACCCTAACTACATTGACTGGTGGAACAACCCTAACTACATTGACTTTCCCACCACTTACCTCTCTCCCTCCAGACTAAAGTGGAACAACCCTAACTACATTGACTTTCCACCACTTACCTCTCCCTCCAGACTAAAGGGCTGTAATGATGCATCAAACTATCGATGGATTACAATTGTTGAGTCTCCGACAGCAATTAATCAATGGTAGAAACAAAAAACTATCTATGCATTGATTATATGTGTGACTATCGATAGTTTAGTAATTGACTTCCGTTGGTACATGCGCAGCGCAAAATACAGGAAGTACCAGATTCGTTCACTTTGATTTTAGAATTATCCGCCCCGTTACCTCTTTAACACACTTGATCTGGATTTCAAGTTTCTTGTCAGTTATTAAAAGATACTGAAACTACTTCTACTTCTTTTTATTTCATATAAATTATACATTCATTTGGGAAATGATTTCAGATGAGACACTTCGAGTATTGCAATAGTTGGTGGCAATAGACTATCGCAATAGTATGTTGCAACAGACTATCGCTATCGCAATAGTTGTTTACCCCTCAATAGTCACCCCTACCTCTCTCCCTCCAGACTGAAGTGGATCAATCCTTACTCCATCACAATACTTACCCCTCTCCCAGCCGATTAAAGTCATGCAGCACTCGGATGAAGCCAGCACACTGCTCGTACCCCTTCTGACCCAAGCCCTTGAGACCCAGCAGCTGCTCTCGACTAACAAATGCTCCATTCTTCTCTCGCCACTCAAGGATCTTCTTTGCCTTGGTAGCATTCAGCCCTGCAATCCTCCTGAAACACATACACATGCACCTATGTAACATAGTCGGTCATTGTGGTGCTTACACTAAGCTGACAATTTCCATTAAATTAACATCATCAGAAAATAGTATCCATGACAACTGAGTGGCTGAATGTTTTACATCAATTTTACAGCTGGCTGACCAGTGATAGACAGCATCAACTCCAAGGAGGCAGTGTGACCCATAACAACAAGGTCTCACAATGGTGAACTGAATCCTCATCCGATAGGTCTTGTGTTTAGAATAGAATAGAATAGAATAGAATAGAATAGAATAGAATAGAATAGAATGAATAGGAATAGAATAGAATAGAATAGGAATTGTGTTTAGAATAGAATAGAATAGAATAGAATGCCTTTTCAGGAATTTGTGTTATGTCAGCAGAGCTACTGACACATAAGAGAGATACCAAACTATTTACATAAATTCTTCGATTTAGGTATCTTCACATTTGTTTAAGAGAGATATGGTACTTGGAATAAAGGATGTACGGGCTCTCTTAGTTTTCACAATTGGAACTTTGTAGCAGCGGCCTGAAGGGAGGAGGTTGTATTCCGAATTTAAGTAGTGAGTACGGTCAGATATGATTTTGATAGCTTGATTCACGATTTGCCGCTAAACACATGGGTATAGATGCCTACCCCAACATCCCCACACAAATTATTGATCAACTCAAAACACATTTAGAAAAATTAATGAATTTCATTTTCATCCAAGTCAACAACTTATGAGAGAAATGGATTATGAAGATACAGAAGATAATATTGTCTGACATAATATAATAATTGACAATCGATCGAGTAATCTTTAAAAAAGAATATATATGGGGACAGTTTTGTTTTGTGATTATTAATCAGTCAGGCTGGGACTGGAGGTACAGACTCACCTTAGTAGACACTCGCTGCCGGTGTTGATATCCACACCAACGAAGCTGACACACTCCTCCACCACCGAATCTAAAGCTGTCTTCAACTTGCTCTCTGCGATGTCATGCTATGAAACACATCACACAAAGTAAAGCATTCTAAATCTCTTAGAACATACAAAGAAAATAGATGGTCTTCAAACACATAGGATCTAATCTGTTGTAGTATTCGATGAACACTTAATTAAACTAAAGGCCCTCTGATATTTTTTATTCAGTGCTGCAGCCAGGATTTCCAAGGAAGGGGCTAGTTGAACCCTACCTTTAGAAAATGTGGGCCAATAACCAAAAGTGAAAAAATGTGTAATCCTTCTCTTTGACATTTTGACAGCCAAAAAGCTCTGTCCAGCAAAACGAGCTCCTTACAGCGATTCATATTACAGTTTGTATGCAAATAGATGTACTAACAATGTGCAGAGTTTAGGAAGCCTTGTTTTAAATTCGGAAGTTTCAATATTTTGATTTTGATTTCCGAATGTTTGACATCCCTTTCAATGAAAATAGTCGTAGTTTGAAATTAATTACGCGCCCGATATATAAAAACGTGTTATGAATAATAAATTTGCACCATTGTTCGTGCATACATTTATAAATAAAGCATCAAGGTAAGTACAATTAGCAGCAATCCCTCAATTACGCAGTCTGGTGGCAGCACTGTTATTGGTACAGGCCAAAGGTCAGGTGAGGTGAAATGGGGTTTAACATCGTACTATTTCTCTCATATGATGACGTGCATGCGTGTGTGTGTATGTGCGGCTGCTTGTACTAGCCCAGACTTTAGCTGGTTTTATAGTGCAAGCGCACTGAGATACCATGCCGCAGTTAAGCATGACTACCCCACTCGGACACATTATACTGACAAGTACCATATTTTAACGTCTTTTGGTATGACATGGCTGGAGATCGAACCCGCGACCTCCTGCTCTCCAGTTGGACGCTCAAACCACTACACCACAGAGGCGGTCACAGGCCAAAGGACCATCAGTTATATCAACCCATAGTTCATGTCTTCCCAGAGCCTACAGATGAGCTAAGCATAAATATGGACAGATAACAGTGATTAGATCAGGTGAAGTTTTACCCTGCAAACACCTATACATAGCTCACCTGATACATCCCCACACCAATATGTTTGGGTTCAATTTTGACAAACTCTGCCATGGGATCCTGCAGTCGTCTTGCTATGGAAACTGGAAACAGGAAACCACACATAAAAGACATTTATGATCAAGGGGGGATACAGCTTTTAGAAATAGAGGGGGTGCACACTCTTGAGACAGTGGGTTGGGGTGGGGTGCACACTTCATTTTCACGGGTCATTTAATAAACTTTCAGGACAAAAGGGGGGCCTGCACACACACACACACACACACACACACACACACACACACACACACACTCTCTGGATCCGCCTATGATGATATAATAACATGTCAGGTACTTGTAACACCTCAATGGTTGAGCCAAGATCAATCAGGGATTCTATGATCTTTGATGTTTCACATCAAAGGATGATCATTATGTACTATGACTATGAACAAACATAATGAATAATTAAGAAGGTAGACTTGTATAGATATCACCCCATTCTACTTCAGCAGCTAAGTATTGTAATGAATAAACAGATGAAGCCTCAGATAAATAGGGCGGCATCCCTTGATGACAAAAACATGAAAGTGTATGTGACAGCATATCAACCACTTTATATAAAAAAGAAAAGTTTCACAAATTAGACAAATCAGCAACCAGCTAGACACCTGACACAGATTCCTTATTTACAGACAAGGAGGAGTCATCACGGAGGTGGATCCTTCATCTTTGAGTGACTGAGTTTAGTTTTACGCCGCTTTTAGCAATATTCCAGCAACATCACGGCAGGGGACACCAGAAATGGGCTTCACACATTGTACCCATGTGGGGAATCGAACCCAGGTCTTCGGCGTAACGAGCAACCACTTTAACCACTTGGCTACCCCACCACCCCCTTTGATCTTTGAATCCAAGGGTGGAGTTAACATGTGGAGTTTCTGAAAGATAAGACTGCCCATCCCTGCAAACCTCCTCTGAATCTGACATTGCAATGATGATGGTCGGTGCAGGTTTTCCTCTTTCACACGACCAAGCCTTATTACAGTGCTTCTTATAATAGTGTTATTTTTAAGACTAGTTTATATCTGTTTTAAGCAGAGGTAAATGACCCACCTGCTCCTCTGAGTGTTGGGTCAAGGTCAGGTAACTCTCGCTGGGCCTCATCTGACACGCTGTAGATGGACGCTCCACACTCGTCTACAATGCTAGAAAACAAAACTGGATGCCTACATGCAAAGACCGGGTGAGAAAAAGAGTTTTTATCATGATATTGTAGAAGGGCATGGGGTCATCCTACAGATGACATCCTTACCTTGCGAGCTTTCTGATGAGGTTAAACGTTTTGATCATGTTGACACTACTATCTCACCTATATCATGACAGCCAGAGTTCACCTGTGAAGATCTGGGATAGAATTAGTCTTCAGCATCCATGCTTGTCGTAAAGGGTGACTAACAGGATTGGGTGGTCAGGGTCACTGACTGGGTTGACACGTCATCGTATCCCAATTGCGTAGATTGATGTTCATGCTGTTGATCACTGGATTGTCTGGTCCAGACTCGATTATTTACAGACGGCCGCCATATAGCTGGAATATTGCTGAGTGCAGCGTAAAACTAAACTCACTCACTCACTCACTCATTTCATGAGTCCATACAGGAATTGATGAGGGTCAGGTAAAGTAATTAAATTGTTAGGACTGGATATTGCCCTGATTTTCATATTGCGATATATTGCTATAACTTAAGAGATATTGCAATACATACTGGGATATATTGACTGGAAGGTTTCTGCCCAAGTACATCATAAATTCATAATAGCTCTCTGTGTGCGACATCGTCTTCTTAGTTGCTGCTACACCATACTTTCAGGCTCCCCGTCCCCATTGTGTATGGGTGTATGCCAATCGTTTACAGATAAATAAAATGATATAGAGTCTTAACGTGGAATGTTTCATTGAAGTAACTGTATTGCAACAGAGTTTTGCGAACATAATGATAGAGGTAATCGTATAACATGATTTTCATGGTCAGTTTTGTTTGCTTCTACAGAATGCACTTCAATGCAGTATGTAATTATTGTTACTGTTTGTCAGTGATTCGTTCAGATTCAACTCCAATATAAACATGTGTTAACATGAACTATTGCAAAATGAACCTAAAACATGATTTAATTGAACTACTTGAGCATAAAATCTCATGTGACCTCCAATTACTAAGATCCTTGACTAGAATGTCATTATACAGTCCTACAAAATTTATAAGGCTTTGGCCTTTAATATAAATTGATGTCATATGTCCCATTATGAAACAAAAAAAAATAACAAAGTAGTGTGAATTGTGAAATAGTCACTCAGAGGCCAGAGTCTCTACTAACAAGTCCAAATAAAAAAATGGCCAATTTGAGGCCACTTAACTACTCCAAATAAAACCATTGAAACCCACAAAACGTAATGCATTTGGTAGAACTTTTGGAGCCACTTATAATGACACTTCCACTTGTAATATGTAACATGAAACCAACAGAAATAAAAATATATTTGGCACTTTTAGATCACATTTTTTTGCTATGAAAATCAAGGGAAGATAATTCAAAGGGAGCTAACTCTGGATGACCCAATATATTGCAGAATCTGAACCATTTCGCGATAATTGTATCGCGAGATACTGTACCGGTATATACCAGTTTACCGGTAATATTGCACAGCCCTATAAATTGTGCTGTGTACTGTCCTGTACAATTTCATAATTTCTTTCATTATAAGATCTTTCATGTTAAAATTTGGTACAGTTCATATTACAGTACATCTTGAGGGACGAACCATATTATTTTCACTACATCCATTCAACTAATTATAAAGATTTGGGAAGCATGCTTCTTCAAACTCTGATCTATGGGATGACTGGAGTCAGTGAGTGAGTGAGGGAGTTGGGTTTTACACCACTTTTAACTATTCCAGCAATATCACAGCGGGGACACCAAAAATGGGTTTCACACAGTGTACCCATGTGGGGAATCGAACACGGGTCTTTGGCATGACGAGCAAACGCTTCAACCACGAGGCTACCCCACCACCCCAAATGACTCCAGGCACTGCCGTGTCTACATTGTCATAATGTGAAGCTGTTAATACTGTTCACCCACCAGTACATGACCTGCATCTCCCCGAACGCCTTCCCCTGGATGAGGCCAGAAACATACTCCTCCGTCTGTCGACACGCCACACCATTCCCAATGGCTATCATCTCACACCTGCAAAGTGATGTGAATAAACCTGAGAAGTAGTGTCTTCTGATGACATGCACCTGACAAGTAATGTCTTGTGATAACATACACCTGAGAAGTGTCTTCTGATAACATGCACCTGACAAGTAGTGTCTTCTGATAACATGCACCTGACAAGTAGTGTCTTCTGATACCATACACCCGACACGTGTAGTGTCTTCTGATTGCATAAACCCGACATGTATTGTCTTCTGATAGCATACACCCGACAAGTAGTGTCTTCTGATAGCATACACCTGACAAGTAGTGTCTTCTGATAGCATACACCCGTCAAGTAGTGTCTACTGATAACATGCATCTTAGAAGTGTCTACTGACTAGCATCACAGTATAGATAGTTATATATCTCTCCATAACATCCTGTACAAGATTAATCCATAACATTTGGACAGACAGACAGAGACAAGAGACAGACAGACAGACAGACAGACAGATAAATAACATTGTTGAGATGTTTTTAGGATAATAGTTTTTACTGGAAAGGTTGTGAGTTATTCCCTTGGAAGCACGATGCCTGAAATAATGATACTTTCAAGAAACTGTAGCTGTCTATATTCCTTCTTTTCAATTATCCTATGATGGGATTTTTCCAATATGGCTGTCAAGATGGACATATGCTGGCTCAAAGAGGAATAACAGATTCTGATATGTGGAAGCAACTACTGACAGTATCAATCCAACAACGTTCCATATTTCTGGACAGACAAACAAAACCTTTACATGCTTGATTGGCATTTTAGAAGATGATATTTGATGAACATAGAGATTTTTCTGGGTTACATCTTCTTTTTATTCTCGAGTACAACGTTTCAGGGCTTGTTCTGGCCCCATCATCAGAACAAGCCCTGAAACGTTGTACTCGAAATAAAAAAGATGTAACCCAGAAAAATCTCTATGTTCATCAAAAACCTTTACACTTCTTTGTGAGCATTTCTTCTGTGAAACTTATTGCTGTGTCATTTTGAATCGGTGTGTGTTAAACAGAACAGTCCGTCTCTCTGCTCAGACAAATTTACCTGTATGTTTTAACAATATTGACCAGCTTCTGTTTCTCAGCAGCCTTGTTGGACTTGTAGTCCAGGAAGTAGAACACCTGAGTAGTCTGTATTCCACCTGTAGAGGGAGTATATCCATTGTTAACCCACACTCGGTTAGCACGATAGGTCACAAGCAAAAACTTATCAGGACAGTGAGGTTGAAATACAGCATGTAACATGATAGTGGGGGCACAATAGAAGTATATATATCAATAGTTTGTTGCTGCTTGTTGTGTTGGACCAAATGACAAGGGTCATGTAGATGTAATTCATTATAGTTTGTGTGGTAAGTGTACCCACACACTAGTTGGAATAGTTTGTAAAGAATTCAAAGAATATATTACAGAATTTTATGTAAACTGGGTTAAAAAAAACAGTGACAGAGCTATCTTCATTTTTTAAACATATTGTGTTTCTATCTATTTGGTAAATCATTTAAGGAATCATGAACAAACTATAAAATGTCATTGTTGAAACTTGTCCATCCACCTGTAGGGGAGACAACTGCTGTCTTGCAGCCATTCTTGAACCCTGGGTCAATCCCAAACACAGTCTTTCCCCTGACTGGTGGCGTTAGAAGCAGTCGTTTCAGGTTGGAGGCAAACACAAGGATGGAGTCTTTCTCTGCTGCCTTTGTCAACTCAGACCTGGGGACAGACATACTCTTGCTGAATATTCACATACAGCGCTGGAAGTTGGTGAGTTTATGCTTCTCTGCATCATGACCTCTTAGGAGCCTCTCGTGATCAGTAATAAGACCAATATTTAAGATGAAACCTTCTTTCCAAATGAACAAGTGATCAAATACTATCCATATCAATATTCCACTGTTTTTCTCATATAATGATTGGAAAATTTCCATTCTTGTTTGAAAAAAAGAGGATGCATGCCTCAGCTGTTTCTGATGTAGGAACATATGCCCAGACTTAGAACATTGTCAAGGAAAGAAACATTTGTGAGGTTAAACCCTGTAGTGTTTAGGTTCCATAAGCTAGAGAATGAACATAAAGCTGTTTGTCTTGTTTCTGTGGGGAACAGCAGACACAAGTCTCTTTAAAACCTAACTGTCTGGACAAGATGTGCATGAAATGGCAAGCTTGTCAACACACATTTTGTAAATACTGGGTTTTTTAAAGCAAACATTTGCAAGACAATGTCAGTAGCTGCTTGATTCCATTTCTAAATGATGTTGATGAGATTCTATTCTGTTACTGATGATGTTGTGACCTAAAAGGGCCCCACCTGATATGTCTGCACGTCTGTGGCAGGATGAGTCGGTTGACCGCATCTGTGATGCTAGCAGACATCAGCTTCTTCACACTTTCAGGTGACCAGTGCTTCACAAACTTGTGGGTATAGCTGCCTATAAGACGATTCTTCACATAATCGGGGATAGTCACTCGAACAGTGAGAATCTTCTTGTCCTCTCCACGATTTAATGCAAGCACCTGCAACACAACGTCTTCACTACACCGGCAGTAGCTGCTAGCGACGAGGACAACCTGCTCTGGGAAACTGGGGGTTGTTAGTTTCTATGTTTTTCAAGCAATTTGCTACTACACTGCAATAAGAACAGCCAGTGAGTTAATATGTGCTGCTGTAGGTATGTATTCATCATCATGATTGAGGGGTCACGCTTCCCAGAATGCACTTTACTTCAGCATTTAGAATGAATCTCTTTATATTTACAATGAATATTATTTGTCATTTTGTGCACAACATATTTACGTTAGGATGACCTACTTGGTGACTCTTGATATATTTCACAGGGCAGGAAAAGTCGAAGTACTGTTCGAACTTGTGGCTGTCATCTGAGGCTCCAGCTTTATTGTCCTTATCATCCTTCTTGGAGCTTGTCTTACTTCTGCTGGACTCCATCTTGACATTGGAGGTCTCGCACCTGCACACAACAGTAGGTCGTTTAAGTGGTGTGTCAGTTTAATTAAAAGGTGTGTGCGTGAGTTTAGTTGTATGTTGCTTTTAGCAATATTCTAGCAATATCACAGTGGGGAACACCAGAAATGGGTTTCACACATGAGACATAATTAAAAGGTTTAAAACACAAGTCTAGATTGTCGACTCCTTTAAATGCTGATTGTTCAGGGCTCTTTTTGGTTTACATCTATATTTCGGTAGGTTTAATTTAATAAGATAACATTATTTCTGGGACTAAATGACAGTCTAACAATTTAGCTCTCGCCTTGTTCAAGACTTACACACTGAAGCTCTGATTACAATATTAAAACAAGTTTTCATTGTAGATCAATGGGTCGTCTATTTGTTAGTGTCAACTATGCAAGGGAGACAACTCACAATCTTTTGACTTCATCCATGGCTTCTTTGTCCTTTGAGATAATATCAGCCACAATATGTTGGATGCCAGTCTCTATGTCGTGAGGTTTAGCCAAACCTGAAATATACACAATGTGATTCAAGGCATGCACTAATCTGTACCAACACAATAGTGTATCAGTCACTGACTACAATCTGTATGTGATGACAAGTCTCGTTTCCCACCTGGCATCTAGGCCTACACTAAGGCCTTGAATCACATTCCCACTTAAACTTCAGTAAATTGTTTTTTAATGTTGTTTGTTCCCCTTGGCTGAAAACATCTCCAATACAAAGTGACTGACTAATTAGGAATTGGTGATTACATAATAGGATATGCATTACCCTCTGGAGATTCTTTCAATGGGAAGCGATATCTTAAGCAAAATTTTACAATTAAAATTATTTCAAGGATATTATTTCCACATGCTGTTTTGGGAATATTCTGTCCTGTGAAATTATCTGCACTGGAGTGTGTGAGGGAGATAATATTTAACGTCACATCAACAATATTTCAGCCATAAACCAAATAAATCTATACCACAAAAACCTGTCATCAAAGGACAACAAAAATACCAGAATATCACAGATTTGGTTTGAAACTACTATCTGCACTGGAAACATTAATTGTTTACACTTACAATTTCTAACAGGGTTAATTGTATCCTAATGAAGTGGATCTTGAGGCTATCTTGTCTTATCCAGGTTAGTTATAGCCATAATAGGTCATCAAGACATAAGAATATTGCTGATTCAGCTTCATACAACCTGACACACAACTCCCTTGTTTCTAGGTAAAATGCATCACAATTTGAAAAGCAGTATTGCTGCCTACAGAGTTTTACCTAATGACTGTCAACAACCTGTATTGCTACGAGTTAGCTAATAATGTTAGAGAATAACCTCACCTTTTTCACCTTGCCTGACGAGTGTCTCCAGCTGAACATGCTTTCCATCTAGAATCTGTAACGCTGGTTCCTCCAGGCCAAGTTTACGAGCTCTCTCAGCGAGACTCCCCTTGTGTCCTGGTTTGTAGGGGGCGTACTGTGGGGGACAGCAGTAGTGTTATATTTACAACTGCCTAGGGGCTCCAGATTATGAGTGAGTGAGTATGGTTTTACACCACTTTAACAATATTACAGCAATATCACACGCAGGGGACACCAGAAATGGGCTTCACATATTGTACCCATGTGAGGAATCGAACCCAGGTCTTTGGTGCGACAAGCCAACGCTATAACCACTAGGCTACCCAAGCTTCCTCCAGATAATGTCTCAAGCCACAAGGTATTGACTCCCTCGTTACAGTTCACAATAGGGATAGACAGTTTACTGTGATGTACATGTATTTCCAATATATTTTCATTCCTTGGACCCAGTCTTGGGTCTTTATAGACCAACAAGAAGCTTTTCATAAGTAATTCCTCCTACAATATCGTCTCAGGTGCATCTAATTTGTATGTTTGTGTACGTCCCAAAGTGTGTGACACCTTGCCTAAAACTCACAATGTAGATATACATGTTTAATTAACAATATGGAAGACATATTGCCATTGTTAAGTATCATTAATCGCAGTAAAAGATCTGTATAATGCCTGCATTTGATCAGAAGACAAGGATCTGAAATACAGGCACATCTGAAGAATATATGATACACTGATTCTTTACACTGATTTTTAGATATTTAATGAACATTTGTAAACATGCAGCTCAAAATGAATTGAGTAATGTCACTTTGTTTTGCATACATTACACAAATATGCAGCTTATCTGCAGCTCTGAGCCTAGCTGTGCAATTTCCATCAACCAACCATATATACACCCAGCTATCTGCTGTCCTAAATGGGGTGGGTGGGAGTAGCCTGTGGTTAAAATGGTCGCTCGTCACACTCAAGACTGGCATGGGTACATTTTTTGAGTTCACCACAATGATACTGGTGGAATATTGCTAAAAGCGTGGTATATTGCTATACTCACTCAGTCACTCACTTTCGGCAAAGGTATATCATCAAGAAATCGTCCCAAGTCTACATCATGTAATGCGGTCTGGTTAAAATCTGGATCCATTACAACTTATGAGTTTTCTGACGAGCTAAATATTCTCAGTGACATTTCATGTACCAAAATATTTTTGTTCAAAGTATGTTCAAGCAAGATGCATACCAGATATTTTGTTGCTACGTACCAGGTGTTCTACTTCAGTGAGAGAGGTGGATCGTTTCAATGCAGCGGCCAGTGTTCGGTTCATCTTTCCTGCAGACTCAATGGTGTTGTAGACAGACGACATCTTGGACATAACATTCCTGGAATATAACAGTATTGTTGAAAAAAAAGAACATGTGTGACAGGGTGCTTAAGGTTTATCTTTCCCTAAATACTTAAGGTATGGGGAGATTCCTTTTTATTGTTCACCTCTGCTGCTACGGTCCTGCTAAATGACTCAGATTTAGCAGAATCGTCCAGAATTTGTAACATGTTACAAACATTGTTAGCATAATCACAGCATCAGCTAATCGGAAATATAAAATCAAAAATGGCCTCACACATTGAACCCATGTGGAGATTTGAACCCAGGCCTTCTACGTGACGAATAAATGCTTTAACCAGTAAGCTACCCCACCATGCCCCTCTCTTAGTGATCAGAAATAGAATTTTGTTGTCCTCATTTTCCCCAATATGCCTCGACTATCCTTACTTGAGATCATCAAGAAGACTGCTGACTTCTCGTAGTTTCTCGGCCTCCATACCCCCTGTTCTCTCTTTACGATATCTCGCAATGAAGGGGATGGTGGCGCCCTCTTCCAGCATCTGCATCAAATTGCGAGCAACATCTTGTGATGTGTCTACTGTATCGGCAATCACTTCTTCTATCTGCCAGCTTGGCGCGATCGGTTTCCCTTTTGGAGGCATGGCTGTGACAATCTAGAACACAAGTGATAATGACAATAGGTTGAAAATCATAATTAATCTACGTGGCATGTCTCCGTCTCAATTTACAAATTAAACAACATGAGTGGAAATAATTTAAGAAGTAGGTATAATGTTAGAAATCTACAGTGGCAAGAAAACATACAATATTGTATATGATCATATTAGTTCTGCCTTTGAAGCTTATAAGTTTGCACCATTAGAATCAACATCATTTACTGAGTGTTTCTGAGGAAGTCAGAATATTTAAAACATATTTTTATTGAGGTTGAAATTTTATGCAATAATTGATAATAGTTTAAAGGTGAATACATGACACGTTTTATGGATAGTTTAAAGGCATTTTAAATTAACACAGGTGAAACAACTTCAAATTGTTCTTGGACACACAGGTATAACAAAGAACAAACAAAAAATTTCTTGAACGGTAAACACGTGATATCGATCACAAACTTACAGGGGTACCGTTGTCTGAATCACAACTGTTCTCAGTCTCAGAATCAGATCCCGTATATTCGGTGAATGTTCTGCGATAGGCTATGAGACACGAGCCAGCAGCTTGAAACCTCACGTTCACTTTTAAAACAGGCACTGCATTTATTGTTACTCTAACTAGCAGTGATGCAGTGGAGGTCAGAGTCTGTATCATAACGAATCCCGACCCCACTACTCGCATCTGTGACCACTCGGCCACGAAGGTTGTATTGATTTTACAGACGTTTCTATCACTTATAATCACGAGACTCCTTACATCGACATTGCTCCACTCATGTGCAGGTGTTGTCGTCACAGCACTGCGTGGAGCGCATCTTCATCTTCACAGAAATCTAATTTGTAAATTGAGACACCGACTTGTCTGATGATTGGGATTTCTTAACACATACCTGATCACTTGTCCAACTGAATCTGAAATTGTCACAGGCAGAAAGCAGTAGAGGAACTAAATATTGTTTGATAGCTGTTGTTCACTTCGAGATGGTGGTCGGATTTCCCCGTAAATTTGGTTGTGATTTACATGTAGAGTTACCTTCCCTTGAACAATTTCCTTCGTGCAGTTGTGACTGGCTGCGCGAGACTGCGTGTGGTAATTTTGATCAAGTCTTTTAAATAGACATGAACACGGCCAGTTCCAAGTAGAATATCCTTCATTCAATAACTCTAATTCTAAATAATTCTGAACTTTGTCTCTCGGTATTTTCAATGACTTAGGTCCTCTCATTTGTTACAATTTAAATCATATATGTAACAGTATGCGTATGTAAAGATAGTCTGTCATACAAAACCCTGAAGCAAATGTATCCCAGAAAGCCCACGCAAGTCCTGAAAATGTGGTAGTCTAGATTTCTACAGATGAAAATGAAGAAATTCTCAGGGCTCCTTTTCATTAAATTTTTTTTTTTTACTATGAACTTTTTTCTGTAAAATATGTTCATTTCAGAGACTATAGCTGTTAGCCTAGTAAAGAATCTGAATGCATTACACATTTTGTGTTTAATAAGTTATTTTTATATGGATATACTGCGTTCTCACTGAAGAGCAGATCCCAGACCAGGAAATGAAACGAAGTTCATCAGGAGTATTGACGATGTCTAACATAATGCATAATTTATCATAATGAATCACTCGACCAAATTATGTGCAGAAAGTTTTCGGCGACAGGACAGAATTGATCCTCTGTCAATGAAAAAACCACACCGTCTGAAGCAAAAACACAAAGTTGTGAATTATAACATTTAGCTTTGTTCCTGTTTTTCCAGTACAAAGTGGACTTACATCAATGAAGCAGAAAAAAACCCGGAACTGAAACAAGAAGTCAGTTGAACATAAAATATTATTATTCTATTACATTTTAATGTATCTAGTTGCCCCGGTCCGTAAATTAAACAGCTTTCATGCAAAATACGTTAATAAAGTATAAATGTTGTTGGATTATCGAAAACATCTACCCGTTTACACAACAGACTAGACTAACATCTAGTTTCTGAAATGAACATATTTTACAGAAAAGACTGTTCTTAAACTAATTTAATCATATATGATAGAAAGAAACCTCGAGATTTTATTCATTCCAATAAACCGGAGTAATCTAGACTTGCATGTGCTTACATGGATATATTTGTTTCATTGTCTGTATGACCCGAAGCTGCAGTAATCTAGATTTGACACGTATCATAGACTTTATATAGGCTTTCTTGGATATACATGTATCTGTTTCAGGGTCTGTATGACATACTACCAACATCACCTGGAAAACTCAGAAACACAATGAAATCTGTCATTGTTCACATCCATGCTTTGTACATACAATCACACAAACGGATGAACATTTCAACAATCCTATTATTGTTTTGATAATTTTGAATAAAATATTTATTAATACAGGTACTTACATTTGCAGACAGTGCGTACATTATTATCATCCCTTAAAATAAAAGTTATCACAGAGTTTTGGGATGACAATTTTAACAATAAAAGAACTCATCAGAGGAAAGAGGGGAAGTGGGGTTCATAAATCGGGACCTAATATTCTATTATGGACATTTTTTCCAGTTATTATTAATCTAATTATAAGAAAGATAGTAGATATCAATATTTATACCATGCATTTATCCATTTATACAGTCATATAACAGTTGAAAACAATCCTATTTACATTTGCGATTTTCATGTGGTTTTAACTTGAGTGAACAAAAAATCGTTGTTGTGGATTAAGATAGACGTTAAGCACGTCTGTTAAACAGAGGCACGCCTCATTTGTTTGTTATTCGACGCAGCACTCGGGAATATTCAATGCAATTGGGGTACGATGACATACATGAACCAAGTCAGCGAATCGCTTTTTAAGTTTGTTGTTTAAGGCCACTCAGCAATATTCCAGCTATATGGCGGCGGTCTGTAAATAATCAAGTCTTGACCAGACAAACCAGTGATCAACCGCCTGAGCATCAGTCTACGCAAGCGGGATACGATAACATGTGTCAACCAAGTCAGCGTCCTGACTACCCGATCCGTTAGTCGATTCTTACAAACAGCATGGGTTGCTGAGGACCACATTAGTGTAGAGACCGAGGTTGTTTCATGTCAGGCACACGTATATGTTTAGAAATTGTTGTTAAAAACTGAATGATTACCGTGAAGACAAATGTTTATCAGAATACACGTCTATAAATAGACACCCAGACACGCAGTGTGAATAGTGATTCACCGCATACTCTTATCATGAAGGACCCTTGTAACGGTAATATGACATCATCAACAGTGATCCGAAAACAACTAATGGTTTAACAATAGCTGCTAAATTACTTCCGGTATGGATTAGTGAATCAATCACAATCAATTAATCAAATAGAAGTTTAACATCTGACAAATCCAATTATATTAAACTTGTAGTTATTGAAAGCTAAATTGATCATTCCTTTATCTGTCAATCATTTAATATGAATCAATCAGAACGAGTAATCTACTTCCGTGTTTTTAAAATATTGTCAAGCCGTGTCCGTGTCGGCGTGTGAGCTTTAATGTTTACTCTGGGGATGGGCTGGCTGGCTGAGTATGGTTTTACGCCGTTTTTAGCAATATTCCAGCAATATCACGGCGGGGGACACCAGAAATGGGCTTCACAAGTTGTACCCATGTTGGGAATCGAATCCGGGCCTTCGGCGTGACGAGCGAACGCTTTAACCACTAGGCAACCCCACCGCCCCTGGGGGTGGGGTAGGAACAGGTCCAAGTAGACCTGTGGTCGTAAGAGATTTCTAAATGGATCTGGTAATTGAACAACAAAATTTGTCTGATTACGTGAAAACTTACACCGACAGTGTGATGTTTCTTACAGTATCATTCACTGGCTTGTCTGGTCGATACATGATCATTTAAACGACGTCATGGAATAAAGCTAAATCATTACTGACTGCAAACAAAAAAGCATTTACCAATGACACTGACCAAAAGGTATTCATGTTATACTTAGAACTATCAGTGTCTGAAAATACAATATGGATGGGTGAATAGATGGATGGATGGATGAATGGATTCTGGTAGTTTCTTTCTTATCAAGGCCGCTTTCCACAAAGCGATCTGAGCTCGCTCAAAATCGAAACTCCCATGGGCACTTAAGGCACAATAACAATAAATATGTTTGGGAACGAGGCACTGGCATTCAAAGCACTACATTTGAAGCATCTGCAAACCATAGAATATATGCTGCAAGGACACTAAAAGAAATGTTCCACCATCTGTCATGAATGAACTATTACTAGAAAGAGAACCTGTCTCGTCGGGTAAACAAAAGCTTGATATTCTCTGATGTTGGTTTATACCTAACCGATGTATTACTGGTTTTATCATATACTATATCATGGTGAAATATCCGTAACAACCCAATTCATGACGTCATTGTTGACGTTTTATGCAATGACGTCACAATATATAAGGCTTCACAGCACATACGATGTAGATGGTCATATCAACTCTACAAAGTATATAGATATACTGGACAGCAACCTTTGGCCGGTAATAGCCAAAGTTCCAGCATATCGGGGCTATATATTTCAAGAGGACAATTGTCCTGTCCATGTTTCTAGACAAACAATTCAGTGGAAACGTGACAATGACATTCAGACAATGAATTGGCCTCCTCAGTCCCCAGACTGTAATGTCATTGAAAATATGTGGAGAACTCTTAAAATCAGGCTACAAAGACAGTTACATGAAATAAAAACCAAGCAGGATCTGATAGATCACGTTCAAGGTATCTGGACATCACTTACTCCAGAGTACATAAAATCACTGTATTCTACTCTACCTAAGCGAATGAGGGCTGTACTTGCAGTAAATGGCTGTATTACTAAATACTGAAAATATCAGGTAAGTGGTTTCAGGCATTATTTTGAAATCAAACTATATTTACATCTCATCACAGTTAGCGAAAATTAGATGGTGGCCATTTTGTGAACTTTAATATGGCACATGAGTGTAGTTGTTGACAGTGAACTGATATTGATATCTTCTGCTTCGATAGTGCAATCAGTTTTAAGTGTGGGTGATACGAAGGATTTGACAACGTGCATGTTCCTTTTCGAAACTCGTTTACAACTTTATCACGCCAGGGATTGTGACAGCTATGGTGATATACAGTCTGAATGGAAGTAATAACAGTTTGGAAAATCAATGCGATGAGTCACACGTATGTTGTGCCCTAAAACCTACAATGGTCGTAAGTGCACAGAAATCATGAACACACGTATATTGTACAGCGAAGCTACACTGTACCGTGGTGTTTTCAGCCGGTAGCCAGGAAAATACAGAGTGTAAGCCCAAATGATGAAGCATTTTGAAATCAGGGGGAGTATACCACATCTGAAAGTAATGTATTCTTCTGAACACGAGATAAAGTTCAGACAAACATCAATAACACGGTAAAACATGCAAAACATAAAAAATAACTCCAAACTAGCGGACCCTGACCACGTAAATATTGCAAATAGTTAAGTACCAAAACAACTCGAAAAATGAAACTCGGTTCAAATGAAATGACGTACAACTTCAAAGCGTAAGGATGGATCGCCGGTCTTCTATGACGACTGAGAGGATTCAAACCAGAAACTAACAGAGCAGCATTAGGAATGGGGGTCATTGATTTGTACATGATACAATGGGGGCACTTATGACCAATGACATACTTAATAATTATTAGCTTGGTTGGTGTGAAGATGGGGGTCCACATTGTACATGCTTCTCCATTCAAATCATGGGGGTCATTGATTATGACCTTTGTACACCACATTGTACATAGCCATAAATTTTGAACAGTCCTTTAATACGTTTGCACTGATGGACGCCAGTTAATAACCCTGTGCATTTGGAAAATTAAGCGTTGGACTGCCCGCGCATGTTATATGTACAAGTACGGTTGCGGACAGCGGGTGGTAGACTGACATTTAATCAGACTAAAGTTATCCCATTTAAAATTGTACAAATATTTTCATCTACAAAATAAATCCAAATGAAAGCCAGAACAATCCTTAATTTATTCGAGCTGAGCCAGGACTTGAGTAAGACCCCTATTTAATATATACTCCTAGTTGATATATTCCCTAGGAGACAGCCTGAGGTATAATCACTTTGGTCTCAGTTATCAGAATCATTCAAACAATAGACCCAGCTGCTGTGGGCGATATTGATCAATGCCACATAGGATTTTCCCGGTGCGGAGCTGTCTACACATGTGAAGCACATTTTGGTTGCAACTTGTTAAAGAATAAACAAAAATATGAACGAGCATATTATTTTGGTGGGGTGGATGGATGTATTCATACAATTCTTAAATTAAGCCATTGTTTGACGTCTATATGTATACGCATTTTGACATTTGTGTAGCCCCGTACAAATACCGATGCTTTGATTTCTTGCTTCGTCCGAGCGATCGCCACAGAAAATCTTTAAAACACTTCACTCAGAGACCAAATAATATCTATAGTATGGTCTCTGCTTCACTGTACATGCCCGAAGTTGAATATATTTTAGATAAACAGTTAGTAAACTTTATAGCATTAGAAACAGTGATCTGAAAAAGTTGTCAAAAATTCTAAACCAATTCTTGTTGTAACATGGTATCGAAAATGCTTTAATAACGCCATAACACCCGTAATGTCTTTGTCAACGCTGATTCACAACGGCCTAGCCTTCTTACCTGTATCTAAAAATAGACATTCAGTCATGTGACCACATTTTTGTCACATCACGCACCTGATCGAGGCGACGTTGTGACCTAGTTGATAGCGAGATTTCAAACGAGAATACAGGTAACAGTATTCACGGAAATGAATCTGGGCAAGTAGACCCTCCGTGACTTACCTGCAAAGTATGTAGAAGACACAGGTAAAAAGATATGGATATTACAGGTAAATCATAAATATTTACCGTCAAGCAAAAGGGAATATGGAGACTTCAAAGGGAATTACCTGTGTGTGGTTATTGTTTTGTTTATGTTGCTTTACGAGCATTCGGATTATCCAGGGCCAGGGAAGTCTGTTTGTGACCCCACCTCCAGACCTTGGTCGACCGGTAGTGGCAAATGGAATCGTATATTTCTTACACTACATCGACATCCCTGACCACTGCTTGGAACCACGGGTGTCGAAGTACCCGGCTGGGGCCGTGATCCGAGACAGACGGGCGCTGATGCGAGCTGACAACCCCCACATCACATACGGCAACCTAGAGATCGCACCCTCGGGATGTCTGTATATAGAACCGGGGGTGGAGATGAGGTTTGGTCCAGGATTTGGAATAATTGTCAACGGAACCCTCATATCCAGGGTAAGTTCAATGTACAATGTAATGACACAATTGATAAGACTATTCAAGAGCAATAAATAAAATTTTGGCAGACATGTTTACAACACTTGACATATACTACAGTATAGTTTAGCCTATTGTTGATATCTACCTTTCACTGTCAATGAAAGATTGCCTAGAATACATCTTTAAGAAAGACCCAAAAGAAAATTAGGTCTGTTAGTGAGTCAAGTTTCCTTTCATTAAGTTTAAGGCCTAGGTTCTTAATCTTTTTTTTATCTGAAAATGGATCTTGGAATATTACTTGTCATGCTTCACTGAACTTTAGGCTGACAAAACACAACCAGTGGTAAGCAGTTGTGACCTTGCTGGGATATCACACATTAAAACAAAATTAGGTGTATTTATTTATATATATTGATGTAAAAAAGATGCAAATATTCAAGATATTCTGAAAGGTTTGTTTGGTTTATGTGAATTCAACCCTTTGCTGTTTTGTGGTAAAGAAATATTTTATTGATATGACTGAAGAGCTAATTGTGTAATTGAATAAATAATTCATTCCTCACTTATTGACTTGAGTCAAGTCTCCAGTTTACACATGCAGTGTACTCAGTTCACCCCACATTTTAGATTATCGTGTTACTACATGTACAACTGTGCACTGAAAAATTGAAGTCTTGATTATTTACTTATTATCATTATTTTACAAATTTTACTCTGTTTACAATCTAAACCATTGCACTGTATTTTTTACCGAAGAAATAGCATCATGATTCTTTTAATAATATGTGTTAATTTCTATATATTTCATTATTTTAATTGTAATGTTAAACCCATGGAGGTTCAGGTTAGAATTGTTCTTCAGTAATCCATGCTTGTCGTGAGAGGCGACTAATAGGGTGGTCAGACTCGCTGACTTGGTTGACACGTGTCATTTTGTTGTGTAGATCAATGCTCATTATGTTGATCACTGGATTGTCTGGTTGACTCAATTATCTACAGATTGCTGCCATATAGCTGTAATGTTGCAGAGTGTGTGCTGTAAAACTAAACTCACTCACTGACTCTATGTTAAATATTGCAGGAATTTGTCTCACCAGGTGGTCACTGTATTATAAAGTGATTACTGCAGGTAGTCCTATAAGGAAAATGATATCGGCTTAACAGTTTAACTACCTCTAACTTCATATCAATAAGCTGTATCTAAGCTCTGTTAAATACGGCATGACTGTGTTTGCTTAATGGATTTGAAGTGTGATCACATGGTGCTGATCTCATTAAGATGAGAGGTGTTTGGACAGTGTTTGCCTAGTGCTGCCTGACAGCATCCTTAATGGCAATTAATTATGTAATTACTTGATTGGTTTAAACATATTTTATTGTCCAAAAAACAACGGGATTAGGCACAAGTGCACCACTTATGATCGCCTTCTCGCCTTGATTAGCTTCTGCAATTAAGGATTTGGTTGATATTCCTTTTTGTCAAATTGTCATGCAAAGGCCAAATGCCATAAAGTTAGTTATTGATCTTAAGGTGTTAACCTTGCGATACGAGTACAAAGGACAAGATTACATTAGAGTTATCTTAAATTTGATGGCATCATGAATTAATCCAGTAATTTTTATTCATATACTAGTATTTAAACTGATTACAGATAATTCAGGTGAAATCTATCAGAATATTTTTCAAAGAAAGTATATAACAAATGAACCTGTGTATACATAGATCTACATGGTTGAGGAAGTAAGTAGAATGATGTAAATCTGGCAATAGGGAAAGAGAGCCTTATTTCCTTTACAGAGAGTAAATCCCCATGGAAAAAGCTTTTTTGAGATCAGATTTGGATAAAAAAAATTAACATTGATTAAAATAGTGATATTACAGAAGATTGTTGAAAGTGACACCTTTTCCTCTTAATTGTTCATAACTTTATTTGTCACGTTTATTGTACAAAGCGATCTTAGCGCGACAATTATCGTCAGTTTAGTTAAAATATAGGAGTTCCGATCAACCTAGCGCTAAGATGACTGTGTACACTAGGGGTGGGTATTGCAGAGAATTTTCATATTGCGATATATTGTGATGCGGAAGCATATATTGCGATATGTATTGCAATATATTGCAAGAATTATTTTTTTAACAAAACTATTTATAATCGAGTTAATGCTTGATTATAAAGCAAAAGCACAACAAAATTACTATGATTGATTAACCTTTAATAAAAACTTTTAATCATGACAAAATAAAAATGTAAGTAACATTTGGCACTAATGAAAAAGGGATAAGAACAATTAAAAAAACAGAAATATCCGAAGATTTCCGAGTGTTACGAAGTTTTCCAAATGCATGTCAAAATACCGGTTTTCGATCAGCGTATCACAATACGTATCGTTTTCATGTCTGAACTGGTAAATACCGGTAAACCGGTTATATTGCGCAGCCCTAGTGTACACCCTGTCATCATGAATCACATCTGAAGCAATAGCTAATGGCATAGTGCTAAACTTGTTTTGTGAAGAAGGCCCTGGGTTTCTTAATTGTCAGCATAAAAATTGAAAGCTGTGTAACAACCTGAATTCTGATGGAACATCGCTCATGACTCTAGGGTAGCGATGAGCCTGGGGGCCGTATCCTGATGACGAAGGACAAGGGGGAGGACACTGGGTACCCGTCAGGTGACTGGCACTTTGATGCCCGATTGGTTGACGGAAACACCACAATGGACGGCCAGCTTAACCTGTTGTATCGGAACAAATGGCGAGGAATCTGTACCAACTATGTCAAGTGAGCTATAAACATTATAAATATGATAAAGGCTAGTGTGTTCAGGATGGATGCTGTTAGTCACTGGATTGTCAGACACGATTATTTACAGACTACTGCCATATACATGATATACCTGGAATATTTCTGAGTGCAGTTTTAAACAACTAACAAACAGAAGGATGGTGCCCATTCTCTGCCTGGTTCTAACCTGTGAAGATCCGGGTTAGAATTGGTCTTCAGTAACGCATGCTTGTTGTAAGAGGCGACTAAAGGGATCGAGCGGTCAGACTCGCTGACTTGGATAACACATGTTATCGTATCCAAATTGCATAGATTGACCCATCAGGGTGAAGGCCCGGGTTCGATTCCCCACATGGGAACAATGTGTGAAGCCCATGCATTTCTGGTGTCCCCGCTGTGATATTGCTGGAATATTGCAAAAAGCGGCGTAAAACTAAACTCACTCTCTCACTCACTACAAATCTGACTATTGCATGCTTGAAGTGGATTGGACTCCTTGTTCCTGGAAGTTTGTGGAACTAGACTGTGAACAGGGTTAAAACTGTTTTTGGAAAGGATGAATTAAATAAACATCTGAGACTTCATCACTTCAGCTTTCTTCCACATTCACCTGCACACAGTCATTTAACTGGAATACTTTTGCGAGAAGTAACCCAACTTACTCAATAATATATGTGAATAGCAAAGCACAGAAAACAGTTTAGGAGTGGTAGATAGTCTTGGTATATTGGGATTGGATAATAATACTGATTAACTTTTAAAAAGCAGCATGTTTTGCTTTTGACTTTTTGTGGTATGTATCTTCGTGGCGATGTGAAGCTTCAGAAATTTCCCCAATTATGTTTCCAGTTTCACCGAAATAGATGCTAACGTAACATGCCGCCATCTTGGATTCCTCAAAGGCAACTTTACCTACCACTCATTTGCCAAGAATTACACTGATTACATGCTGTTTGAGAGACCCAGGTGTACGGGGCAGGAGGACTCGCTGTTTGAATGTCCAGGTGTGACTGCGACAAATATTCAGCTCGGACAACACATTTGTGGTAAGAGTTGTGGACATGTTTCTCTGTGTTTTGTTACATTGTGTGTCCATGTTTGTTCTCTAAACACTCACTGAAGCAGCTGGAATGGCTGTCGTGGAAAATAGATTTTCTTTGTATGTCGTCAATGGGGTCAATGTTGCAGTTATAAGTGAGTTATCAACACTGTATGACTTTTTCAATATGAGAAAACTATTTTGAAACAATTTAAAATACAATAATATCATTTTGTGGAAATCATCTTTTTTATAATAAAAGATTTACTTCTTTATATAAACAATAACTTTTGTCAGAATTTATTATATTTATTATTATTAAACGTCAATGTATTTTCATTGGTAGTACTAGATTGATAAATCAGCTGAGACAGAAATTTAGATTGTTATTGTGTCTCAGTTAAAACATGTTTTTTTTTACAAATTATCCATCAGCCCCTCGATTTTGATAGTAAGACAATAATTCAGTTGCCGTCTTATTGAACCGAATGATAAATATTGACATGATGTTGCTGGTATGCTGGTTTTGAATGCCATGTTTGCCCAGCATGTCTGTACAAGTAAAAGTTAGTTATTTTGCATCAATCCACTAGTTATTACCTCTTTACAGACTATTGTATTAATTGTATTGATTGTATTTTTGCCTTATGTTTATGATGAGTAAGGAAACTGTGACCACAATAGTTCTGTTATACTTTGTACTTTGTGAGGCTGATGTACAGAGTTGCTTCCCTTACAAGTGTCAGAATCCTATGATCATTGGTTCAACTTTCAGATTCGTTCTTAGTATGATTCATGGTTTGTAAGCACCACACACACCTTGTGGGTTTCTCTTAAGTGGCAAACATACAAGTTCAGTTTTGGGCTCACTGCCGAAATACAGTGGAATATATAATAAATATATAAATGACATACTGTTCACAAACACAATTCACTTGCTCTTGTATTTTGTAGACACTATACATACTGGCCAATATTCACTTTCAATATTTCATTGTCAATTTAGAACATATTGATCAAAGCATGTATCATTTTACAAAGCACTGTGATTCTTTAATTGCAAGTTCTAAAATAAGAAAGTCCTGATTTTGGACAAAGTTAAGTTTTTCTCCCAATTTGTCAGCCAAGTCAGGTAACCCTGGTGTCCAGAATACAGATGATATAATGGCGTGTCTACAAAATTGTATTGTTCTATTTGCAGACGGACAACAACTTATAGGGTTTGAATGTGAAGGTTTACGTGATGGTCTTGCCACGGACAACTGGCGAGGGCTAGAATTCTACAATTCCACTTCGGCAGAGAAAAATCATAGAAGATAATGTTTACATCAATTCCACATTTTCCTGGATAGAATATACCGATATTCTGTATGCCGGACTAGACATATTCCATGGTAAAGGAATCGGGGTGAACTACCAGCGGGCAGCAATAAGTGCGAGTCCACATGTCCCCGTGTTCAACAACGTCACGGTCAAATACAGTGCCTACCATGCTTTCAACTTGACCAATATTGAAGGGCCCATCCATATTGCCAACTGCACTCTCTACAGAAACAGAGGTGAGTAGTATTTACCATGGTTACACCGCTTTATTTTAGTAGGGAGTAGGTTTAGTTTGACGCTGCTTTTAGCATTATTTCAGCAATATCATGATGGGGGCCACAAGAAATAGGCACCACACATTGTACCCATGTTGGGAATTGAACCCGGGCCTTCGGCATGACGACGTCAGGGGTGGAAATAACCCATTGCCCGACGCTCGAGTCCAGTGTTTTTTTCTGTCGGGCAAGCAAATTTGTATATCACACTGTACTGGTGTCCATTTGAATTTCAATGTTAATTATGTTGTTTATTTAAAAAATCACCAAGAAAACGGCTGGTATAGTGGAAAAATTATTAGGGCAAGTGATTTTACATGTGCCACTGTACCGGAGTACAATAGCGATTTTAAAGTTATTTCCACCCCTGGACGTGAATGCTTTAACCACTAGCTAGGCTACCCCACCACCCCTTTTAGTAGTTGTAGTAGTAGTATATAATGGTAGTACAAATGTATATAGTAGTATATACTAGTAGTAGTAGTAGTAGTAGTAGTATATAATGGTAGTACAAATGTATATAGTAGTATATAGTAGTAGTAGTAGTAGTAGTAGTATATAATGATAGTACAAATGTATATAGTAGTATATACTAGTAGTAGTAGTAGTATATAATGGTAGTACAAATGTATATAGTAGTATATACTAGTGAGTAGTAGTACAAATGATAGTGGTGTCCTAAATGTATATGTATATATAGTACAAATAGTAGTGAGTAAGTAGTAGTAGTAGTAGTATATAATGGTAGTACAAATGTATATAGTGTAGTATATACTAGTAGTAGTAGTAGTAGTAGTATATAATGGTAGTACAAATGTATATAGTAGTATATACTAGTAGTAGTAGTAGTAGTATATAATGGTAGTACAAATGTATATAGTAGTATATACTAGTAGTAGTAGTGGTAGTAGTAGTATATAATGGTAGTACAAATGTATATAGTAGTATATACTAGTAGTAGTAGTAGTAGTAGTATATAATGATAGTATACAAATGTATATAGTAGTATATACTACTAGTAGTAGTAGTAGTAGTAGTATATATATAATGGTAGTACAAATGTATATAGTAGTATATACTAGTAGTAGTAGTAGTATATAATGATAGTACAAATGTATATAGTAGTATATACTAGTAGTAGTAGTAGTAGTAGTATATAATGGTAGTACAAATGTATATAGTAGTATATACTAGTAGTAGTAGTATATAGTAGTGTAGTACAAATGTAGTAGTAGTAGTATATAGTAGTAGTAGTAAATGTACATATGGTATAATAGTAGTATAAAGTAGTATATAGTGAGTATGTATAGTAGTAGTAGTAGTAGTAGTATATAATGGTAGTGGCAATATATATAGTAGTATATACTAGTAGTAGTAGTATAGTAGTATATAATGATAGTACAAATGTATATAGTAGTATATACTAGTAGTAGTAGCAGTAGTGAGTATATAATGGTAGTACAAATGTATATAGTGAGTATATACAAGTAGTAGTGGTATGTACTAGTGGTGTATATAATGGTGAGTACAAATGTATATAGTGGTAGTATAGTAGTAGTAGTAGTAGTAGTAGTAGTGAGTAGTATAATGGTAGCATAAATGGTGTAGTAGTATATATGTATATAGTAGTAGTAGTAGTAGTATATAATGATAGTACAAATGTATATAGTAGTATATACTAGTAGTAGTAGTAGTATGGTATATAATGGTAGTACAAATGTATATATAGTAGTATATACTAGTAGTAGTAGTAGTAGTAGTATAATGGTGAGTACAAATGTATATAGTAGTATATACTAGTAGTAGTAGTAGTAGTATATAAGGTAGTACAAATGTATATAATGTGGTAGTATATAGTAGTATATACTAGTAGTAGTAGTAGTATATAATGGTAGTACAAATGTATATAGTAGTATATACTAGTAGTAGTAGTAGTAGTAGTATATAATGGTAGTACAAATGTATATAGTAGTATATACTAGTAGTAGTAGTAGTAGTAGTAGTATATAATGGTAGTACAAATGTATATAGTAGTATATACTAGTAGTAGTAGTAGTAGTAGTAGTATATAATGGTAGTACAAATGTATATAGTAGTATATACTAGTAGTAGTAGCAGTAGTAGTATATAATGGTAGTACAAATGTATATAGTAGTATATACTAGTAGTAGTAGTAGTAGTAGTATATAATGGTAGTACAAATGTATATAGTAGTATATACTAGTAGTAGTAGTAGTAGTATATAATGGTAGTACAAATGTATATAGTAGTATATACTAGTAGTAGTAGTAGTAGTAGTAGTAACTGTTGTTCACTTTCATTGTCAAATACCAGTGACCTTTACCACTTTATGCTGACAAACTGTGATGTCAATAAGTACTGAACACATGAAATTGATAATTAAGAGCTTCTTTGAAAAAAACCCCATTTCAGTGGAGGTAATTCTAATGATTAACAACCATTTCATTGTAAGTTTTAGAACATATGTATAAATGAACGTATCAATCTGCACAGGTTATGGCATGTACATACAAACTGCTGTGGGCAATGTCCTCGTCAACATGACCAACATCACGGAGAACTGGGGTGACGGCATCAAGATGTATATGTCAAACCTCACCTACAATGACTACCTGACGAGATTCCCTATGGAAAAGTCCTTCTGTAGAACCCCGATCCTGATTGGACAGACGTATCCAGTGTACGTTTATCAAGATGTCATAGACTTTGAAGGAAACAAGCTAGTGCAAGGGATATCTTGCTCCAAGGTCAGCCAAATAGTAGTTCATGTATAATTGTGAAGTACATGTTGCACATGACGTCTGCTAAGACAAGTGTGTAAACATTTTGCAGTGTATGTCTCTGTTCACCCAGCCTTGAATGTGTAGATGAGTGAGTGAGTTTTACGTTTTGGTTTTACGCTGCACTCAGCAATATCCCAGCTATATGGCAGCGGTCTGTAAATACTCGAGTCCAGACTAGACAATCCAGTGATCAACAGCATGAGCATCGATCTGCGCAATTGGGAACCGATGACATGTGTCAACCAAGTCAGCGAGCCTGACCACCCAATCCCATTAGTCGCCTCTTACGACAAGTATGGGTTATTAACTGAAGATCAATATTCTAGCCTGGACCTTCATGGGTGTAGATGGTAAGATGAGAAAGTAATGACTGACTGTTAACCTTCAGAGGCAGCATGGGTTGTATACTTCCAAGGGAGTAGAGAATGAAACAGATTTGTCAAACCTGTTTGGGAATTTTTCAGACAATGTTCCGTCAGGGTCTGTATGAGACCAAGCTGGAATATTGCTAACTGCAGAATCAAATTTTTTTTGGTATTGACTGTCAAATATTATTAGATACTTATTGTGATATTTGTAATTGATTTGCAGACATATCAGACACTTGAGAACAAGAAGGTGGTCATTCACTTCCTGGACTTGATACGAGACAAGGTGGCCAGTGGCAGCTTAGAAATAAGAGAACAGTCAAGTACAGGGACTCTCATTGGCACATACGATATAACCAATGGCAGCTTTCCACAGTCAGTGACCACCAGAACCAACAAAGCATATATTGCCTTCCGATTCAACATTCCAAAGAACCATCAGTGCGAATCTTTCAAACCCTGTGTCCGTGTCCTGATGCGATTTAATACAGTTTTTGTTAATGGTAGGTTGAAATGCTTTTGAATGTTCAGCTGAGTTGAAGATATATTAAAGAACAGGGCCCAGTTGCACGAATCTATCTTAGCTCTAAGGTGATGGTAAATCCCATACTTTGGCTTTCGATTATCAAAGTGCTGAGATGGCTTTGTGGATTGAGGCCCCGGATGGTTGGATGGGTCGGTTGGTTTTGGTTAGTGACCTCTCACGACAAGCATGGGTTGATGAAGACCAATTCTAACTTGGATCTTCTCAGGTTGGTTGATTGGGCAGTTGCCACTGGGTTTGAATCATTTGCTGAGTTTGATTCTCTATGTCAAAAAGGAAAGCTAGTATGTTTCTAACCCAGCTGGATCCAATGATCTCTGAAAAGAGGTGTAATATATCATTGTTTATGTGATGGACAATTTTCCCCACAAGATGGATGTGTTTGTTGTTTTCCTGCTATGTGTTAGAGGCCTGCAGATAGGTCTGGACAAAACAGTCAAGTGAACGACTGACTGTGTACCCTCGATGTTTGGTTATGTTCCCTGAACCCGGGGGAACATAAACAAACATCGAGGGTACATCAACCCATGCGCCCTGAGCGACCAGTGAACAAAGTATTTATCTTACCAAACACCCTAATGTTAATTTTGAATTGTTTGAAGCACGGGTACAAATATTTTTGTAGCCATCGCTAGATTTTGCTGACAAGAAAAACAGATTTAGAATTATCTCCCTGCCATCGATTTGCATTTGCAAAACATCGGTAATTTCCGTACATCATACTTGATTCAATTTAATTCGAGATAAACCACCAAGTACCAAATGAGTTGCCATTGACAGCGGGGTACATTGAAATGTTACTCGCTTGTAAGCGGGGTACATTGAAAATAATAGAAGAGCGCGCTCAGCCAATCAGAAAGCGACATTTATGTGTGAGGTAAGATAATGGCACTTGGGACCTATGATGTTATCGAGAATCCCTGAGGGTCTACAGAGGGTATAGATAGGTACACATGTGGGATACAATGGCATGCATCACCAAGTCAGGGATCCTAACCACATGATACTGTTAGTCACCTCTTCCAACAAGCGTTACCCGCCTCCGTGGTGTAGTAGTTAGAGCGTCCGCCTGGAGAGCGGAAGGTCGCGGGTTCGATCCCCGACCACGTCATACCAAAAAGACGTTAAAATATGGTACTTGTTGGTCCCTGCCTGGCACTCGGCATTAATTGGTACAACAAGGACTGGTCGGCTCGGAGTCAGTATAATGTGTCTGAGTGGGGTATTCATGCTTCACTGCGGAATGGTATCTCAGTGGGCTATCACTATAAAACCAGCTTAAGTGTGGGCTAGTACAAGCAGCCGCACATACACATACACATGCATGCACATCGTCATATGAGCGAAATATTCTCAAGCACGACGTAAAAACCAATTTCACCTCACCTCACTTCGGTAATTTATCCAGATGTGCACATAAACATGAGGGTGAACCAGACAGTGACAAAATGTCTTTGTAAAATGTCCGGAACACACAAGTTAAATGATAGTACATGTACAATGACTGCTATTGAAATCCCAGTGAACCAACTATTGCAGTTACTATATTTTCAAATCATAATTTGTTTTTTTTTAATGTTGTTTCAGGAACCGACGATGATTTCCGACTGATCTACTCGCAGGTGTCCAACAATACAGGTTATGGTGTCAATATCCAGGACATGCGCAATAAGGTGTTCTTCAACACCAGTGAAATCTCCGACAACCAGTATGGCGCTGGAATACGAGTCTATCAAGGAGCAGGGGAGGTAACTGTGAATAACACCCTCCTTGAGAGAAACATGGCCGCAGGCATCAACATTACCTACTCCGGGGGGCTTCCAGCTGATCAACAACACAAGGATAATTGGAAGTCATGGTTATGGAATCATCACCGAATATCTCCTGCTGAATCGGACCAGGATAGAGTCGCAGCAGAAGATGGAAATTGTCCGATCAGAATTTCAGTTGAATGAATGGCGCGCTGTGCGAGTTGGAAATTACTGCAAGGGAGGAAGTATTTTGATCAATATGAGTTCCTTTGCATACAATTTTGATGAAACAATTGAGTATCTGTCATGCAATATCTCGACAACAAAACCAACCAATTTCAGTGTGGCTTTCAATAAGTTTGACTCCAACTTCCGACATGCTATATTTGTGCGCCCCAATGGTCAATACTGTGGGTATTATCAGCAATAATACATTTCAGAATCACAGTCTTGGAGGCGTGTTGATTGACAATGGATATGATCTTCTTATAAGTAGGTGGTATCAAAACTTTGAAGTAGACTATCGCATTTTTGAGAACCGGTTCGCGGATAATTATGGACGCTATGCAGTAAGTATGAGGTTGACTCAAAATAGTCCGTTTCAGAAACTGGAGTTCAAGTTTAACAAACTAGTGGAAAATAATATTCAGGACTCGTTCATGTTTCTAAACCCGAGGAGCAAGGCTAATGCAGTGGTGGTGGTATCTTCTGGAAATGTCCTGGTGCAGCGGAACTGGATTCAGAATCCAAACTCTGTCCGTGAAATCGCCACCCATCTTGTGGATCCGTCTGTTACCATCACTGGCTCTGAGAATTGGTGGGGGATCGAGGTCCTCCAGCAGGATCAGCTGGAGCCCATCCACAAGGCCATCTTTGACCAGGATGACCGGTACAATCTGGCCAGAATCAACTACTGGCCTGTTCTCAAGACAGATCGTCTCTATGACAACATCGTCAGTAGCGATGTGGCTCGGTTCCGTTGGCACTTCAGTCGTCCTGGCAACGTAATTGGTGGAGTCCTGGAGGATGATGACTTTACAGCTAATGATCGCACGGTGTATCATGTGGACCGGGACATTTTCATAATTCCTGGGAGATCCCTTGTTCTTGGTCGAGGTGTGGTACTGGAGTTCGAGAGCTCTGTTGGTATGGTGGTGCATGGCTGCTTGAGAGCAGACGGCCATGAAGTTTCCAACACAATACAGTTCCGTCTGAGAGACGATCCTGACATCCTGCCTGTTGAGAACAGAACCGCATCAGTCCGTCTGGTGGATGGTGAAGATGAATATGAAGGTCGTCTGGAGGTTGACATCAATGGAGAATGGGGAACTGTTTGTAATGAGGTCAGTAGCCATCAAACTCATGCTTTGGAAAACTAAACTGTTTAAAACAGTAGTCTGCTTTTGGAGTCTTCTGATCAGAATTTTTGAATTAATTTCAATTTATTTTTCTCTTTGTAAATAGAGAAGTATGACTTGAAATTCAACTGGATTTGGTCTTCAGATTGGTGGATTAAGTCACAGAATGACACGAAAAATGTATTCAGAAACTAGGTACTAGAGCTCAACATATCAGTGTCCTTGAGACTGAACTGAAGCACTGACCTTTTCTCTAACCTTATCCATGATACATTTACATTTCTGGTGTCCCCCCGCCATGATGTTGCTGGAATATTGCTAAAAGCGGTGTAAGACCAAACTCAGTCAGTCAGTCATGATACATTTAACCATGAACCATACCTTTAGTTGTCATATCATACAATGATATCCTTAGGGACTGTTCATAATCCATGAGTAGCGGTGTGTGCGTGGGTGTGAGTTGAAGATTTTTATAGAGAAGCATGTACAATGTGAATGATCCCCCTAGAATTTATGTACAAAATGAGTGACTCCCCCACCTGCATGTCATGTACAAAATTAATGACACCCCCACCCCCGTCTCCAAACCCCAACCCCAATTGCAACCCCAAGTACGAGTGCAAAATTTATGTCCCTCTTTCCCCCCAAGAACAAAATAGAGTGTGAGATACATTTGTACTGGCAGTATTTTTAACTGAACATCGCCCACTCACCATTCAACTGATTATTCACTTACTTGCTCAACAGGGATGGTCGGAGCAGAACTCCCTGTTGGCCTGCCAGCAGTTGGGTCTTGTCTACAACCCCGACAGGCCAACAGCTCGACAGAAACAGTACGGCCCCACGAATCAGCCAATCCTGATGAGCTGGGTGAAATGTGACGACGTGGACACTGACCTCACACAGTGTCGTGCAGCCCGCGATGGGGAGCATCAGTGCACTCACAACATGGACGTATTCCTTCGATGTGAGCCAGCTACCTGGGCAGGTTCGTAGCATATTACATTGTGCATGCTGGTTACTGTTCTGTGAAAACCTACCAGGGACAGTTGAACAGCCCAGCAATTTTCTGTGCTTGTCTTCTTAACCCACATTTAAGTAGAAAACACTGTCCTGTTATTCATGTGTTCTTGAGAATGTGGGGTGGTGGGGTAGTCTAGTGGTTGAAGTGTTCGCTCGTCATGCCGAAGACCAGGATTCAATTACCCACATGGGTACAATGTGTGAAGCCCATTTCTGGTGTCCCCAGTCGTGATATTGCTGGAATATTGCTAAAATCAGTGTAAAACTAAACTCACTCACTCACACTCTTGAGATTGTGTTGTGTTGTGCTCTCAATCACTGGACAATGCATCCATTTTTGTTGTCAGTTTGTCAGCAACAGTCCTGTGTTTTGGGGTTTGAACTATGATATTATGCAAGGGGTCGTTATATGTAACTCACTTCTGTTTAGACTTTATACAGGTTAATAATCATAAAAATGTTGAGGAAATAAACTTGCCAGTACATCAAACTCGGTTGAAGGTTAGTAGGTGGCAATGAATATGATAGTGGTCATTTGTCAAAATAGGGCAATCGGGTAGCCTTGTGGTTAAAGTGTTTGCTCGTGACACTGAAGACCTGGGTTAGATTCCCACATGGATAAAATGTGTGAAGCCCATTTCTGGTGTCCGCTGCCATGATATTGCTGGAATATTGCTAAAAAGGAGTGTAAAACTAAAATCACTCTCTCATATTTCAATATAATTAATGTTCATGTGGAAATCATGAGTGCAGATTGATTTAGATTTTGTCAATTTTCTTGAAAAAAGTGGAATGTTTTGTGGAAGTTATCCCATAATGGATGAAGCAGTGATGTTGACTGTTTTATTTATATATCTGTTATTGTTTTTCTACTGTAGAAATATTTGCGGATGTGTTTAAGAAAACTGTTGATATGTGCTATTAATATCTACTCAATTTCAGGCATAACATTCCCGGCCACACCTAAGGATGGCCAATCCTGCTCGTCCCAATTGCGCCACATCGCTATACACAAGGCCGGTCTACTTGATCACGCAACTATGGCCCACACTCCTGCCCTTAGGATTGACTACAACTACTACCAGATGTCCTACATCACCATCAACGACGCCCTGTCTGACGCCATCCACATCAAGTTCAATCACCCTCACACTGAGAACAAGCTTGAATATGGAAACATCACCAATGTGAATGGCAATGGCATCGTCTTGAGGAGCTCCAGGATGAACATCCTCTACACCCGAGTTACGAACAGCGATTCCGCGGGATTCTTGTTTGACCCATTCTTTACAGAATATGACTCTCTTCTCGTCCGAAACTCCATTTATGCCACAAGGCGAACCTACATAACAGAAAATCCACAGTTAAGCATTGGCGATAGAAGCATGATCTTCCTGCTAACTAAGCCCGGGTCTGCAACGGAGAGTAAATCGTATTTCTGCGAGTTGTTTGTGACTAGCACATTCCGCATCACACTGCAGGTGCTGGATTACTCCCCTTTGACTGACATCGAGGAAGTGACAGTGTATGATTCCAGTCGGTCACAGATTCAACAAAACACACACAGCTGGAAGATTGAGGAGGATCTCATTGACTTTCCCATCGTCTCCACTTCTCAGTACCTGACTATAAAGCTGGATATAAAGGGAGGAGTTCGTTCTGGGAGGCTGTCCTTTGCTGCAATATCATGTAAGTACTCACTCTCAGCTGGTTGTTTGTTTGCTTGTATGATTCTAAGCCATCTGTATGATTAAGCGCAAGTCACTGAAACTGGCCTCCCTATTCACTGAGTCAGCTGATACTACCAGAGATGTCTTCTGGGTGCCCGTTCTCACTCGGAATCCACACAGTGTTTACTGGAGGGGAGGTGGGGCAGCCTGGTGGTTAAAGTTTTTGTTAAACCTTCACGCCAAAGTCCCAGGTTCGATTACCCATATGGGTACAATGTGTGAAGCCCATTTCTGGTGTCTGCCACAGTGATATTGTTGGCGGCATAAAACTTAAACTCACTCACTCAGATTTCAACAGTGTAAATCAAATGTTGTTCTCACTCACTGAGGTGAAAATCAAGAGCACTTCAACTATGTTAACAATTAAGTGCTTTGAGCATGTATATGCATCGTTCGAAATACCTGCCTGCACGACTGCCCGGTTATTTTCAACACGGCCTGCCAGATTCTCAATTCACCTGCCCGATTGTCGGGTTAAAATTTAGTATATAAGTATTTTTTCTGTGGGCAGGTATGTTTTGGTCAGGGCTGGCAAGTTTTATACCTAACCAGCCCTGTGGTCTGGCTGAATTTTTTTTTGAGTTTCATACCCTGGTATATGGTGTGTATTTGGTACATTATAAATATGCACATTACTGTTTGAGTCTCAAACCTGCTCTGTTCCATGTTTTCAGATCAATATGAGCCAACACCTCCAGAACTGAAGACACATCTTCGTAACTGTACGTTCAACTACAATAACCAGGGCATCGTTACAAAGCATTACAACAACCCGTCCAACAGGAAACTCGAACTGTACCATCGGCACAAGCTGGAAACGTTCGTCTTTGAAAGAATCAACGTGTTCCACAGCAGGAAGGAGGCCATGTACATGCCGAGTGTCACCAAGTACAATGAGGACTATATCCCCACCTGGGAGGAGATGACCATTCCTCAGAAGGTGGCAACCATTGAGTATACCATTGACCAGTGCCACTTCCTCGACAACGAGTATGGAATTCTGGCCGAGCATAATCATGTAGACTTTGCCAACAATGTCTGGCACTGGACTGTGAAGCGTTCTGACATCATGAATGTCAACAATGGTGGCTTTGAGGTTGAGCTGCCAAGGGTTAATGATGAAGGAGGAGGAGTTAAAAAACACAAGATACTGTTCCAGGACAACATTGCAAAGAACAACAGGAAATTTGCTTTTACTGTTGCCGGATATTACGCCAATGTTAGCATAAGGAGTAACACGTTTACAAACAACTTGTGTAGGAAGGGCCTCATGATGATCTCGGGCATGGAAAAGGACATGTATATATACAGCAATAAGATTGAATCCAACTCAGGGACCTACATGATCGACCTGGACATTATAAGCCATTCGGAATACTCCAACCAAGTGGCAGGGCTCATGGAACTCAATGAAATAAAAGGCAACCAGTATTTTCCTGGACAGGTGGCGCCAGGTTCTGAATACAGCCCTAAGACCTTCACGGTTGCCTTCCGAGGGCTACAGAGTATGAAGGCCAAAAGAAACCTGTTTGAGAATCCGGACCTTGGATTTGAGCTGGTGGCAGCCACAACAGCCCTCTCCCTTGGGAACACTGTCGATGTGACGGAAAACTGGTGGGGTTCAACCAATATTGATGTGATTAGGAAGAGGATCTTTGATTTTGACGACTGGAACAGCTATGCCATTGCAAGCTACCATCCCTACTTAACAAGAGCGGATGTGAACTCTGACCTGGCCACTGGTCCACCTGTGGATCTTCCTATCGATCTGCGCCGACTTGGAGGTCGAGTTACTACCTCTCTGAGTTTGCCTTACCAATCCACACCCTACACAGTTGTTGCCGACTTGACTATCATGCCGCAGGCAACACTGACTATCGCTCCTGGAACCGTGCTGCAGTTCAGACCAAATGTGGGTATTCTCGTTCTCGGCAAACTTCAGGCTCGGGGACTTCCCTACAACAGAATCAAACTCGAGCCTCTGAAGGACACCACTTTGCCCAGAGTGAAAAGAGAAGCTGAATGGTCGGAACACAGACAGAAGCGTCAAGTCTTAGGAGATGTGCACCTAAAAGGAGATGGTACTCTTTTCAATGATGAGGGATTCCTGGAGCTCTACAACACTTCCACCCAGTCCTGGAACATCATGTGCGACAACCAGTTCAATGAGAAAACAGCAGAGGTTGTCTGCAGAGCTCTTGGCAAGGAAACAATAAATGTTCGGGTCCGATTCACACACTTGTATGACCACTACATTTATGGCAAACCAAGTTATTTCCGAAAGGAGTTCTGGACATTTAGTTACTACTGTCGAGGCGATGAGACCTCATTGGAGCAGTGCGAGAAGCGGTACAACTACAATCTACTGCCATGTATCTATGCCGCCAACTACACCTTCATCACGTGCGGGCCGCGGAACCTGGAGAGTGATGTGGACTACTGGGGCAACATCAGGTTCGCTACGGACAGCTACCAGGAGAAGTTCACTCTGGACCAGACGTTTTACCAGGACTCCTATGTTGAGTACATGGATATAGAAGGAGCTGGTATCCTGCATGGGGAAAAGGTTGGTGCCATCCAGACAACCTATGTCACACCAGTCTTCAAGAACATCAACATCACCAAATGTGCTTCTAATGGGTATGACATCATCGCACCCAGAGACATGATGGAAATACGGAATCAGAACATTTCCGGGAATCTTGGGTTCGGTGTGAATGTCCTCGTCCTGAACGGGGAATCGAGTTTACGAGAATCGTCCTTCACTCCGCTCGGTATCAGCACGATCCCATACCATGTGTATGGACTGGTTGACATCTGTCGGATGGAGAAGGAAATCACGCTGGACAACAGAATGATCCTTTACTATAAATACTCCCACAAAGCTGTGGACTGTGTCAAAATTATCAGAAGCTCCAACCCAAGGAAGACTGTCGGACTCCGATTTCTGCAGCTTAATCTCTACCATGAAGCCTTCTCGCGGCGGAACTCCATTGAGTTGTTTGATGGTCGAGGGGATAACCTACTGAAACAAATCCTGGCCAACACAAGTGGGGCTGATCTGCTGAGGCAGTACACCAGCACCGGTGATACTCTCGCCATTCACATGCACGCCTCCGTCTCCTTCCAGTATTATGGATTTATTGCTGAAATCGTAACTGTGCCACCCACGGGATTGACATATCCTGGTAAGTTAACATTTAAACCACATCTGTGTTTTTTTCTTGCTTCTATAAAAATGTATATCCTGCATTTCTTTTCAAAATTTACAGCTGAAATTAAGAAGGCTTAGTGGAACTGTTAATTTGATTTAATAAAAATCTTTATGTGTGCATTTTAATTGTAAATTTTATATCAAGATTGTTATGAGGGAAATGAACCTGATACGCCATGCTGACAGCATTCAGACTGTTAAGGCACAAACCTCTTGCCATATTGTCATAATTACACAGCTCGATACAAATGAAAACTTGACAGTTCATAAATCATATTTTCTTCATTAATTCTCTTCAACTCTTAATGCAGCCATTGTTTTACTGAAAGCTGATTTTGTGTACCCATGTGAAATACTTTGATGACAAAGGAACAAATAATTTAAAATTTTGTAATTTGATATTCATCTACTTTTCAGTTTCTTTAACAAATTTGAATTGTAAAAAATCATCATTGATCATTATAAGTTTGATTCTTTGTGATTGTATTATTAAAAACAGATGATGTCATGTTTGGATTAAACAGAGATTTGAGATAATTTTTCTTGTTCTACAGACAGCAACTACCGACATGTGCTGCAGCAGACGGTTATAAGGAGCAACCAAGATGGTGCCATTCAGTACAAAAATGTTGGGGAGATAAATCCGTCCCTCTTCATCGATCACTGTTGGCTTGAAGATAATGGTGTGGCCATATTGAACCTGACCTCTCCACCAACGATTGATATTTCACTGCAAGGAACGGTTCTGTTCGACTTCAGCCACAACTACATTGGTCGAAACAAAGGTGGAATGTATTTCTCTGCTAGGACCAAAACCATCGCAACTGCATTACGTGGAAACATTTCCAATAATGTGTTTGCATATGGTTCCCATGGTGAGGCTCTCAACATCTCCGGCCATTATTACCAGCGTGTTTTCCTGTTCCAAAATTACTTCTACAACTACACAGCAGGGGACTACCGTGATGTCATTCACATCAAGGATGTGGTTGTGAACTTCACCTACAACGTCATTACAAATAATGTCGGTCATTACATCCTGGCGGCCTACAATAATCCTGATCCACAGGCACGGCAGGAGTACACTAGGTGTGGCTTCGATGACAACAACGCGACAGCCCTGTATGAGAGTACTGTCAAGGTGGGCAGAGGTCGCCCTGTCTTCCACCATAACTATCTCGTCAATGAGCTCAACGACTTTGAGTTTCAGTCAAGCTCGAAAGAAGAGTAAGAATCTCTGTTTTCTCTTTCTTTGATAGATTTAAACTGGTTTAATTCTTGTCCTAAATTTATGGGAAATGAATTCCTGGGAGCAGTGTTTTAGTTCTGGAAATTTCAATCAACATCTTGGTTGAAAATCTTTTACCCTGTCTGGGTCCTGTTTCACAAAGAAATCATAAATGACTGTCAGATATCCTTGACTTTAACGTTTACTAACAGCCTAATAAGATGGCTATGTACCCTTTGGCTGTTTTATGATGCATTAATGGCCCTGTCGTCTGCGGTGTTGCAATTTGCTGTGTAGAGTTGTGTCCCATAACTGTTCTGGGATCCGTCAATCCTAGATTTAAATTCCCTGTTCCCCCAGATATAAAATTTAGTCAGTCAGCACCACAGTCTTGACTTCATGAAAGTGTCCATGACTTGTCTCATCTCAGTATGCTGGTACACCTTCATATGGATGCAGCATTGCTCAAATTGAGACTATCATTCAGATGAGGCATTGTCTCCCTTACTACTTAGAAACTTACTGTCTAACACAAAACAAGGAAGTTGTTTGACCTTTGGAAAGAAGGTATAACAAGTATTTTTACTGATGCTTATATTTGACTTTATACATTTGCTGAACTAATTGTTATGGTTTGCAGTCCTTCAGAGCTTCCTGTGAATGCGACCCAGAACTGGTGGGGGTCGGACCGAATCGGGTACATCAACGGGAAGATCTGGGATGAATCCGATAACCCGCTGCTGTCTCCAGTTGTCTTCAAGCCGCCAAAGCTGGACAACAGATCTGTCGTTGATGGTGAGCTTCATAGAATTAATGATCAGTCTGAGCCTTGTAAAACGCTAAGCGATCTTTTAGATAATTATTCCACCACAACTATCTTGTCAATAAGCTCAAAAGAAGAGTAAGAATGTCTGTTTTCTGTTTCTTTGATTGATAGATTTCAACTGGTTTGAAGCTTGTCCAAAATTTCTACAATGCATTTATCCCTAATTACAATAAACTAGGACTTTGTTGTTGATTTTCTTGAGTAACCGTGATATTGTAGCTACTATTTACTTTTAGTCTTTCATTATTTTTGTTGTTGTATAATTATGTTAAAAATGTGTGAAGGTGTTCCCCCAGCCATGTGGTTCCCTCACACTTCATGTAAATATATTGCTCTATACTTTTTAATAATTGCTTTTTATAAATACATGAATTAAATATCTGTTCATATGTAGATTTGTCACTGCAGGGACATTGTTATTGACTTTGTTAGGAGTGTTTCTGTATTGGGACTTTCTCTCTCGTTACGACTGACCTTCCCATGTTGTGTCTGCTTCAGGCCAGTGTAGACCAGGCTGGAAGCTGGACACAGGGCGTTGCTACCGGTACATGGGGGGAGCCCTGCCCTTCTACCAGGCTAACGATTTCTGTAGGGTGAGTTGCTTCTACTGGAATGTTTCTGTGTTTTTAACTCTGGATTCAACTTCCACCGGTATGAGAGCGGTGTGCAAAGGTCATTTGTTTGTTTGTTGTTTGTAAATACGCTCTCCCAGACAATATTCCAGCAAGCTATGATGGCGGGACGGGCGACATGTGTCAACCAAGTCAGCTAGTCTGACCTCTCACTTCCTCTTACGACAAGCATCTTACTGAAGACCAGTTCAAAGACAATCTAGTGATTAACAGCAATTCCAGCATTGATCTGGACGACAATCCAGGGGATATCGATCTGTGCAACTGATGACATGTGTCAACCAAGTCAGCTAGTCTGACCTCTCAATCCTGTTATTCATTGTTCATTGGTTCTTGTTTTACAGGGGTAGTTGTACATGGGAGGTCTCTAACTATGAGAACACTGATGTAAATAATTATGCTTTCAGAATAGAATACCTACTCTTAACTTTCAGTCAATGAAAAATGTATGATTATGTGTACAAATGATTTTATTTATTTAATATTTTATCACTGAAACGCTGAGTCATCACAGATTTCATGGACATTGAGTAGTGGTGGGGTAGCCTTGTGGTTTAAGTGTTTGCTTGTCATGCCAAAGACCCGGGTTCAATTCCCCACATGGGTACAGTGTGTAAAGCCCATTACTGGTGTCTCCCGCTGTGATATTCCTGGAATATTGCTAAAATCGTGGCGTAAAACCATACTCACACACTCACAGACATTGAATCTCAACAGAATGAGAATTACCTGTGCACTGAAAACTGAAAGTGACCAACTGATGGTGTGATTATTTGCAGGCTAATGGTGGTTTCCTGGCAGACCTGCGAGGTCGGGAGTATTTCCTGGAGTACTTGGTACGGCTGATGCGTGCTGTGGACAGTCCAAGGATGCGTGTTTGGGTGTTGGGGGAGGTAAAGTCCGGGTACTGCGCTGCCCTTCAGGGGAACAACATGGTCATAGAGGATGACTGCACAAGGCTCCTGTATCCATTCATCTGTGAGAAAGGTACGCAAACACGTTCTTGAGGGGAATCACACAACTGTGGTTATTCTTATCACATGAGGGGTGGTGGTGTAGCCTAGTGCTTAAAACGTTTGCTTGTCACGCCGAAGACGTGGGTTCTGATTCCCACATGGGTACAATGTGTGAAGCCCTTTTCTGGTATCCCTTGCTGGGATATTGCTAAAAGCTCCGTAAAACCCAACAATGTTTGAAGCCTATTTCAGGTGGTCACTGTGGTGATATTTGCTTGAATATTGCCAAAAGCAGTGTAAAACCTGTAAAACCTGTAAAACCACTCCAGTATCAGTGAGGGATGCCTAATGAGTATACTCAAATTTGAGTGCAATGTTGACTAGGGCTGGGACAAGTCCAAATTTTCTACCCAGGTACCCCATCCCCTATTACCCTACCCTACCAAGATACCCGTTATGTTAATTCCTGACATCAAATTTGTAAGAAATGGACTTATATTCTTCAGGCTAATATTTCGAGTTTTTCAATTCTTAATCATGTATTATATTCAAAACAGTAGACTGTAAATAATGTCTACATCTTCAAAGACAATACAACCTTTAAATCCTGAAAGAATAACATATTACATTGTTTGATCTATTAGTCACATGATCATAATGGGTCTGGGTATTTAGACAGGTACCCGGGTTCAACTCGTTACCCACCCGTCCCGGGTATCCAGATTACCCATCCCAGCCCTACTGCTGACACAATTGTTTATCTCAACCACACGATTGTGATAGACGGTAGAGATACCATACTGCATGTATTCCCTGGCGTAATTTTTCTGCCAGAGGATAGATAACATTGATGGTCGAGGTCCTTGAGATCTAAATTGGACTACAAAACAACTTGTGTGAATAGCAACTTGAGATTGATGAAATTTAGCATCATCATGATCTGTCAGATATATTCACTCTGTGTAAGATCAAAGTTGCTGGAGGGCAAAATAGGGCAAAAAGGATTATGAATGAACATAGAGACTTTTCTGGGTTTCATCTTCTTTTTATTGTTTTTTATTGAAATCCAGAATAGTCTTGTTGTTCATCAAATAGCATCTTCTACAATGCCAAGCAAGCATCTAAGGATTATGAATGTTCTAATCATTTATGATGTGTTTTGTAAAGTCATAGATAATGGTTATGTCAAGGTCACTTTTGCGTGGCAAATGCAGAACCTTTACAAGAGGTCGTCTACAGCTGCTACACTCCAGGGTGGCGTTGTACAAAACAACCTTAACGCTATGACTATCTGAAGTCTATGTTAATGTATGGGAGCTACAGTCACCTTAGCGCTAAGATCGCTGTGTACAACGGCACCCGGGTCCTTGGGTTATGGACAATCCTAGGCTGAATAGACAAGATGAAGCTTCTCTTCCTAGGGCAATTCTGTAGAGCAGCCGGCACAGTCACTGTGAAGCCGATCTTCTATCTGAGACTGTGCCAGTATGTCACCACTACCACACGTAGTACCAGATCCATAACTCATGATCTACTAAATGTAGCCAAGAAGTATGGATTATCAGATTTCAAATTCGGTGAATTTCCTTACAAAATTCATGAGTATCGTGTTTTGGCAATGAATGTACAGATACATTGTTTGATCCAGATGCCTGAACAGATAGTGTAAGAAAATTTGTCTGACAGCGATGACAGAATTTGAATGAGGAACAGATGTGAATGTTTGTAATTGTGAATGGCTATATATGGTATATGTGTTACATTGAATGTATAGGTATAGCTGACTGAGATGTTAGTGTATGACAGACTGTATGACAGTGACATGTTTGAGATGTACGTTTTATAGTTAATGTATGGCTCATATGCTGTGTGTCTCAGTAGGGTTAGTGTATGACAGACTGTATGACAGTGACATGTTTGAGATGTATGTTGTATAGTTAATGTATGGCTATATGCTGTGTGTCTCAGTAGGGTTAGTGTATGACAGACTGTATGACAGTGACATGTTTGAGATGTATGTTGTATAGTTAATGTATGGCTATATGCTGTGTGTCTCAGTAGGGTTAGTGTATGACAGACTGTATGACAGTGACATGTTTGAGATGTATGTTGTATAGTTAATGTATGGCTATATGCTGTGTGTCTCAGTAGGGTTAGTGTATGACAGACTGTATGACAGTGACATGTTTGAGATGTAATGTTGTATAGTTAATGTATGGCTATATGCTGTGTGTCTCAGTAGGGTTAGTGTGCATGACAGACTGTATGACAGTGACATGTTTGAGATGTACGTTGTATAGTTAATGTATGGCTATATGCTGTGTGTCTCAGTAGGGTTAGTGTATGACAGACTGTATGACAGTGACATGTTTGAGATGTATGTTGTATAGTTAATGTATGGCTATATGCTGTGTGTCTCAGTAGGGTTAGTGTATGACAGACTGTATGACAGTGACATGTTTGAGATGTATGTTGTATAGTTAATGTATGGCTATATGCTGTGTGTCTCAGTAGGGTTAGTGTATGACAGACTGTATGACAGTGACATGTTTGAGATGTATGTTGTATAGTTAATGTATGGCTATATGCTGTGTGTCTCAGTAGGGTTAGTGTATGACAGACTGTATGACAGTGACATGTTTGAGATGTATGTTGTATAGTTAATGTATGGCTATATGCTGTGTGTCTCAGTAGGGTTAGTGTATGACAGACTGTATGACAGTGACATGTTTGAGATGTATGTTGTATACTGTAGTTAATATATGGCTATATGCTGTGTGTCTCAGTAGGGTTAGTGTATGACAGACTGTATGACAGTGACATGTTTGAGATGTATGTTGTATAGTTAATGTATGGCTATATGCTGTGTGTCTCAGTAGGGTTAGTGTATGACAGACTGTATGACAGTGACATGTTTGAGATGTATGTTGTATAGTTAATGTATGGCTATATGCTGTGTGTCTCAGTAGGGTTAGTGTATGACAGACTGTATGACAGTGACATGTTTGAGATGTATGTTTTATAGTTAATGTATGGCTATATGCTGTGTGTCTCAGTAGGGTTAGTGTATGACAGACTGTATGACAGTGACATGTTTGAGATGTATGTTGTATAGTTAATGTATGGCTATATGCTGTGTGTCTCAGTAGGGTTAGTGTATGACAGACTGTATGACAGTGACATGTTTGAGATGTATGTTGTATAGTTAATGTATGGCTATATGCTGTGTGTCTCAGTAGGGTTAGTGTATGACAGACTGTATGACAGTGACATGTTTGAGATGTACGTTTTATAGTTAATGTATGGCTATATGCTGTGTGTCTCAGTAGGGTTAGTGTATGACAGACTGTATGACAGACTGTATGACAGTGACATGTTTGAGATGTATGTTTTATAGTTAATGTATGGCTATATGCTGTGTGTCTCAGTAGGGTTAGTGTATGACAGACTGTATGACAGTGACATGTTTGAGATGTATGTTTGTATAGTTAATGTATGGCTATATGCTGTGTGTCTCAGTAGGGTTAGTGTATGACAGACTGTATGACAGTGACATGTTTGAGATGTACGTTTTATAGTTAATGTATGGCTATATGCTGTGTGTCTCAGTAGGGTTAGTGTATGACAGACTGTATGACAGACTGTATGACAGTGACATGTTTGAGATGTACGTTTTATAGTTAATGTATGGCTATATGCTGTGTGTCTCAGTAGGGTTAGTGTATGACAGACTGTATGACAGTGACATGTTTGAGATGTATGTTGTATAGTTAATGTATGGCTATATGCTGTGTGTCTCAGTAGGGTTAGTGTATGACAGACTGTATGACAGTGACATGTAGTGACAGTGACATGTTTGAGATGTACGTTGTATAGTTAATGTATGGCTATATGCTGTGTGTCTCAGTAGGGTTAGTGTATGACAGACTGTATGACAGTGACATGTTTGAGATGTACGTTTTATAGTTAATGTATGGCTATATGCTGTGTGTCTCAGTAGAGTTAGTGTATGACAGATTATGAATCAGTAACATTTAGGGATGTATGACAAACTGAAGGGATTTTTTTATATGCTTATTTATTCAATTATTATTATTTAGTCTGCTCATGGAACTTAAAGTGTATGTTATATATGTGTAATTATGTCATACACGATGTTTATACAGCTCTTAATATTTCTCTTTTTTATGAAAATCCTGTTTCCTTCTCATATGTATGTTTCCATTCATTCAATCAATCATTCAATCAATCATTCAATCAATCAAATACTATATTTCACCATTTTATAACTATGTTGCCATATTCATTAAACCTATCTTCTCAGTTTTGTATTATGTACATCCAATTATTATTATTTAGTCTGCTCATGGAACTTAAAGTGTATGTTATATATGTGTAATTATGTCATACACGATGTTTATACAGCTCTTAATATTTCTCTTTTTTATGAAAATCCTGTTTCCTTCTCATATGTATGTTTCCATTCATTCAATCAATCATTCAATCAATCATTCAATCAATCAATCAATCAATCAAATACTATATTTCACCATTTTATAACTATGTTGCCATATTCATTAAACCTATCTTCTCAGTTTTGTATTATGTACATCTTTGACAGATACACGCCCTAATTTTCATTAAAAAGCAAAAACAAACGGTATGCTGTTCCAGATTAGCTATTTCCACTTCAACCTCTAAGACAAATATGATATAGCTGGACTTATTACTGTAGCTTAAAACAATGGCTGATTCACACCGAGTAATAGATGACTTCCTCTTTTTTCAGATCCATATATTACCCTGCCCCCAGAGGTAACAGACTATGTGAAAGCAATAGCGATTGGTGTTGGTGTTGGTATTGGAGGGCTCATTGTCCTTGTTGTCCTCATCATCGCCATCTTGTGGTTTATCAAGTCTCGAAGACGAGGCAAGGAAAGGTTCGAGCGAGCTATGTCCATCAGGTCGTCAATCCGGGGAAGCATCAGAAGCAAGTCTCAGCTGACTGTCTTGTCCACTGGAACATCCAGACAACGGATGAACGACTTCAGGGATGAAGTGTCTCAACATTCTTATGCTTCAAGAACCTCCCGAGGAACAAGTCTTGGTAACAGTGTTGAGAGTATTCAATCAGCTCCTCGACCTGCTGTTGGTCGGACAATGGCCTCCCTCAGGAAACAGCCTCTTCATAACAAGGGCTATTATCATGATGAGAGTGTGCGGCAAGATGATGACGATGATGATGATGGCTTTGATGATACGTTTGATGATGATGATGTTGATGAAAAGGATGTGAAAGTGAGTTTGGAGAACATTGAAGGCCCAGTGTACAACAACGGACATGTCAATCACCAGGGCCAAGCTCCCAGGGTTAGAAATGGGAATCTTCGCCATGTCGGGTCACAGGAAGTTGCGTACAATTATGACCATGGTGATGAAGAAGATGATGATGATGATGATGATGATGATGAAAGAGTTACCACAAACAGTCCTTGTCAAGCTTCAGTGCTCCTGAAAGTCCATCAACTCCAGTCAAGAATACAATCTTCCTGCCAAGAAGCACTCAAAGCCTTGCATCCCAGCGATCTGATCTCCGTTCACAGCCTCTACCTACTCCCCCACCAACACCCCCTGTCTTAGGTCGCTATAGCAACGTCCCAGGTCACAACTCTCCCCAACAGAGACCGTCACCCAATCTGTATGATGATGTTCCATCAGAGACAAGCAGCAATCCCAGATATGGAAATGTCCCTGGGTACAATCCCCAGAGTCCACAGAGAATGCCTGCAAGGTCCACTCCAGATCTGTACGATGACGTCCCTTCGGAAACCAGCAGTGCCAACAGATACAGCAATGTTCCAGGCTATAGTCCCAGTAAACACCAACCACAGACGTCAGCCAGATCTACACCAAATCTATATGATGATGTGCCTTCAGAGTCTGGCAGTGACCACAGGTATGGAAATGTACCAGGATACCATCGCCCACCAATCCACAGACCACAGCCAGTACCACGAACACGCACACCAGATATATATGACTATCCACCAGGCAGCAATACGCCAGAGTTCAGAGAATCACCAAATCCATCGCAGCGAGGGTTTCAAGATAGCAATCGACAGTCACCAGTCCCAGCAGCTCGTGTAAAACCTGTTCCTGCTCATCGACCTTCACCATTGACCGTGCAACCGACAATGATTGCAGCATCCCCATCGGTGCAGCCACCACCTCAACAGAGATTCACTCAGCCGCCCACCTACCGTACAGTGCCTCGGGACAATGTCTTGTACCTCCAGCAGAAGCTGAAATCTCCAAATGAAGAGAGTGTGGAGACTGAGATCTAGATTAAAGAAACAGTAGAGAAAAAACAGAAATTATCAATACCACTTGCATCAGTGGCGTGGGTGTCAAGGACAAGGATTCGTGGAACGTGGGTTTCACACAGCAATCCTCAGTATTTCAGCTACTGCAGCACCTATTCTTTAACATATACCTTAACATAGACCTGTGGTTGGTGTATGTCTAAGGTCTCTTTGTGTAACAGATCCATGTCAAAGAGGTCAATAAGAACTAAAAGAGGTCTGTTATGAGAAATACTGGATCTAGAAGTTGACTCAGATTGAAAAAAGAGAAAGGAAAGATTGGGTGTCATGCAAACAGAAAGGTTTGACAAGTTATTTTGTTGGTTACAATTTTGAAAGGAAAAGATGTAGGGACCATTGAGACGTTTTTTAACATTGTGGTTTTGTGGCTTTTGTTTGGTATCACTGTATCACAGAGAACGTACAACACTATCCGATATATGAAGAAGTACCATATCAGCTGTAATTGTTTGTTGTGATTGAGAGGAAAACTTGCCTTACTTTATATTTAATATTTTAGCAAAGATGGACTTATTTATATGGAACATATTTTATAAACCATGCTCAATCCATATACTTGTGTTCGGCTATTTTACAGAGAATGGTGCAAGGTACTCAAGCTGTTTGGTGCTGTCTAACATGAGCGAGCTGAACTTTCTGAAAGGAGAAAGAAATATTCTCTCTATAATCCAAAGTTCCCTGATAGCCATTTTTTTTAGAAACGTGGTAATCAGCTTTTATAGAATATATGTCACATTCCATACCCGTCATATATGTTTTGTTTACCAAGGATTGTAATTCTTTCCCTTAAAACATCTCACACTGTCAAGGGGCCAATTCAACAAAGTGATTTTCGTGCAAAGATGATCGTAACTGCCATACACCAGTGTGTGACCGTCGTAGTGCAGAGATTGTATTGTCTAGAATGGCTCTGGATAGAATATAATGTATTTGAAATGTGAATTCCCGTGCGAAATCACTTCTACCTCAGATTGTATGTGATTATGGTAAATTCTATCGCAAAGTGTGCCTTAGCAGAAACAGGGTGTAGAACATCATAGGACACTTTTAGAACATTGTAGAACATTGTAGACTTAAAACTTTGCCAGCCGTAGGTGATGGATATAGGGACATTGTCTCAAGAAATTGTTTTAATATAATTTTCATGATTTTGTCATTTCAGATTTTTAATAATAATCACTTAACATTTTCTAACTAAAACATACTTTGTGTATCTTTCAATTCATTTATTCATTTTAGCCATACATGCAAGTTATATATTGTTTTATATGTATATTGTCGATGTTATCTATTAACATAAAAAGTGCTGAGGTTATACATATAATAAGAAAATAAAAGAAACAGATAATGATATGCCTTATGTCAAGAGGAAACTGAGTTGTTTTATATTGTAATTTTCTGGTTGCTTTTGGTGAACAACAGATGAAGTAAAACACACATGGTGATATTTCATTTTCATTACGTTATTAAAATTAATGACAGATAATAGGGGATCATTCAAATACTATGCAATAATGGATGACAAAACTCTTACTGTCCATATATAAAGAGTGCTTGGATAGTTGGCAAGGTGATAACCATGTACCGATTCTAATTCCTGCAGTATTCCTATATCATTGATATATAATACATATCATGCATAATTTGCCTCTAGTGTGAAGGGGATGTGTTTTAGGGAAAGTAGTTTCTACTAAAATTGTTTCCATGAAATTATTTGAAAAGGCCTGATGATTTCAAGGCCACATTTTGCTATTTTCTGGTATACAAGTCACTACTGAGTTGGTTTAAACATAAAAAGCTATCCCTGTCTATATATTTTATTTTTGCGTTATGTTCTGGGATGTAACTGATGTGATAATATTTGAATCCTGGTTGAAGAATTGCTGTAATTTTAATTCTTTTGGTTTTATTATTAGAATTTTAGAAATATTGTGGACTTGTGATTGTGTACATGAACACTCATTCAAATGTCATAGTTTTTTACAGTAAACTTCCCAGAGATGAACTACATTGAAAGCCATTTTGCCAAATTCATTAACAGTGTATATAACCACTGAAGCCACTTTTGGAGGAATTGTATGTTCGGTTTTTCTGAATAGTTTGGTAGATTTAAACATCAGATGATACCTTGTACTTTTGCAACGTCAAATTAATTTGACATTTTTTGGTAAAATGTTTTTGAATATTGATTTAAAATTTAGATAAAGAGCTACATATCCTCTTGTCGTTTATTATATATTTACAATTGATTACAATATTGATTACTGCCTTGTGTGATATGCAATGACAAATATCCACAAGTGGGGAGTGTGTGTGTACGTCCTATTGTCAACTAGCCTCCAAGGCAGCAGCAGCAGCAACATTTAAGCATTTTAATCTTGTACAGAAACCTAAGGCTTTCTTTTTGTACTGTTTTTACCAACTTTTGTAAATACTAGAATTTGTATGTGTAGATACTAGATTTCCTGTCTTCAATGGTTTGGAGTATACATTGAATAGAACCTGTTTGTACTGTTTGAAAACAGCAGCAAAATTCAGATTTGATGAATTGTGTGAATGTCCGAAAACTGAATTGTTTCTTTGTACATGTTTGAAGAAATGGCATGTTTTAAAAGCTGATCATGTTATATTTTGTATGTATGATTTATACTTTTATATATACATTGTATTTCATAAGCACCAGGTGTCATTTGCCTTTGAAACAAGACTACAGCAAAAACATCTCACATATTCATTCTGAGCACAAAAGGCCTTCAGCTTGTTCCTAATATTTTGTCCATGAGCAGGGGAACAGATGACCGCTTATATGCTGAGTTGGGAACCTGGGCTGTAGTCGAAGGCAAGGGGAGACTACTCTCAGCTGCAGGGTTTCTTTTTTTATATAAATATCATCTATTGCTGATTGGTCTTCCACAGTTATCAACAGGGTTTATTTTTTATGTATATGCTTTTAATCATGCGAGTCCTGTCTATCGCAGTCCACAATGGACATTTTAACTCTGTTAAATGCACAACATGCAGCATGAAACTCCTGCCTTCCAATTAAATAGACAGACTGCAACAAAAACATGTACATCTTACAGTGCTAAGGTTATTATACACACCTACAGAATATTCTGTAATAGTGCTGTACATTGAACATTAGTTTGTTGATCCTTGTGACTTGGACTAACGGGACCGGGTGGTCAGACTCGCTGACTTGGTTGACACACATCGGTTCCCAATTGCGCAGATCGATGCTCATGCTGTTGATCACTGGATTGTCTGGTCCAGACTTGATTACTTTACAGACCGCCGTCATATAGCTGGAATATTGCTGAGTGCGGCGTAAAACTAAACTCACTCACTCACCTTGTGACTTGACTGTCAACTTACTTCAGGCTCTGTATATACGTAGCTTTAGAGGTAGCTGTCTATATTTCCATGTCTGTTGATGTTTCCATGTTTTCTGAAAACTCTAAATTTATGTCTTCGTCTCTGGTTATATTCTCATTGTTTTGTGTTGCCAATTCATTGCAGACATATGGAAGGGTTGTGCTGCAGTAAGTCAGTTGTTGGTAGGCCTGTAACAACCTGTTTATATAAGCAACATATTGTTTTCTTTCTTTTTCCCCCTTATGTTAACAGGTGAGAATATTGTAAATATTGACATAAATCCATTCCTGTTTCTATGTGATACTGACACAGTAATCTGTATAAATTCAAGCTCAATCATATATCTCAATCAATCATCATCCTTGATATTTTCTCCATCTTGTTAAGGAAAGTGTCAGATGACTGTGATCACACTGATCTCATTGTCAGTTCCATTGTACATATGTCATTTTCATGCTTGTCAGAAATGAGATCGTTTATACATCTATTTGATAATAAACAATTAAGATAACCTTGTGTTAATCTCATTATTGGATTCTTAAAAGAGACGGTAAATGAGAAATAGTGTTCTTATTGAAGGACTAGGTATGGGACAACCTCTAAAAGTAAGTACCCAGCAGGTGACAATTCAGTGTGAGCTGAGTTTGAACCGTTTTGCTGTGAATAGTTTTGTTATACGATGTGGTCACGGCTGGGGTCAGCTGCAGGAAACCAAAATGATGACAGTTGTCTACCTCCCTGGTGGAACCCACAAGCATGGTGCTGACACATATCTAGGCAAACCAGATTTGAACCAATGATCACAGGTTCTGGAATGCCTAAAGGATGCAACTCTGCACAGCAAATTGCAGTGCTTTTGTCTTTCCTACCTGTTAATAATAGGTGATAATGGCTATTTATAAAGCACCTGTTTCCAGGCACATGTTCATGCTGAAGGCACTAACACATTAACCAGATAACCCAAGCTGTTTGTGGGGTGCTAGAAGGTTAACAGTCATATTACTTATCCCACCGGGTACCCATTCACTGCTGGTTGAACAGTTAATTTATGAACAAACTCACTTGCCTTGGGTGAGACTATGTGTTGTGTGCTTCTTCATAGGAACTCTCAAGTGTCAGTTGCCAGACACGGTCACCCATCCGAGAGTGAGTGAGTGAGTTAGTTTTACGCTGCTTTTAGCAATATTCCAGCAATATCACGGTGGGGGACACCAGAAATGGGCTTCACACATTGTACCCATGTGGGGAATCGAACCCGGGTTCGACGAGCAAACGCTTTAACCACTAGGCTACCCCACCGCCACCACACCCATCCAAGAACTGTCCACAACTATCAATTGTGACCTGGGCTGTATGCACAGGACCATACATCCCCACATGGTTCTGTTCCCCCTGCTAATCAAGTAACTGTTGCAGGTGGGAGTTCTAAAAGCACCAATGTTGGTTCTAATGTTAGAAATTTTACAATTTATCTTGGACATACTTACATAGTTTGGACTGCATGCTCAAGATGCTTATATGCAAAAAAAAACAACAGAGTGATCATTGGACATAAGCTTTAATGACCCATGTGATTGAGGGATTCACATATACAAGTTAATATACACATAATATACACAAACATATTAAAACAATCCACTCATGGTGCAGTTTACAAGAAACCGCAATTCAGGATAAAAGCTGCATTTGCACAGAATTGACCAAATACAAGAACAAGAGCATAACAAGAGCATAATTAGCAAACTTTTGTAAAGTTTTATGTAACTATGGTGACTAGACTGAATGAAAAACTGGAAACTGCCATAAAAACGAAATAAATGACTTGCAGCAGCACTGAAATTCAGAATACCCATGGCTCATAGGTTACCAGTTCCATCGTATATGTAATATACTGATCAAAATACATAAACATAATCCAGGAAAAACGGAGCCGTTATCTTTTTATGATTGTTTTCTCATTTAAAATCCACAAGTACTGTAGTATTCTATCAATAAAGGTATATAATCTCCAAAAACAGCACACCTAAAAACACCTATACCTATGACTAAAGGTTACATGAAAACATACTAACATAAAAGATTAACTGATTAATCAAAAATGTCTATTTCTGCTGTCCGAAAACTCTTCACCGATATCTGGTATACAACTTCAATCTAAGAACTAAACAGCCTTCAGTGTTTAACACTGAAATACTATAACCAACAAATGGTGTCTCATGTAGGCTTGTCACTGTGGATTATATCGATAATCATACTTATTGGACAAATCAAAGTAATCAAAACAAATGAACACGCTTTGCTTGACATTCTGTTTGTCTACATCCAGAGCACAACTGAATAAAAAATTACAGCTACTTGACACCCTTACAGTATATCACATGATTTATTGCACCAAAACTTGACATTTGACATGGGCACATTAAAATCATTTCCCAAAGGTTACAATTAGATTAAGAGTGTCAAGACAGGTCCCTTATGAAAATACTCTAAGACCTGTTCCAAAGTCACTGCCTGATTTTGAGATATTGCTGTCTGGCATCCAAATCGACTGAATGCGATACAATGACATCTTCTATACTATCATGTCAGTAAAGAAATATTGTCCACTCATCAGTACATGCGGGGAAAAAGCTGATGTGACAAAAAGGCCCACTCAACTATACATTGCAAAAATACACTTCAAAGGTGTGAAGGTTTTGCAGACCAAGATGGCCATCCACAATGACTATCAAACATGTAATGATTACAAATTCTCAAATCAACCAAGTCATAGTCATAATTGAGCATTCATATGATTCTAAAACTCTTCAATCAGTAGCAAGAACTGTATAGCTGAATCATGGCATCTAAAATAGCATATTGACAAGTATATATACAAAAAGAACATAAACATGGATTAATAAAAAAGTATGTACACAGGACATTCCTTATAATACAAAACATTTATTAATTATGATAATATTTGATGTATGAAGTATATACAGTCAGCACAGTGTGTTCGTCTTGGACAAATCTAGACACACCTCACTTGTAAACAAGCAGTCATAATTAAAAACTATTGGTTCTCATGTGCTGACTTTTGAAAGTAGGCACAGATTGACTGTCAGTTTGATTTTAGCATGACAGACATCTTTTCCTGGGTGAATTGTCATTGTCTAATGACAATAACTACAATAATAACATGCCAGCATGTTTTACTGATTCAGGATGTGCATGAAAATCCATTTGTATTTTCACTTCTACAGCTTGAACTGTTCCTACACAAACAACCAAGACTACAACTATAGAGAAGATTCAGACTTGGAGGAATAAATTTGTCAGGAACCTCGAGCAGACGTCATTGTTGCATGTGTTTGTGTTTCCTTTTCTGTGGCCCACACACAAGGACAAAGTTCTCTTTGGACCCTAAAATAGTCTTTTTATCCCTAATCAGTTACTTTCAAGATGCATATGAACACCAGCTTCAAATCCTTTCTTTTCAAAGTGAGAATAATAACATTACATGATATTCTGTGGTTTATCTCATAAAAGCATAAAGTAAATGACAGCAAGGCAGACTGTTGGACAATGTGGTTCAACATGCCCCAGGAATGCTCATGAATAATATCAGCTTAATCAACTTATTAGCTAAGATGCTCAGCTCAAATGTGATACAATGTATTTGAAGACTGACTGACTGACTGAGTTTGGTTTTACGCCGCTTTTAGCAATATTACAGCAACATCACAACAGGGGACACCAGAAATGGGCTTCACACATTGTACCCATGTGGGGATTTGAACCCGGGTCTTCGCCGTGATGAGCCAACGCTTTAACCATTAGGCTACCCCACCGCCCCTGTATTTGAAGATGAAGTACTGGTCAGTGGCATGCTTATTTCTGTCTGATTGTACAGACTATTAGTATAATGGTGTGTGGAGTACAAGACAAGCTTTATGAGAAGATTTATATTCACAGAGAGATCCAGACACTTTATGTACCTCAGTAACATGTGCTTGTTTCATCCTTGTTGGTGTTCAACATTTGAGAAAGCAATTGGTACAAATACATGCCTTCCCCCCAAAAGATTGAACATACCGGTACCAGTCTCTGTGGCATTGTTCCCCAATAAACTAGTTCCTGTTCAAATTGCAGAATTGTATAATTACTTCTTGGCACACAAATCAAGTCAGTGAAATGATGTTGAAACGTCCTTTAGCACTATCAAAACAGTACAGTCAAACTTTGTAAATATTTAACTTTAAAGTTTGAATCAGAATCCTGTAATTTTTTCAACTTTTAGTACTCAGCAGAAGCCCTGTCAAATCAACATCATTTGAGCTAATGTACATCCATACTGCTTTATGACAGGGAAAAAACATGCAGTTAAGCATTCCTTTATCATGTAATTTTCAAAATATCTGGAGAAACTATTACAAAAGTTACTTCTGAAACTACATATGAATACAATCTTTGAGAGATTCACCCCATGTACCATGTAGTGTTAAATGATTGGTAGTCATGATTTGCAACACCCATACCACTGGAAGCAATTATCTGAACTCATTGGGAATGTGATTGAGTGAGTGAGAGTGGGTGGGTGCATGCGTGCGTTTAACGCTGCTCTCAGCAATATTCCAGCAAAGTTACGGTGGAGGACGCCAGAAATGGGTACCACACACTGTACCCAGATAAGCATGATGAGCAAATGCTTTAATAAGTAGGATACCCTACCGCCCTGGGTATGTTAAGATTAGATTTGTATGGAGGTAAGAAGTGAATTCTGCTTGCTCAAGTAATATGCATATTTGAAATCTCTACCAAGTTTATTGGACTGATTTACTCAATGATAACACTATCCATTACCCAGTATAAGACAAAACTATGCATAAGTTTTAATTATTTTTCATTTCAAAGCAAGCACTAGTAAATCTGGTCTATTATTCCTTCTTGTTGATTCTCCACTTTATCATGAAAACTAAAAATAACATTGGTCCCACCTAAATAGACATGAAATAGGCCTCAATAAATATAAAGATCATCAAAAACTCAATTTGCTTTTTTCAAACATCTTTCTATCAAATTTATCATTCTGTGTGTTCACATATGAGACTCCTGTTGTGTTTACTATATAAAGATTTAAGCACTGTATGTCAAGCACCATAATCAATATGTTGTACAACATAGCACAAACTCACAACCTTCTATATCCAGAGTTGTAATGGGTTAAGTTATGAAAGAATTGGTATACCTGTAGACCAGGCCTGGAACAGATAACCCTTGTGGTCTCATTTGGAACATAAGCCATGTGACCAGACCTGGAACAGATAACCCATGTGGTCTCATTTGGAACACACAAGCCATGTGACCAGACCTTGAACAGATAACCCATGTGGTCTCATTTGGAACACACAAGCCATGTGACCAGACCTTGAACAGATAACCCATGTGGTCTCATTTAGAACACACAAGCCATGTGCCCAGACCTGATACAGATAACCAATGTGATCTCATTTAGAACACATAAGCCATGTGACCAGACCTGGTACAGATAACCCATGTGGTCTCATTTGGAACACACAAGCCATGTGATCAGACCTGATACAGATAACCTTCTTGTTGATTCTCCACTTTATCATGAAAACAAGAAATAACATTGGTCCCACCTAAACAGACATGAAATAGGCCTCAATAAATATAAAGATCATCATCAAAAACTCAATTTGCTTTTTTCAAACATCTTTCTATCTCATTTGGAACACACAAGCCTTGTGACCAGACCTGGTACAGATAACCCATGTGGTCTCATTTGGAGTGTGAGTGAGTTTTAGTTTTACGCTGCACTCAGCAATATTCCAGCTATATGGCGGCGGTCTGTAAATAATCGAGTCTGGGCCAGACAATCCAGCGATCAACAGCATGAGCATCGATTTTGAGCAATTGGGAACCGATGACATGTGTCAACCAAGTCAGCAAGTCTGACCACCCGATCCCGTTAGTCGCCTCTGACGACAAGCATAGTGGCCTTTTGTGGCAAGCATGGGTTGCAGAAGACCTATTCTACCCCGGATCTTCATGGGTCGGTCTCATTTGGAACACACAAGCTATGTGACCAGACCTGGTACAGATAACCTATGTGGTCTCATTTGGAACACACAAGCCAAGTGACCAGACCTGGTACAGATAACCCATGTGGTCTCATTTGGAACACACAAGCCAAGTGACCAGACCTGGTACAGATAACCCATGTGGTCTCATTTGGAACACACAAGCCAAGTGACCAGACCTGGTACAGATAACCCATGTGGTCTCATTTGGAACCAGCCAAGTGACCAGACCTGTGGTATAGATAACCCATGTGGTCTCATTTGGACACATAAGCCAAGTGACCAGACCTGGTACAGATAACCCATGTGGTCTCATTTGGAACACACAAGCCAAGTGACCAGACCTGGTACACCAATGTGGTCTCAAGTGACCAGACCTGGTACAGATAACCCATGTGGTCTCATTTGGAACACATAAGCCAAGTGACCAGACCTGGTACAGATAACCCTTGTGGTCTCATTTGGAACACACAAGCCAAGTGACCAGACCTGGTACAGATAACCCATGAGGTCTCATTTGGAACAGACAACCTGAGTGACCAGACCTGGTACAGATAACCCATGTGGTCTCATTTGGAACACATAAGCCAAGTGACCAGACTTGGTACAGATAACCCTTGTGGTCTCATTTGGAACACACAAGCCATGTGACCAGACCTGGTATAGATAACCCATGTGGTGTCATTTGGAACACATAAGCCAAGTGACCAGACCTGGTACAAACCATCCTTGTGGTCTCATTTGGAACACATGGGCCATGTAATCAGATCTGGAACAGACAACCCTTGTGGTCTCAGTTGGAAAACACAAGCCAAGAGAGAAGACCTGATACAGATAACCCATGTGGTCTCAGTTGGAACACACAAGCCAAGTGACCAGACCTGGTACAGATAACTCTGGTGGTCTCATTTGGAACACACAAGCCATGTAATCAGATCTGGAACAGACAACCCTTGTGGTCTCATTTGGAACACACTAGGCAAGATGAAATCTAGCACAGACAAACCTTTGAGGCCTCACAATTTAGGCCTCAAACATCAGGATATAACAGTCCGTCACATAATTCTGAAGAACAAGTCATACAAAGATGGTTTACACTGCAAAGATTCTTGGAATAGCTAGGGTAAGGCTGCTGGTGGCTCCATTTGGCTGTCCAAACATCACAACACATCGGAACCAGTCCAGTCTTGATTTTCACCACGGCATTCAGGACTACAGCTCCTCCGGTGACAGTCCTGTTGCTTTGGCGTCTCATTACTGATAGTTCACATGGAAACCATTCTGGTCTCAGTTTCATCCTTCCTTCAGGTTTTCAGCTTCTGTTTTCTTTTAGCAACTGCTGCCAACCTCTTCTGTTCAATCTCATCAGGGGAACAGCTGATTTTATCATCATTTGTTTCTGATTTTGGCTGCTGAGAAGCCCCATCTGAAATAGTACACATGGTTTTCAAACAAATATCAGAATCTACATACTGTAAGGCAGTATTACCTATTACAGAAGTGTTATAAAAAAGCCAATACATTTTCTCAGATATATTTTGAAGTTAAGCCAATAAACATTTAAATAAATACTGATATCCAGGGTTAGACAGAATACAGTGAAACCATGTTATTGTGTTTTCACCTCATGAAATTGCCGATATGAGCCTGCAGAGTGACCTTTAAGATATTTGAAAGGATACTAATCTGGGTGTCCACTGTCCAGTGCGTGTGTAGTTAGAGATATACTTTACTTACATTCCACCTCTTCCAACATGGCAATTATCTGGGACTCAAACAGAGCATCATCCTTCAGGAATGAGTCATCCTCCAGTATTGTCTGAGTGCTCAGCAGATCTAAAATAATCATTTTAAAAGTTCGTGAAAAGTCCAGTGACAATAAAGCCACACTATCATAGTTACTGCCAGACTGGGCGAGTGGTAATTGGTAGCATATCTGCTTCATCATGGCAGGCTGGAAATAGCATCTGTAGCAGGCAAACAAATCACTTAAAGCACGACCAAATATCAAAACATGATGCCACACAATCAGCCATGACACTAAGCTGGGCTATCTTATGTACTTGAGTCATCTAACTTCTAAGACATGGAACCTGTTCTTCCCCGAAGGCCCCACAAGGGACTAGCCCTAAAATCTAGAGCTTATTTGAAATCGTTACATTCTGTGAAATGTATTTCCAGAATAACATGGAGAACAAAGCATGGCAATTATCTACAGTAAGGAATGTTGTAGGGTTTTCTACTACACTGTTTGAATGTAGGGTTTAGCAAGGACCCTTTAAGTATAAGACATTGGGGTAATGAGATGGAACCATTCATTTCCAGGCTTACTTTCAACACTGATGTTATAGCAGACCAGGGCCTCCTTTCACAAACACTTAGGTGATCGTAAGTCACAGTGTAATGCACTCAGGTAACCTTAGTAAAGGTGGCCTAGTGAAAGGAGCCCCAGGTGTTTAAGTGTTCAATGTTGTGGTCAGCCAATGGCAACTGTGCGCAAACTATTGCCTTCAATCTAATCCATGGCAAAAAATGCATGGATATTACTCACCTTCTGTGGGGCTTGTTTTGTTGTCAGCCATGGCATTAGATCTCTGTGATGTCTGAGGTCTCGATACTGAACTGTTAACAGACCCATTCTTCCCTGGTTTTGACGATGATGCATTTGCAGACACAGGAATAACCACTGGATGTTTTGTCTTTAACACAGTTGTATTTGACAGAGAATTAGAAGAACTGGTACTGTTTTGAACACAAGCACTTGTGGGTTTCTTTGAAGCTGTAGACCGAAAACTGTACCTTCCCTGTGTACTAGTCTGGCTAGAAGCTATGAATGTCTTCCCAGGAGACAAGTTTGTTTTAGTTGAGCTGGAAGGAGCATTTTTGAGAAGTCCATTTGTTACTGAAACAAGATTGCTTGAATTTCTTGGAGAATGTCTTGAAGCTCCTTGTTTAGTTGAAACAGTATTTATCAACTTTTGTTGTGGAAATGAATCACTTTTCCATTTGCTAATGTACTTGCTTTTAATGTCTGTGCACTTTTATTGTCCAATGTCTTTGCATCAGTGGAATGTGTTGTAGTCTTCTCAGTTACGATTGTCTCATTGATGCTGAAATCACAGTCAGAATCAAAGAAGTCATCATATTCTCCTAAGGACTTATCCGACACAACCTTGGGTACAGGGACTGTGCTTACTTGACTTTCCAAAATTTCATCTGGCTCAGCTAATTGTCTGAGAATTTCATCTGACCAACTGGTGTCAAGATTATCCCTCTTATAGCTGGTTTTAGGAGAAACCTTACCTTTTCAGGTAAATGATTTTGTGGAGGAACTACTCCCTTTGGAATTTTCCCAGCTGGTTTCAATGTTGACTGTCTGTTACAGCTGTTTATAGCATTAGATGCACTAGGAATACTCTTCGAGGCCAATGTCTGTCCCCGAAACGATGTAGTCTGAGCTCCACTCACACAAGTGGCAGGTTTGGAGACTGAAGCATCTCTTCCTGAAAAGCTGCTTGTCTTCCTCCAGGGAGATTTGCTCCTGGTGGAGCCATAACTTGATTTGCCAGATTCAACTGCCGAATTCTTTGATTCATACCCAGAGAAACTACTGTGCTTTCTGAAAGGACTTGTAGATTTTCTGGCAGCTGACTCTCTCTGATTGTTCTTATCACCCGTTGTGGAAAAGCCACATGAAGCTTGTCTGCTATAAACCACATTATTGTTTTCATTTACATTTGTCTTGCCACTAGGATCATGTTTATTATTAGACAAGTCATTTTGATTCAGTCTGGACGATCCAGAAGTGCTCTTATAACCATGATTACTTGACCTTGTTGCACATGTTGGGGGAATAACATCACTGGAACACGATTCCTTCTCCCATTCTGGTGACGCAGCACATCTTTTGGTCTTATTCTTGGGCTGGTCTAGCACTGGTGAGATCTGTTTGCGTTTCCCTGCAAAGAGTGATGGTGTGAAGCGAGCAATCTTCTCCACTGGGAGTTGAGTTGCTTGAAGGATGAAGGAATTGTCCTCGAAGAGTTCATCATCACTCCACAGATCTTCCTCCTCATCCAACAAAGCCTGGGCTGCATCTTTTGGCAGAAGACTGGACTCCCCAATCATGTGGGCAGGATTTAGATTACTTAATCTCCTTTCGGATTTAAGTACATTTTTGTTTTGATCCTCAATGGTGGGAATAAAGGGCTCACTGTCAGTAGAAGACTTGCTGGATCTACAACAGAAAAAATTTTTTTATTAATACATTGGCTCTGTTTATATTGCCTCAAGATTTCAATGTGTGTGCTTTGAGTAGAAGTCAGAGAAGCAGTCAGTCAAGAATTTGACCTCATGTAAAATTATCTCTGATTCAACTGAGTTAATGTAGATAGATTACAGTTTATTCTAACTGGCAATTATTCTACTTATCAGGAATTAGGGGGCGGTGGGATAGCCTAGTGGTTAAAGCGTTCACTCGTCACACCGACAACCTGGGTTCGATTCCTCACGTGTGTACAGTGTGGGAAGCCCATTTATGTCCCTCCTCACAGCGTTCAAGATATTGCTGGAATGTTGCTAAAAGCAGCATAATTTCCATTATGCTCTAAATCTAAATGTGTTCTGATTGGATAGAAAGAAGGGAGATAATTCGTTTCGCGATCTTTTGTCAGCTAGGGATTTTCAGAGAACCGGAAATATGGCCATGATTAGAACAGAGGTTGCGGTGAGGGAAGATATGACAGGAGTAACTCCTAAATGAAGAGAATGCTCACTATCAGGAATTAATAGATATTATATAAAGGACAATACAAAGACATAGTTATCATTTTCCCCAGTTCATACACAGTTTGAACACTTAATATTTACTTGACATTTTCTTTTACATTTGAGTGATTGAATGAGAGTGTTGACTGTTACCCAGCTTTGGACAGTATTCCAGTTATGTTAGGGTGTGTCAGTTTGTGTTGATGTGGATCATGTTCACGGGGGAAGAAAGCATGAAGTGATGCAGGTCTTAGGAGTTTTACTACTTTTGTGAAAACCAAAGGGGAAGGGGCATAGTTCTAATAAACTTTGACACATAATTTGGTGAACAGGTATTTGAACCACAATCACAGATTGCCATGGCCAAGGGACGCAACTCTGCATAATGCATCCACAGCCCCTTGGACAACTGAGCCACCTGTGCTCTCCTTTATCTTCATCTTTTTTCTTTAACAAATCTCTTGACAAATCCACAAAACATTAATATAAAAGTAGACACAAAACCTTTGATTTTCTCTCTCATTTTCTCTTCATCTGAAAATATAATGAAACATATTCTGGAATATCATCAACATCATGGCTTTTGGAATATCATCAACACCATCACCAAACGTAACAAACTCAATGTTGTAAGGGAGACAAGTCATATCATTGCGTGATATAAAGTTTCAAAGATTATTACATGTCTCCACAAATAAGATGTGTATTTTGAGATACCATTTATGATTGTGAGGTACTTACCATGCTAACATTGATGTATTGATAATCATATTTCTATCAATTTCATGTCCATAAAAGTTATGATTATCACAGTTTGTAATTAATTTACCACAACCAGGTAATGGACATTGCAATACATTAATACAAGAGTTTGATCAACCATAACATGGTTCAACCTGTTGATACTTGTTGTAAAAGTATGCTAATGAAGTGTGGACAGTAATGGTATAAAGCTGACACATACCATCAAGTCTGTTTAAACACTGATGGAGATTGCTGAGAACATCATCAAATTTCTGCACATTTGATCTTTTCTTTTCTTCACACCACTGAAACAATTAGAACAACATGGTGGAATATCAGAATACACAAAAGTGCTATGTGATAGGCATACAGGTTTCATATCATAACAAACTCCTTTGCAGGCAAATAACAATGATAATGGGTGAACAAAATATTACACTGGTTCATCACACAATAGACAGTCAAATGCAATAAGCCATAGAAAGCATAAGAATATATCAGAATAAATCATAACCTAAAAGTGTAATAATCAGAAACATATAAGGGCATGCGGTTTTAGTAAAACACATACAAAATCCACAGATGACAATCCTGTGCACCCTTTTAATGTAATAATCAAAGAATTATTTACCTATGAAACTGCATGTACTAACAGACAATAAACCAATAAGGAAATGGCTTTTCAAATAACCCTCATTTTCACAATGGTAAACAGACAAACTACTGCAGCTAACTAATCTAACAAAAGGATACTGATGAATTTTTAATGCCACATTAAGCAATATTCCACCTATACAACAGTAGTCTCTACTGAGTTTGAACCAGATACAGTCATTGAAATCACATTTATAGATCTACCCATATGCGATATGATGACATGCATGAACTAGCCTGACTACTTAATCCAGTTGGTTGTCTGTATTAAAAACATGGGCTGCTGAAGACTAATTCTATCACATGGGGATGCAATGAACGGAATCAATTACTGATCTGAGTCCATATCATTATATAATTTCTGGTGCAATGACACGGCAATACAATACTGTTTTTTTGTGACATGAGGATCATGCATACAATGAATCGATTTACACTTCCTGTGTTGCAATACATATGATTCATTACATTACATTACAAATTATATTGATGTAAAAACAGATCAATAATAACAGAACCAGTTTATGCAGATTCCGTAGTAGTATTTCTAGATTAGCCTGCCTAAGCTTATAGGTTTCTCCCCTACAATATCCCATCTTTACTGTCTGTAATTTGAAAACAAATGATTCAAGGTTGTGATTCACCTGCAAAAAGGGAGAATGCGTAATTATGAACCAAGCGTACTGTAATGGCAAACAAAGCCATATTATTTGGATATGGATCGTATCACTGACTCACTGTATCAGTATACCTCTAATTAAGATCATTGGAAAAAGGGAGTCTTGACATCCACTAGCTTCAAAAGTTTGAATTGTATATAGTATGACCAGAAATTATTGAGAATATTAGGAATATGTTTAATTGGTTTTCTAGTATAAACAACCTTGACCAGCTATCAAGTGCTTGGGTTCATTCAAGAGAGACAACTCTGTCAATCCTTTTCATTAGTTTGTGAAGAGTTACCCCCTTGTTTACTTTTGCTAGCAGACTGACATTTTCAGTGATCCCTCAGTATGGTTGAGTTGGAGAAGAGGAAGTTGATTTTAGAGTATTATAACAAGGACATCAGATCAGCTAAAGTGATTTCAAGCAGAACAGGCATCCCTTTGTCCACTGTTTATCTTGTTTTGAAAAATATTGCAAATGGATATGGCACTGAGCACCAGGTAGGCCCAGAAACTTGACTGTCGGTGACAGGAGGCAGCTTGGTATTTTTATTTCTAAAGACAAGCGAAGGAGTTTAGAAAACTTAAGGCTGGATATGATTGATAGAGAAACTGTGGCTGTCTGTAAGGAGACAATTAGAACTGAGCTGCATGCAATGGGTTGGCAGAAAAGTCGAGGAATTCCATCACCGATCATGGAAACCTGAACAAAAGGAGCTTAAGGTTGAACTGGTGATTACAGCATAGAAATTTTAACTGGGACAATGTGATTTTCTCAGAAGAAAGTTCTGTGTGGCTGTTTCCCTAATACACTGAAATTCTGGACCAAACAAACTGAAAACCTTTGTATCAAAGCCCAAAAACAGTCCGAAATTTAACGTGTGGGTTAGCATATCTGTGTTAGGGCAACGCGCCTCTGTGTATTGGAAGGGAATATAGAACAGTGAGTGGCACACAGATATTCTCGAGGGACATTTATTTTCATCTGCTCACATGTTCTATGGAAATTTTTGATTTTCCAGCAGGACAACGAATTCAAAACATCATTCAAAGCATTCACAGGCCTGCTTTCGGAGCCAAAATATGACATTATTAGATTGGCCAAACTATAGCCCCTGACCTAAATCAAATAGAAAATGTTTGGGGACTTATGAAGGAAAAGTGTCAATAAGAAAAATCTGATAAATATTGCTGAAATGAAAGAAGAGGTGGTCCGATATTGGGACAGCATGGACCGACGACTTTCTAACTTCTTTGATCAGTAGTATGCCCTGCTGCATTGTAGCCTGCATTGCTGCCCATGGTGACTTGACAAAATACTAACTGTTCACCTGTCTTTGAATCTAGAGTTATGTTCTGCTATTATTCACATTTAATACGTGAGTAATGAGGGAAAAAATAAAAACAAATTACAATCTTAAATTCTCAATAATTTCTGGTTGTACTGTACCACATGCATTATTATTATTGCATATCACTGGTAAACTTCACATACATGAAACTCTGATCAGTGTTCATTTTAATAGCGCCTGACCCTCTGACAAATCTGGCAGATTTGCCAACGGTCCGACAGAAGTTTAAAAACCCACCGCCCCAGTGTCAGACTGTATACTCCACAATGACTTTGACTGAACTTTTTTATATGTAACATGTGACACTTGTTTGCCCTTTATAATTCTTATGTTTTTGTTAAAAATTTCCAATGCCAGTTATAAGAAATGTTAAATATATGAAATGTGTGTTTAATTTTATTCCCATGGGTTTTGTGAATTTTGAAAGGGTTAGACAGACATCTGAAACTTACAGGACCCAATGTCCTTGTTACTTTGAAACAGCATTCATGAACACTGCTTGATATGCTTCATCCATTCCTTGACAACAAAACACAATTCCTACCGTTTGAATTTGTGGTTGCCCCTAAAGATTTGTCCTTCAAAAGGCATGTTATGGCTGGTAGCTTTATTGGCTTGGAGCCAGGAGCACAACAGAGGTGGTGTGCTGGACATTGTCTCAAACTCTTCCCCCTGAAAACACAAAATATGCTGGCTATGAAACTTTAGTCTTGTTCAAGAAGAAGAAATACACAGAATTATTCAAAAGCAACCTGATTTTACAATTAATCTGTAGACTTTTTCATTTATCAGACAAAGACAATTTCAATATTCTTATGTACACACACAAGGAGACCTTGTATATGACTGGGGAAGAAGGAAATCTTACATTTGCACCAACAGCTGGGGCCAGCCTGCATACAATATCTGACAAGTCATCCTTGTCTTGTCGAGATCCAGTCTTTCTCTGAACTGGTAAAAAAGTATACAAAATGCAATAAAGTTAAATAGCTAATTGAACATGTAAAGATCAATAGAATGACCCAGTAAGAAAGAATCATATGTCTCTTGACAAGATTACAAGGAACCTGTGCCAAAAGCATATTGATTCTTGTGTGCAGTTATGGTTTTATGGAAATGCAGTTGGCCTCTGGGCATAAGAATGTTCACATTCTCTCACTTTTTGCAGTTGTGAAGATGCAGTCTGTACATCAACATGCAAGATTAATTTTACTTGGCCACCTCTCAGACAACATTTCTAATAACTTCAGCATGTTAAATACAATTCTTAACAGCCGAACAATCAAATCAGAGAAGAAAGCAAGATAGCATTCATCAACCAAGTCCATGAGAAACAGGAAATAAAATAATAAATGAATTTGAAGAGCAAATTGTTCTCTTTGGACAGTCATGAAAATGGTTAATCAGATAAGAAACGATTTTAGTTAGAAGAGTAACAACTTTAAAGATGTGTCAAACCATCATGTCCCTGGTGGCATTGAGAGAAATATAAGTGAGCTTCTGCAGGTCTGCAAAAATGATGTGGTACAGATCTGCAATCTTCCTTGAGGCAAAAGTATTAGGTCTACAATGAATGTCACTGGTCAGTTTTACTGTTTTGGACTAGAGTATTTCTGTACATGTTAAACCCTGATCCATAAAACAATCTTGAAAATAATCGACTGCAGACAAAGCTCTTGCGTTGTCCATAGAACAGCAACCACAGATCAACATGATCAAGCCAAACTTGAAACCATTATTTCATTTAAGAATCATGTATTTGCTAAACATACCTCTCTTCAGATGCTTATATGCATCTGGTGATGTATGATCCCATCGAACATCCAGTTGAGAGTCTGCAGCTTGTGATGATAGAAATTCATCTCGGAAATATCCTTTCATTCGAAGACCAGTTGGTGTATCACGCAAAGCAAGGGAGATTTCATCGTCGGTATCTGATGTTGGGGTAGAATAGAAGAAAATATTGATACAAACAAAAAGAAAGGTCTTAACCTCAACCTTCAGAGCAGACAAAATTGAGGTTCAACAATTCCCTTCCACAGCCTAGTGTCTAGAAAGTTATTTCACTCGTCAAACACAAAGTATGAAACTTGAAATAGCAATGTTTGTACCAGATAAATGTAACAAAAATGTTTAGATTAACTATTAAGATGTACATCAAAGCAATCATATTGAAGAAAGTACAACCAAGACATCCTTGAATAGGTAATATTAGTTTATCCTGTTCAAATATTTCAATTTCTCACAAAACACTATGTCACTGGCATTTTTTTTATATGCGCCCGCTACGATCCTTAGGGTTAGGGTTTAGGGTAAGGGTTTACGATCCTTAGGGTATGCCACCCTTTCTGACGATCCTTAGGGTTAACTTTTGGGGAACCCCAGCAGCTTAATTAATCTGATCGTAAAGTGCCTAACCCCAAGGATAGTAAGTGCCTAAACCCTAAGGATTGTAAAGGGTGCCTAACCCCTAAAATGGCACAAAGTGCATTCTAGAACTTTGGGAGAATAGCCACAGTAAGCAACTCCTGGATCTGGTAAAGTTCATAGTTAGGTTGAAATTAATATTTCAGACTGCAATGATATCCAATGACAGAAAATGTACAAAAATTGTAATTCTTATTATAATGTTACGTTTGAACATTAAGTTTGATGCACATATATAGGTATGTATGTTGGTACCATGTACCATGCATCAAACATGGTGATCTTCCTTCTAGAAGTGTTGTTTTCTAACTACTGTCAAAATGATCCCGGACATTTCCAAAAACTTACTCTGTATCTGTCATGTGAGGGGGGATAGTTAATTATGCAACAAAACACTAACTGAAAATATCTCAAGGACTTACCACTTAATGTCGTATCATTACACGTCCTCGTTGACTGTTTTGCTGGAGTAGACGTAGTCACAAAATTCAGCGTCTCGTCAGCTCGTCTAGACAGGTGCTTCCCTGCCCAGCCATCTGATGACTTGTTTCCACTTTCAACGGCATTTGGCGCCTTATTACATCTCGTTAATCGCTTACCTCGCATGATTTACATTTTGTATCATGTACAAATACGTGGATGTATTATATTTACAGTGTCTATCGCAAATTAATAGGAAAAATTTCGAAAATATGACTGATAACAGCGTTGAATGTCTTCCACCATGTTTTGTTTTTCCCACTATATGAAAACGAGGCTCTGTTTTCATGATGTTCATCAAGAATATTGTCCAGTCATCTATATCTTTTATAAAGCTGAATTAGCGATATACACATGTAAAATGATGAATAATATGTATTAAAACCTATTTATCAAATAAATTGTATATTCAATGACTATTAGCCATTTACAATGTAATTAATAGTTTTATGTCTGAGAACATCACGTCAAAATGGCGTAGCCGGGAAAAATGAAAACAAGATGTTGGAGAATGCCGATATTGAACGAAACAATCTACACAGCACACAAAAATGAAATTAGAATTGTACAATGAAATTGTTAAAGCAATTCCCACTAATACTTCTCGAGGATATCTTTCGCAAGTTGCAGGGCTGTTCCCGGGGTTGGCTTATTTCATTAACATTTTGATGTTTATCATTACAATTTGCACACTCCAGTGTATTCTGTTTATACTTCAGACGTCATGACATGCATGAAGTAACATTAATACATTAAACAGATCCAATAACTAACAAGTACGAGAATCTGTACTTTACTAAGAAAGTGTAATCCCAAAAATAACATGTTACATATTTGACCACTTTCTAAATGGCATTGTGTAATAATAACAGTCATTGTGTTACAGGGAAATAGACCAAACTTTGGAATTTTATCATGTTCTGATTTTCTTCTAGTGTTCCCAAAAGACCATAGGAAGCATCTTATCACAAGAATACCAGGTATGTATAAATTAATTTATAACATTGTGTCGTCATGTGATCACATACTTTTTGAGGAACTATACAACTCTTACTTATTCATCTGGCTCACTGACTTGGTTGACACATGTCACAGTATCCCACTTGTGTAGAAAGATGCTCATGATGTTTATGACTGGACTGTCTGCTTCTGCATTCAATTATTTACAGATTGCTGCCATATATTGTGGAGTGTGGCATTACACAAGAAACAATAAACTGAAATTGTGACCCTACTTTCTGAGGAACTATACAACTCTTACTTATTCAAAAGCTCAGTGTAAAATATGTAAATACTTAATTCAGAAAATGCTTAATTCTTCGTAATACCACAAAACACACTTTCATGTAAAAAGGTATATTTTAGACTGTGTATTTAATGACAACTCCTAACAGTTTATATCTGATGGAACCTGTTGCAAACTACAGCTGACATTATGGTAAAAGTTCCGCCCGTAACCCCCGCTTGACATGTATGTTATTTATTATGATTATTTCTAGGGGTTAGGATTTAGGTTAGGGTTTAGATTTAGCATTATGTCAGATTTAGTGTTAGGGTTTGGGTAGGCTTTCGATAAAAAACATCTATTCTTAGGCACATAGAACTGTTTCAGTGATAAATCTACAAATTCAACTGCCTGAGTCCCGGGACTCACTGAGCTGAATAACTATGAGACCCTAACAAAAATTAATGCCACAAATATTATTCAAACTCGTTTGTTGTTACTATAGGTTGCACAGTTGAGTCTGACCGGTCTGGGATATTTCACAGAACAGAGCTGGTAGTACCTAAATCGCAACAAATGGAGACTCTTCCATTTTAAGTTGTAGTTCATACCCTATCACATCAGACACAGATGTTAACAGATCACTGGCAGTGGTTGGAGAATCATAGCTGATTTTACCTTCCTTGAGAATTTCAATGTCTTCATTTTCAAATTCATATAAAAAGTCAACAAAACGTTTAAACTTTGTCAGTGGGATGTTTTCACAAGGTAACCAATGAACAGATTTCATCAAGGCGCCAGCTTCTTTGTCTTGTTTTTCATACATAAGTGCAGTTGCAACCTGGAAATCATCACAAAGTTTTGGAGCCTGAACGGACAGTTTATTATCCCCGCAATGCGTTTATGGGGTATTAAAATGGACTCCGACTCACGCGCGTGTAAAGTCCGTGCACATTTGTCTTTTCCGAGCAGAACTCTAAAACCGTTCAATATGTCTTCACCAAACTTGGCACATAGATAGATCTGGTGGTGTACTGGTGCCTTTTGCAGTTTTGGAATTCTGAATAAAATATTTTTTGGCGTTTCCATGGCAACAAGTTCGACTTAGACTGAAATTGGTGGTAGTGCTCTTTCTCTCGAGCAGAACTCTAAAACCGTTCAATATTTCTTCAACAAACATGGCACATAGATAGATCTGGTGGTGTACTGGTGCCTTTTGGTAGTTTTGGGAATTCTGAATAAAATAATTTTGGCGTTTCCATGGCAACAAGTTTGACTTAGCCTGAAATTGTGGTGGTGCTCTTTTCGGAGCTAAAACCGTTCAATATTTCTTCAACAAACTTGGCACATAGATAGATCTGGTATAGTACTTTTGTGCCTTTTGGTAGTTTTGGAATTTGAATAAAATATTTTGGGTTTCCATGGCAACAAGTTCGACTTAGACTGAAATTGGTGGTAGTGCTCTTTTCCGGAGCAGAACTCTAAAACCGTTCAATATTTCTTCACCAAACTTGGCACATAGATAGATCTGGTGGTGTACTGGTGCCTTTTGGTAGTTTTGGAATTCTGAATAAAATATTTTTGGCGTTTCCATGGCAACAAGTTTGACTTAGCCTGAAATTGGTGATAGTGCTGCTTTCTGGAGCAGAACTTTAAAAACCTTTCAATACTCTCCTTCCACTTTTCTATATACACACCTAAATATTTGACATAATCATAACTCGTAGACATAATCATGAAGAGTATTTTGCCATTGCGGGGGATATTGATGACTTTGTCTTCTTGTTATCATTATGATGAGATGTCTGGTCAAAGTTGTATTTTATAATTTCTGCATTTGCATCTTGTGTCATACCATCTTCAGTACATAGTTTACAAAATATTAAATCACCTTCCCTGCCATAAGTCAGCCATAACCGATGAGTATTCGGCCAACCTGACTGAAATGTCCTAACTTTGTGTTTTCTGACAGATCTATCTGGGCGGCATGTCGACTGCTATATTATAAATATAACAGCAGGGCTCTACATGACCTTTGAAAAGCAAATATTCTTTTACTAGAAAAATAAAAAAGTTACTAGCCAGACCCATGTAATTTCACTGTAATATTTTGTGAATAAAGTTCTACAATTCCAACCAAAGTTTTGTTTTATTTCTCCACTCTGTTCAGTGATTCAAAAACAAATTACATCAAAAGAACTATGCCAACTGGAAGTCACTTTAACAAGTATGAACACAAATAGTAACTGTCTTACTTTAACTATTAACATTGAACGAATTATATCATAAATGTCATCATAATTATAAATGAAATGATTCATTTATATGATTACTTTTCCAGGACTTGAGATTCAGAACCTTAAACAACAGAATGACATTCTATTTCAGCAGAACTTTAACCCTGTCAAATGTCACTTTCACTTTCAAATTACATGCAGATAGATTTAACAGTTGTTCAGCTACCGACTAAAGCTTCCTGCTTTTCTCTAACTGGTACTGAGAGCTCAGATTTAGTCTTCACACTGTGGATTCAGAGTCACAATGTTCATTGACCAATCAGTTTGTCTTGAAAAACCTGTGAAAGCTGCGATCGTTTTGAAAATAATGTGTACTTATTAGCTGACGTCAATTATTTGAGAATTGAAGTTAATCTACGAAAATTTATCCATGTATACGTTGATATTGCCTCTCCACAAAAATAAACATTAGTGTTTCATTAAAAGCTTGTGTCCAAGAGGACGCACTTGTGAAAAAAATTTTGGGTCCTGTCAGAATTTATTGCGTCAGACGCGGGGGTAGATTTATCCCTGTATTTTGAAAAACGGGGGTTACGGGCGGAAATCTTTCCGACATTACTAGAGGTGCTGGAAGCTTATGCTTTAAATAGGATTTGAGTTCTTACTTTTTTCCGTTACTGTACAAAATACTAAGAAATCAGGTAGGCTGATTTTGTGGAATGTGAAACTTCCAGGTCCATTAATCACCACCACACTCAGGCCCCTGTACGAGCAAATCAGATTTGTTGTCTGATAGTGATATTGAACTTCAGTACTGCTTCTGGTTGTTTAAGGCACTGAAATTTGCTGTAGAGAGTTGGATCCCTCTGGTGGGCCAAAAACCTGTGATTGTGGGTACAAATCCTGGTGGACTAATTATGTTTGATGGTTTATCAGAACAAACCCCTTGCTGATGGGTTTAATCAAAGTGGTTAACGCAAGAGACCTGCATCACTTCAGATTTTTCTCCCACATTGAACTGTTCAAAGAGTTGTTAACTGAACCCACTGATTCCTACATGTCAGTTGTATATTTCATGCATTGTTGAACTACCACAAAATAGGCATGAATACGCATTATTCTGTTTATTTGTTCCCAAGATAGTTTTGCGTTGCAGCCTTAATGTGCATGATGTGTGCTGCAGTTTTAGAACTTGATGTTTCATCCTGACTTAATGTATTGGTGAGTCATCCCACCCCAATGAACATCTGTTTAAAGTTTGAAATGTACTTTAGAGAGGAAAAGACCAGGAACCATGAGTCTTGAACCACTACAATGCATATGTGTTTTATGATATGCTCAAAACATGATGTATTTGGTTGAAACAGTTGTTTATTTATTTATTTATTTAAATTTTTTTATTTATTTCTTTTTATTATTATTCAAATATTACAGAAAATGCATTTCATGTTTACAGTATTTTTCGATTCAAACATTTTTTGAAATATGGTGGAAGCCTGTATTCAACCTCAACATACACAACATATGAAAAAATTTTTTAGAAAGATGGGAAGAAAGGAGAGATGAGGAAAGAGATAAGAAAAGATGAAAGAGTGCAGAGTGCTTGGTTGAAACATTTTGTTTGGAAACTATTGGGTGTCATGATTGCTAGAACTATCAATGCGTTACCGATTTCTATGGCCACATGGAAATAGATTGACAGCAAAATATGGTTTGAAGTAGTTGACACTGATGATGTGCTGTGTTATTGTCAGTATTGAAAGTATTGATAGTATTGTTATTATTGACAGTATTAATAATACTGACAGTATATTTAGTATTGAGACTAAAAAAATGTATACAATAGTGTCAATGATAAAGTTATGCTTTCAGTTTGGTTAAACATATTAAAGACCCACTAAACTTTGTTTTTTGTTACTCTTTTAACCATTACATATGAAAGATTTGTGGTTAGTCTTATGCGGAACACCAAATTTATTCTTTAAAAACTTGTGGTTAATTAATACCGAGCGATTAAAAGTGGCCAAAAGTCGCTTGCTTCCTCGCCCGCCAATCCAAAACCACAGACAGGTTAATGCAACTCTGTCGCCAGAGCACTGCAGTGACGCCATATGAGGAACGCATTTTCAGTTAGTTGTATAGAAAGTGTGTAGCACGCTTCATCATTTTGTTGATTTCTCGACATGAACGGCATTTACATGCCTAATCGCTGCTTTGTCGTCAATTGCCCCTAGGGGTCGGGTGATGGTGTCACCATGCACAGATTTCCACAGGACCCCGCAGTTCGTATAAATGGGTTATGTTTGTGAGCGCTGTTTAGCTGCTGGAAGCCTGAAACGATATCTTACTTGTGTTCAGATCGCTTCACGGAAGTTAAAGAATCAAAACTACTTACTAGTTATAGTAAAATATGTATATGATTGATGACCATAAAGATTTTCCATAACACAACTTGTAACATAACGATTTCTTCCTCGAAGTGAGGTTGTGGTCGAAGTAACAATAATATTGTAAGTAGTATTATATTGACATCCAACCTTGCTGCCAGGAGAAATTGTTATGTTATACGCTATGTCATGCAAAATCCTATTGGCCATCAATAAAATACATATTTTATTACCAGTAGAAAGTAGTTTTGATTTTAACCTCGGTGAAAACAAACCTAAATAGCATTTATCCACAGACTTGGCGGATGTTCCCGACAGGGCTCGCCATTTTTGAAAATCGTAAAGTCTGTTAGAATTAATGAGATTATAGTTTGTTTTCATCAAGTTAGCAAATCAAAACTTCTTTCTACTCGTAATTAAATATGTATTGGAATCATAACCAAAAGGATTTTGCATGACACAACTTATAACATAACGATTTCTTCCACGGAAGCGAGGTGGGGGTCGAAGTCACAATACTGCGCGATACATTTCTTGCTACATTCACATGGTTAATGTCCACTCACCAGTATGTAGATACTAGTCAATGTGCGTCTTTATATTTGGTCTTATAATCCTAATTAGTTTATTATCATACTTTTATGCATTTTGAAACTAAATAACAAGCTGACGATCTGCTGATACTTATAGTGAATTTATAACAGAACTGTAATATCTAGACATTTTATAGTTTGCCAATGTGAATCATAATTCGCACACACACCCTAGTGTATGTTGTCTGTCTCATTACACTTCACGGCGAAAACAATGATTCTGTTGAATGCTACGACAAATGAATAAAAAACAAAATGCAAATATTAAAATTAAAACAGATTAAAGTTATAGGAACAATATCAGGCCATTACCTTGTTTGAGGAATGCATCCATCAATATCCACAAAACTGTTCCAAATGATGTGTCTTTTAACAGTTTAATATACGAAAAAGTGATAAATCTGTCTGTCTCATTACACTTCACGGCGAAAACAATGATTCTGTTGAATGCTACTAATAAAATGAATAAAAACAAAATGCAAATATTAAAATTAAAACAGATTAAAGTTATAGGAACAATATCAGGCCATTACCTTGTTTGAGGAATGTATCCATCAATATCCACAAAACTGTTCCAAATGATGTGTCTTTTAACAGTTTAATATACGAAAAGTGATAAATCTTTTCAGGTATTGGTGTATAGTCTCATTGGTCACCCAAGATAGCACACCTGGCAACTAATTGCATAATGTCCGCCTTTCATTAAAAACAGTAATTTAGTTAGCCAATAATGGGCAATCAATCAATGTATTGCCGGGTTAATCCTTTGAAAGAAGGACGTTGTTTTTACGCAGACACCGACACGGCAGAGTGTATTCAGTATAGATTAGTAAATCTACATACATAAACACTACCTTTGACAAATCCGGCTGTGTAAGATAAAAGTAATTAATCAATCAGCGTGTTATCGGTTAATCCTTTGATCGATGTTTATAATGTTGAATATTTACTCCAGACACAAGAAATGCCAAATGGGAACCTTTGTCGGGTAATCTAAGTGTGTTACCACTAATTATACCTGTTATAAATTCATTAACTGACCATCAAGTGAATGATGACAAATAACATGTGTAGGTTTATACCACCTAACACGGGTTACAACAAGGGAGTATTAATTGCTGTATTGCATGTGAAAACTTATGGGCCGACACTGTTTTGAGAATACAAACAGATTTTACATGACATGATTAAATATCGAGGTAAAAAAACACAGAAATGGGATCAATTTGGATCAGTCATTATACAGATAGGGCCTAACGACACCAATCAATTGTGACAGAAGCGTCTATGAAAACAAGTTGTAACTCGGAAACTAGGCAAAGCAGGAGACAAAATTAAATGCCAGTAGATTGTGAGAACATATAGCTTTCATTTTCCACAACAATTGTCACGATTTCAGGTTTATACAAGCCTGTAAACAAGATAATTTACCCCTAAAATGTAGATGAATTCTGCATCGGCCCTCAAAGCTATTCCTCATATGACGTCACAGAGTCGCGCCGCTCTGATTGGTTGAAATTTCGTTCGCGGGTGAGAATTGTGCACTGTTGTCAAAAAGGTCGATTTAAGTCTATTAAAGGTCGAAATGAGTAGTTTTAATGACGGGGTTTCATTTATAACGATGCCAGTTAGTGATTTATGTATTTTAACCCCCTAGGGTTTATGTGACCTTTAAGCTTTTGTGAAATACATGTAAGTTTGGTTTTAAAAACCATGTATACAGAGAAACCATGCATATTGTTTTAACCATGCATCTGTTTTAACAAATGTGTAACAGTTTATTCGAAAATTTATTCAAAGTTATGCTGCTCTTGTTGCAGTAACATAAAACAAATGTAAATATATTTCTTCAATTATTTTCAGAAAAGTTAACAAGGAGTGTTTCAAGTTTTTAAAGAATTTAAAGATGCTATTATTGGTCAGGATTTACCTTGAACAACCCAACTTAAAAAGGTTTCTAAAATATATGTATGTAAAAATACATCATTGCATGAACATAGAGATTTTTTCTGGGTTACATCTTCTTTTTATTCTCGAGTACAACGTTTCAGGGCTTGTTCTGGCCCCATCATCAGGTAATACTGAACAGTAACTGTTAACTCTGGCCGTGACGCCACAATAATAAAATTATGTACATCATTGCAGCTACCTGGCAGGAGTGGAAGCCAAACAAGAGCATATTCTGCTCACAATTGCGGACAATGTAAGTGAGGGGTGGAGAAGAGGTGGTGGAGGAGGGGCAGGGGTAAATCATGTCGTGAATTTTGTAAAATTTGTCACTATAAATATACTTTTGTCTTTTTCTGTGATCTGTTTGGTGTAGTAGCCTAGTGGTTAAACCATTTGTTTATATAATTCAAAACCACAATTTCGATTCACCAGATCATCACTATCTTGTGACATTCATATTCTTGTTAATCTTTGCCATGATATGGCGTGATATTGTTAAGGTGATGTAAAACCCTATTCACTCACTCAAGATAATCATATCTCCTCTATGACTCACTGCACAAACAAACTTGTGAAGATCCAGGTTAGGTTTGCTCTTCGTAAGAGGCAACTAACAGGATTGGGTGGTCAGGCTTGCTGACTTGGTTGACACACTATCAATTGTGTAGACTGATGCTCATGCTGTTGATCACTGGATAGTCTGGTCCGGTCCAGACTGAATTATTTACAAACCGCTGGAATATCGCTGAGTGCAGCATTAAGCAACAAACAAAACAAACACAACTCAACTGTCTTTCATTACAGACTGATCAGAATGCATCCATGTTAGCCCGCAGAATTCTTGATAAACATTTGGCTGAACAAAATGGAGGAAAGAGTGGTAAGTATTGACAAAGCCGTCTGTTTAGCCAATTTTATCCAATTAGTTATGTGAGCTTGTTAAAATCAGTTTATCTAGCACCTGGCTTTGGAACTGGTGGTTTTAGGGCAATTATCTCTCTAACATCATAGAAATGAGGAGAGTTTGATGGGATGTGTGCCATTGATTCTGTGTGTGTGTGCATATACATATATGTGTGTGTGTGTATTTGGGTGTGTGAGTATGTGTGTACAATAAATGTGTGTGTGGGGTGTGTGTATGTGTGAGCATGTGAATGCATGCTTTCATCAGAGACACAGAGTTATGGTAAATTCATTCACTCTTGTTTTGAATTCAATATCTTGCAGGGGAGATGACTCTTCCACGTTTTCTCATTGAATCAAAAGAAGTTATTCCACCACCATTGATAGCAGCAACTAGATATGATACAAATTTGGGCGCACAAATTCAATAATCATTGTTTATGTTACATTACTATAGTCCGTTTGGCTCAAAAGCGGACCGATGAATTGCAATCTAACTCGAAAACTAATAAACATAAAATACTCAATGAAACACTGATCATAATCAAAATATCAGACCAACTAGTGAGGTTTTTGCAGAATTTATGTCCTAAAAATAAAAAAGTTGTTTAACAAACTATCATTAAATATCGACACAGTTCACTATTTGTTACGAGGGAGGAGAGCAGAGAAAGGGACAGCCAGGTGTGTGAGAAAGGATGGAGACGGCACAGCACAGGTTAATGAATCAATAACGTTGTCGGCACTTTTGCTTTTCTAACAGTAATAAATAGTGAACTGTGTCAAATGTAATGATAGTTTGTTAGCATCTTTATGCCCTCGCCATATATGGGTAGGCATATAGGTTACCCTCGTGTCCGTCCGTCCGTCTCGAAAACAGGGAATGTATTCTATCCACTTCTCCACCATAACCGCCTGTGGAATTAAATAAACTTATACATGGGCTTTCTTGGGACTCTAATGGTGTGCATCTCATATTTTTATTTTTTATTTTATTGGTTTATTTTGTGTTTAGAGACATTTGAACTTAGGTACATTTTGCTTTTCATGATGATATTGTAATACATGAAGTTATCCACTGGCTCATAGAATTGATTCATATGTGTGTTTCATTGGGACACTCTGCATCTCATAGTTGCATAGATGTTTTGAATTTGAATAGACAGATGACTTACAGGTTGCTTGACTTGATAACGTTATTGTGTTTTCAACATTCAATATATTGCAGTGAGATGACTCTTCCACGCTTTTCTCATTGAATCACAATTTTTTCTTGTTTAAGTTTAGAACATAAATTCTGCAAACAAATCACAGAGTTGTCTGATGCATTATGATCAACTAGATATGATTTCCAGCTTTTGAGCCAACATAAACACATTACTACTGTTTTGTCTTTTGGAAATGTAGAGTGCTATTATTTTCCTCTTTTAACTATTGATGACATTTAAATCTGCTGAAAGGATATGTTTATATAAAACCAGATGAACTACAATGTCATGACTGTCTACCACATTTATGTCCATTAACTGCTATTTAGTATTTGAATGTTAGATGTTAGCTATCATACAGATTGTACAGATAACTGAAAATAATCATCATGAATTTTAGAAATCTGATGCATAATTGTGGAACAAATATCCTGGAATATAATTATCAATTTGCATTGTTTTTGTATATGGTGTTGATGGGTACTGATACAAGACAATTTGCATCTATTCAGTTCACAAGAGCACTGTGAGTAGCATGATGAAGGATCCCAACCTGATCGATGACCCAGTCCTGGCCAGGGAAGTGTTTGAAGTATGTATATGTATCATGTCAACTTTGTCTGTGACTGGTAAACTAATGCTTTGTCTCCTAAAATATGTAATTTTGGAAGAAATCAAATAACTCCATTTAAATTGAAAAAGGAGCCCAAGTGAGCTTTGCGATTCAGAAACTGAGTAAATCTAGATTTCAAGCTTTTGCATATTAAAAAGGTTGGGAAAATATTGTGGTTCAGGGACTGTGAGACAAACTTCTTGATTGGGAGAAAAGCAATCAAATTTTGTTTTCTAATAATTTTCAGTAATCATGTTTCTTAAGGGCATAAGGCACCATCGATATATTGGAATTTAATAGGGCTTACATATTTGGTGCATGTTTCATCTTAAATGACATTACCAGCTAGGTAGCTGAATCACATCTCTGTTGAAATGTAGGTGTTAGTGCTTATGTACTGGGGCCTGCAGGATCTTGAAATCAGAAATTCAGTATAAAAACTATATCATTATTTTGTCAAATATATTCAATAGAAGTATGGGACTGACATGATGTAGGATCTGTCTCACTTGTCAAGGCTGTTTTTTGTCTTTCAGTCTATTGTGTGTGATGACTACTATGGACCCTATGTGGAAAGTATTAAGCGGTATCCTTGACATTTTGCTTTAGGACTGCCCTCAGTCAGTGTATGAAATAAGCCAGAAACCAAGTCAGACATCAGGGCTGGTAACTTCAAAATGGTACCAGCCCCAAATGGATTTAAGCAGACCAGACACCAAGATATGATGAATTTTCTCAGATGTATGGGACATCTAAAAATATTTACCAGACCATCGGGCTTGCTTGCTGTAAAATTAGACCGTCCGTCAGAAATCTAGCCCGTCTTGGGCGGTCGGACGGGCCTTATTTCATACACTGCCTCAGTACATTAGAGTTACCTCCCCTGGGGCAACAAAAACAGCCTTTACACTTTGTCTGTGGTGTAACTTATGAAGATGATCTTTACTTTTTGTAGATATTTTTTATAAATATTCTTGTTTAGTTTGATGGGGTTCAACATAGTCAGTAGGTTTATTGAGAGTTACTATTTGTAAACAGTGAACGACAAATGTTTTTCAGTGTGTATATTTGATAGACATTTATGTTAAATGTTGATAAGGCAGACAAATATGCTTTCCAGGAAGATTCAATAATTTGTAACATTTGTAGCAGTCAATATTTAAAGTGAATAAAATGACTTGTTTCATTTTACCAAATCTTTTTGTAAAATAATTCAGTATGAAACTCATGATCTGACAGAGTGTATGATCCTTGATATGTCAAGCTCTGTTGGCCATGAATATGAATTCAAGCTAACAAAGACTTTGGATGAGCTCGGCCTGTCCTACATTGGTAAGATTCTTCTTCTGTCTTTGTGAGTTGTTGCTACAGTACAAAAACAATGACTGAAACCTAGAGTCTAAGTCACAGCAAATGTATGTAGTAAAACGTACTGGTAGTTGGCCATAGATCCTGCTGTGACAATAATATTAGCGTTGTCACATACAAATTCCAGACAATTAAATTTAGGTTTATGGCTGAGTGATTATGGAATGAATGTTTGCAACATATTAGTCAATATGTCTTTTAGTAAATAGAAGCAAATATCTACATTTCGTTTAGTGTGAAACAAATACCTTCAGACAGAGAGACTAGATTTATGTTGTCATACACAATTACTGTGAATTACAATTCAGTTACTGCTATATCTTGATGCCACATATTTGAAATTGCCAAGAGAATATTTGTGTAAGATGTTGTCTTCTTTACTGATATGATGCATGTCTGTACTAGATACAGTGCTTGACAGTACTGGTAATAATGTCTGCTAGTACTGGATACAGTGCATGTCAGTACAAGATACAATATACATTAGTACAAAATACAATACTTGTCAGTACAATGTTTTATTTTTCCTTATCCTGACTCATGCTCTTTTGCTTGTCTTCTTCTTCTTGCGAACATAGTGGAACACTTGTATCTCCTTATTTGAAGCCCCCTTCAAAATAAAATCACTAATTGGTACTCACCACGAGTTGCTCCCCTTTGTCTCCCCTGGCGGGAAAAGGTGTCGCCACCCTCTGGCCATGTGCTCCACTCTCTCCTTCTTCGCCCAGTGAGCAGGATGTGAGAGCGCCTTGTGTCTCCTTACACACATATCCTTTGATAATCTCTTAGTTTTTACCTCTCATAGGTTACTATAGAGGTATAGCTAGTATCCTTTACTATTTGTATTGATTAATTATCGTATTTCTACTGTTTATTCACGTGTATTCGCGGATTGTTCAGCTAGCTTTACGCTCATGAAAATCTGTACGATTTGTAGATTACGCTTTTCTGCCTCCGATCCACATGTAATATGCCCTAGTTGTTCTACCGTGCAGCGCTTAATTCACGCTGCAGTTACTGCATTAATTTATCTCATTCTGCATTTAATAAATATCATCTTTAAGGCCTTAAGACGCATGCAGATAGATCACGCATAAACAAGGGCAAAACATGGCAGAGAGTCCAGATATTCCTTCCAGTCAGCTGCTAGCGATCGACCCTCTCCGCCTGGTGTTCTGCTAGAGACCTCTGCGGCAGAGGAACGTGGACGAAGTCCGTTATTCTCAAGAAACGACCGGCCTCCCCAGACATCCCGCCATTGCAGACTAAGTCTAAGAGGGCCTCATCGCCGCCTCAACGCAGATTGAGGACACCCAGGCAGCGCAGACTTCCAAAGGGAAATCTCACGAAGACAGCAAGAACTTTCTCGCCGAGATCGTTCCAGCAGCAGAGTTGGGCCTCTACGATGATCAGCCGATAATCATCCCGACTTACGGCAGAAGAAGCGACCGGTGTCAGCGACTGTGACTTCTGCAGAGATCTCCATGCAGCCTGATGCCTCTACACACCGACGCGCCAGATCGCCATTGATGTGAACCCCATCATCGCAGAAAAGACGCTGACGACTTCGCCTACAGATCATCCCAGAAGACATGATGCGGCAGATTATGAACATCATGGAGGACCACTACAAACTGCGCAAGCAGGGTCCGAAAGCCAGCTGAAGGCTCCAACGTGAGACAGCACCCCAGAGGCACCCCCGTCAACGAAACGAGCAGCCAAGACGATGTCACCTTCAGCGAAGCGAAGTCCCGCACCACCTTGACGAAGGACCTAGATGTACAGCGCCGAAGGCCTTCGCGGCGGCGGGAGAGATCATCACCATCTTCGATTTCATCTCTAGATATGGACTCAGACCATCAGACATCACGGAAGCCTTCGCGAAGGTCATATCATCGATCCCCCGACCGACGCAAATGAAGCTTCGCTGCGAAGGCATTCGGCGACATATATGATTCCAGATCTTCATCGCCTAGAAGAACATCGAGGGACTGCCGGAAGAGCTTCGCGAAGCTTATCAACATTCACCTCACAAGTCTCCGAGAAGATCATCCCATAGACGATCTCCACTCCGCTCATCACCAGGTCGATCACCCATCAGATCTCCACATAGAGCCGCTAGCACAAGTCAACTAGATCGCCACAAACCTCATCAGATATACAGACAGCTACACGCAGTCCCAAGAGCATCTACAATTTATTAATGATGATGGTTTTGAGGATGATGGAGGAATCATATTTTCTGATGCAGAGATACGGGATATTGGATGGTCAATAACCTAGATCTCACATCACCATCTAAAAGTGGCAATACAGCTCAGACGTGATTTGATGAAGGAAGATGATCCAGATGCAATCACTCTACCCCGACATCGACCCGACAATGGCGCAGTGCCACAGAATCTAGATGCAGCTTTCCAGAAAGCTACGAAAGTGCAGATACCACATCTGCCCAACTTTCAAGCCAAGAAGTTCTCCACGCGATAACATGGACTCCTTCTACAAGGCCCAGGACATCGATGAGAACTATAAGATCATCAGCGATGTAAAGAACAAGATTTACAAGATGGATGATCGCAGTTGGCTCATATAGAAACCATGACGGGATCGTGATGTTCTTTGGGTTAAATAGATCTAGGGACGATCAATGAGACTCTTATTACTAGATTCCGGATTCCACGACGGAAGATGATAGAATGATTTATTCTGCCTTACTTATGCAAAAGAAAGATCAGCAGTTTTTAACGGATCATCTTACATCTGTTTCAGCAGCACTTCGACCTTAGCTTCGTCAGTCAAGGCCTCCTCGCCTCCCTGTAATTGGGGAGAACTTTACAGCCCCACTTTATACAGCCCCGTGGTCGACAACATCCATCTTTGACGGAGAAATCGACAAGGTCGCCAAGGAAGTCTCTAAGATTCCAGGGAAGTCCTTATGATTAGATCGATGGACACACTAGCCAGCGCCATTCGTCAGACTTCACAAAGATACTCAGGCAGATCTAAGTTCACGGGCCTACAAAGAGCAAGAGACAGGAAGATAGCCAGCTCTAGAGGTAAAAGATTCTTTTTGTCACGCCCATATGGCAACTATAGAGGAGGATCAGGAAGAGGCAGGACACCCAGAGGTTCCCGCAATTATAGACGCTGAAACACAGGTTCGAACGACTGGAGTCTTCCACCCCAGCCGTTCCAGTACAACCAGCTCAAGTGGGTGGACGCCTCCAACTACACTGGGAAAACTGGGGAATACTGCAAGACCCTTACGTCTCCAACATTATTCAACACGGATTTCGTATCCCTCTACAGGCCAAGCCTCCGCTGACAATCAAACCCCCCAAGTTCGATTTACAAAGCGCAACAACTACCAAAGATAAAGAGGCTGTTTCATCACTCCTATCCAAACAGGCCATAGAAGTAATAGATCAAGCAAACGTCCGAACCAGGTTTCTACTCCCCAGTTTTCCTAGTTCCCAAGAAAAACTCCACGGAGAAATACAGACTCATCTACAACATGAGCTTTTTCAACAAGAACTATCTACGCAAACCACCGAAGTTTCGCGATGATACATTTACCTCTCAGTTACGCCAGATGATTCGGCCCTATGGACTACATGGGCAGCATAGATCTACAGGATGCCTACTTGCACATCCCCATTCATCCCGATTCCAGGAAATACCTACGATTTACTCTAGAAGGGCTACATTACCAGTGGAAAGTACTCCATTCGAATATCATCAGCCCCTGGCTATTCACGAGGATAACGAAAACCGATTATCAAATTTCTACATCGTCAAGGGCTACGCAGTGCGCTTTTACCTCGACGACGGGATACAAGTAGATCAAGATCCACTGCGCCTCAAACTACAGTTAAATTACATCATAAAGCTACTAACACAACTAGGTTGGTTAGTAAACTTACGCAAAGTCGGACCTAGTACCATCGCAAGACCTACAGTTCCTAGGTATTCGATTCATCACAAATCGCATAACCGTATTATGGTACCAGAAGACCGTTGGCTCAAGATACAACAGACCATTCCACCAGCTCTACTCTCTCCGTTACCACTGCGACAATAATGGCAGAGCCTACTAGGTCTTCTCACATCAGCCCAAGACATGACTGTCACAGGCAGATTACAGTTACGTCCCCTACAGGTCCTCATCAACGCACATCTCAACGATGTACAACCATTCAGTCTACCAAAACATCTCAGACCACATCTACTATGGTGGACCAAGAAATCGAATGTCTGCGGCGGGATTTGTTTAGCAGCAGGAATACAAAACCCATCTGTATGTAGACGCCGTCACTCCAAGGTTGGGGAGCTCATCTCACCAACCACACGATATCAGGGTTATGGAATCAGCAAGAATGCAAACTCCATATAAACAGTCTAGAAATGAAAGCTGTAATCAACGCCATTCTACATTGGAGCACATTTCTACAAAATGCGCCACCTAATGATCCATACAGACAATTCGACAGTGGCGTTTCTACATAAACAAGCAAGGCTCAACGAAGTTCGATGAACCTTTTGAACCTAAGCTTTCAACTGTTCGATTTAATACAAGATCTAAATCTACATGTCAGAGCAGTGCACATTCCCGAGCCAGAAATATACTAGCAGACGCTTCTCTCTCGGCCTCATCTACCATCACCGACAGAGTGGATGATCAACAGGAAATTTTGCACAGATAATCAAGCAATTAGGGCGCTAATAGACCTATTCGCCACGCGATTCAACAATCAGCTACCGACATTCGCGTGTCACCAGTCCCAGACCCCCAAGCTTGGGCAACGGACTCTAAGTCTATCATGGGAAGGTCTCTCAATGCGCACGCGTTTCCGCCGCCAGCCAGCAATAATACCCAAGTATTACAGAAAATCAGACAAACACAGAGCCTACAACTCACTTTGGTCAGCGCCCTACTGGTCGGCCAGGAACGTTATTTTCCATACTAATTCAAGAAATCGGTCAACCAACACTGGAGCTACCCAAGCGGCCAAACCTGTTAATTCATCCTCACACCAAACAAGTGCACGGAAACCCAGCAATGTTCCAACTACACGTATGGACTGTATACAAATGTGTTTAAACAAGAGAGGATATTCTGCCAGGGCGGCAAAAGCAGTCACGCTTTTGCCTTTACGTTACTCAACTCGTGAACTTGTACGACGACAAGTGGCACAGTTTCGAAATTATGCAACAAAGAAAGGGTTTACAGCAAGAGAGGCTTCACAACCTCAAGTGGCAGACTATTTGTGTTACCTACGCCAAAACAAACATTTAAAAGGTTCAACGATATCAACATATCTTGCCGCTTAGCTCTGTAATCACCATGAGAACGGGTGTCAAGTTGACAAGATCTCCAGAGTTACTGGCCTTACTACGAGCTTTCCGATTGGAGGACCAAAAGCGGAAGTTCCACGCCCCAGCTTGGGATCTGAATGTAGTGTTACAACACCTCACGAAAGTGAGGTCTATGAACCTTTGGAATCGACAAACTTTGAATTTCTCTCACAGAAAACATTGTTTCTGCTATCGCTAGCCACAGCAGCAAGAATGTCTGAAATTCACGCTCTGGATTACGAGAGGATACAGTTTGATGACAATCATAACACAGCACCCTCGGATTAAGATGGGATTTCATTGCAAAAATCAACTGCCAGGTCAACCAGACAGATTATTCCACATCCCGCTATCCTCTATTCTCGATCACAAGATACACAAGACCTATCACTGTGTCCGGTAAGAGCTTAAAAGTTTATTTATACTTACTGACGATCCAAAACAAGGAGAAGATTTCTCAAACGTTTATTCATCCCCTTATCGCCACTTAATCAAACAGAAGTGTCACGGACCACAATATCTATTTGGATAAGGACTGTCATTCTCCTCGTGCCTACAAGGCAGCAGGCTTGGACCCACCAACAGCATCAAATCCACATGAGATCAGGGCACTGGCCTCTACCCTCTTCTACACGGTAACTGTTCCTTGAACACGATTATGGAAGGATGCTATTGGAAATCTAACATGGTATTTGCTAATCACTACCTAAGAGACATCACTACAGAAGATGTCTCTGGCATTCACCATTTCGGACCACTGGTCCTCGCTCAGCAACTGACAGTCCCTGAGGGCGTTAAAATATTATCCTCACAAGATTAATATGTACTTTATACATACTCATCTAGCTTATAACTCTACGGAGTTTTAGGGCTATGTATATATGTTCAGCTTAAGTATTCAACCTTAAGCATATACTTGGATATAGTCATTTCAGTGCCTCTATCAGAGTCACCTATATATATATATATATAATTTATATGTATTGTTCAATATATTCATAATGTAATTCCCCTTTAATGGCTTTATATAAACCTATGGTTTTTTTATACAGGAAACATCCTAAATCTAAGCCTTCATGAAGTTCCCGTGAGGGGATATTACAGTATATCTATACAAAATCACTAATTATAAATCCAAAGTATTCTGTTACCCACCTCCTGCTCCGTAGGATGCTACAAAAAGAGCATGAGTCAGGATAAGGAAAAATATGTAATTTTAGAGTAAAATTGATATTTTATACTTATCCTGACTCATGAGGTTAGCCTCCTCCCATCCTCCCACATAACACTTTGGATTTCCTGTAAATTCAAGTGTTGGGCTCGCTAAATCAGGAGAGAGTGGAGCACATGGCCAGAGGGTGGCGACACCTTTTCCCGCCAGGGGAGACAAAGGGGAGCAACTCGTGGTGAGTACCAATTAGTGATTTTATTTTGAAGGGGGCTTCAAATAAGGAGATACAAGTGTTCCACTATGTTCGCAAGAAGAAGAAGACAAGCAAAAGAGCATGAGTCAGGATAAGTATAAAATATCAATTTTACTCTAAAAATTACATCTTTGTACACAGAGGAAGACCAGATGAGGGAGCGAGGCTATGACAAAACTCCTGATGTCAAACTGGAGATTCCAATTGGTAAATCTTTACTCATCTGTCCCCGTATATGACTCCCAAGCTAAGATTAGGCCCACAAACTCAATAATTATCATACTAGTTGAATAAAGTATTAATGAAATAGAGCATTTTATATGAGTGCCCATGTCATACTATGTTTACGACACGAGTGCTGAAATGTTGGTATTTCCCGAGCGAGAGCGAGGGTAATACCGATATTCAGGCACTCGTGTCGTAAACATAGTATGATATGTTCACGAATATTATATTCTATTTATTACCGAAGTCGTCAAATTGAGGAAGATAAACCCAAATCTACTGTCAAACATAGGTTGGCTACCCGCCATCGCCACCTGTAGAATGCAACGTCATTGAAGACATGTGATGTCATAGCATTGTTCATGACGTCACGTCACTATGACAAAGTGATATTTTGCCCTAGGGCATCGTATGAAAAATATTAACGCCAATTTTTTCGCCCTCATAGGTAATAATACAAAATATGACATGGCTGCATTATGTTGACAGTTGGTGATGAAGTGTGTGGATAGTGGCGATGTATGGCTTGGATTATAGTTGATGATGAAGGGCATGGATAGTGGTGATGTATGGCGTGGATTATAGTTGGTGATGAAGGGTGTGGATAGTGGTGATGTATGGCGTAGATTATAGTTGGTGATGAAGGGCATGGATAGTGGTGATGTATGGCATGGATTATAGTTGGTGATGAAGGGCATGGATAGTGGTGATGTATGGCGTGGATTATAGTTGGTGATGAAGGGCATGGATAGTGGTGATGTATGGCGTGGATTATAGTTGGTGATGAAGGGTGTGGATAGTGGTGATGTATGATGTGGATTATAGTTGGTGATGAAGGGCATGGATAGTGGTGATGTATGTTGTGGATTATAGTTGTTGATGAAGGGCATGGATAGTGGTGATGTATGGCATGGATTATAGTTGGTGATGAAGGGCATGGATAGTGGTGATGTATGTTGTGGATTATAGTTGGTGATGAAGGGTGTGGATAGTGGTGATGTATGATGTGGATTATAGTTGGTGATGAAGGGCATGGATAGTGGTGATGTATGTTGTGGATTATAGTTGTTGATGAAGGGCATGGATAGTGGTGATGTATTGCGTGGATTATAGTTGGTGATGAAGGGCATGGATAGTGGTGATGTATGTTGTGGATTATAGTTGTTGATGAAGGGCATGGATAGTGGTGATGTATGGCATGGATTATAGTTGGTGATGAAGGGCATGGATAGTGGTGATGTATGTTGTGGATTATAGTTGTTGATGAAGGGCATGGATAGTGGTGATGTATGGCATGGATTATAGTTGGTGATGAAGGGCATGGATAGTGGTGATGTATGGCGTGGATTATAGTTGGTGATGAAGGGTGTGGATAGTGGTGATGTATGATGTGGATTATAGTTGGTGATGAAGGGCATGGATAGTGGTGATGTATGTTGTGGATTATAGTTGTTGATGAAGGGCATGGATAGTGGTGATGTATTATGCGGATTATAGTTGGTGATGAAGGGCATGGATAGTGGTGATGTATGTTGTGGATTATAGTTGTTGATGAAGGGCATGGATAGTGGTGATGTATGGCATGGATTATAGTTGGTGATGAAGGGCATGGATAGTGGTGATGTATGATGTGGATTATAGTTGGTGATGAAGGGCATGGATATAGTGGTGATGTATGGCGGATTATAGTTGGTGATGAAGGGTGTGGATAGTGGTGATGTATGATGTGGATTATAGTTGGTGATGAAGGGTGTGGATAGTGGTGATGTATGATGTGGATTATAGTTGGTGATGAAGGGCATGGATAGTGGTGATGTATGTTGTGGATTATAGTTGTTGATGAAGGGCATGGATAGTGGTGATGTATGGCATGGATTATAGTTGGTGATGAAGGGCATGGATAGTGGTGATGTATGTTGTGGATTATAGTTGGTGATGAAGGGTGTGGATAGTGGTGATGTATGGCATGGATTATAGTTGGTGATGAAGGGCATGGATAGTGGTGATGTATGGCATGGATTATAGTTGGTGATGAAGGGCATGGATAGTGGTGATGTATGATGTGGATTATAGTTGGTGATGAAGGGCGTGGATAGTTGCTCTTGCTATGAACCACTGGTTTGCCTCTCACAGACACAGGTTTCAATATCTTCAAAGCTTTTGCACCATTATTTGCTTATGGAATGTGAAATATACATTGTTTCCAGCTGTCGATGGACATATTGTGAACTGGGTAGAGAGCAAGGCATCGTTTGGAGATGAGATGAGTCATCGAGGTTACCTGAAGGACCAGTTCTGGGCCTACTGGAATAGGTATGTTTATCATCTGCAGGAAACAATCAGCTTGTATGCTATTGCTGTTATTTATAATTCCTCAACTCAGTGTGCTGGTTCTTGTGAACAGGATCCTATTTTGATACAGCTTGTGATGAATATGCTGGACCTTAGTCATCCCTCTTCCCAGAGTGGGAGATGCAAGCAAGTATGGCCCTGTGATTTAACAATGTTTAAAGGACCCCAGTGCAATGTTTTGTTTGTTGGGACTACCAGAAACCTGTGATTGTGAGTTAAGATCTTGGATTCTCCAGTGTCTGGGTTTGTCTGCATCATGTCCATGTTCATGAGATTGATTCAAGTAATAAACATCTAAAACCTCCATTGCTTATGCCCAAACCTGCCACACTATCACTTAAATTCACTCACTCACTCACTCACTCACTCACACGAGTGGTACAGGCACTATAATTCACTTTGCACTGTTACACATCATAGGAGTGCATAATCTTATGAGCTGAATTGCCCTGATCATATTTCTTCTTCTGATTATTCCATTTTGAAACTGCTGTTACCCATATTTTACAGATTTGGCCCTGGCATGGTGATCTACTGGTTTGGATTTATTGAGGAACTGGATGTGAACCAGGACAAAGGAATCATTCTGAGAGACAGTTTCCCAGAAAACATTGTTAAAATGAATCCTCTGCTCAAACAGGAAGTCACAGGGCAGGGAAAGTGATGAGAGTTATCTCCCTTACAAAAATGTAACTGTGATGAATTGGTGTGACAATTTATTCTTATACACTGAATTGTTAAATTTGATGAAGTACAGAAATATAATGAAAATTTATTTGTCCAGATGTTCTGTAAATAAGCCCAAACAAGTTGACTTCACAACAAGGGGAGAAGGAAAGTTGTTTTGTAACATAACTGAAAACATACTTTGTAAATGAAGTGAAAATAGTATTTGCAAAACATTGGCGTTTTATTAATTCATATCACATGAACAATAATTCATATTACACTTTTTACAAATATGTACAAAATAACATAGAACTGGAGCTATATCCTTGTTTGTCAATATTAAACAAAACTTGATCAACTTCATTAGCTAGAAACAGCACATTACTTTTAGTGTTATACTGGTTTTTCCTTTTGTAAACAAAAATAATAATACTAAATATTGACATACCATATTCACCATAATAAGTGCTCTAAGTGCCCTGCTCTAATTGCTCTAATGAGATGTCCCACACAAACGTTCAGACCAACCTAAAAGTAATCTTTCTTTTAATTAAATGCATCCTGTTATAACTGTACATTTATGACAGTCTACATTTTTGGGGGTATAATGCAGATAGTTTCAGGAGGTGCAGGAGAGCAATATAATTGTCTGGTAACTGTTATTGAAAATCATTTATGTCTATTGACATTGAGAAGTTTGATCACAACTGCTTGATCTAGGCAAGAAATTTAACCCAGTTACTAACTGCCCCTTCAATATTCTTATTACCCAGGGCACATATTATGGTGAATATGACAATTGACAAGTGGGTCATTACTGTAAGTACTTCCTTCTCAGTGTATATTTAAGGATTTAAAATGACCGCTGTTGGCCAGACAAGACAAGGACATGGTTATTCAGACAGGATATACACTTGAAACTTTGAGATCTGAACATCAACAGGATCAGAGAAATTGTCACAATGTTGTGTTGACTGTAACGCAATCAGTTAGATATTTGACACGTATTCATTGATTGACTGTTCGTTGACACTTGAGATCATACATCCTGACATTCACACTTCTTCATATTTCTGGACACACAGTTTGATAGCATATCAATAAATTATCAGCCATACAAAACACAACCTTACAAATCAAGGTACAATCTGCATTAAAAACAGGAAGTGTAAATATTGGCCATGTTGTATAGAACTGTATGTTGGACCTGAACAAGGCATCCCCATCACTTCTTTCGTGATGCCCTCTTGGACGTCTTCTGTGACCTCAACCTTCCGGCAGGACTTGGAGACTTGCTGCCGGTACGGCGCGTCTTCTTCTTCTCCACCTCCTGGACATGCACGTGGTAGTTGGGGAACTGTTTAGCGTACTCCTCCAGGAGGGGCATGTACTGGAAGGTGGGGGTTGGAGTGGAGGACCTGTCCCCGGGGCTCAGTTCGTTGTCCGAGACCACCTCCTTCTGGACCAGGATGTAGGTGGTGTGGGAGACCAAGAACTTGGTGGCGTACTCGTTCTTGTGGAGGTCCAGATCTTTCACCAGACCTGGAATGAACACAAGCAAGAATATATGACATTACTCACAGCAAGTGTGCTCCAAATCTCCAAAGATTGTTTGAAAGATTATGCCAAAAAGCAACTAAACAATATTTTCTTAGATGTTATCTGAAACAAGATTATGTAGCTAAGATAAAGCTGTAAGTCAGTGAAGTTATTGATAATATAAAGCTCACTATAAATGCTCCATGGCTAGAAAATATCAGGATTGTTGCTAAGTGGACATGTCTTACTGCAAAATCAGATCCTGAAGTGGATGGTTTCTAACACTGATTTTAATATATTAATCAGAACTGGTTCTGAGAGACCAGTGATCATAATCGGTGTGAAGTGGGTTTGAGGTGAGGTGAAATTGGGTTTAACGTCGTGCTTGAGAATATTTCGCTCATATGACGACGTGCATGCGTGTGTATGTGTGGCTGCTTGTACTAGCCCAGACTTAAGCTGGTTTTATAGTGCTAGCCCACTGAGATACCATGCCGCAGTGAAGCATGAATACCCCACTCACACACATTATACTGACTCCGAGCCGACCAGTCCTTGTTGTACCCATTAATGCCGAGCGCCAGGCAGGGACCAACAAGTACTATATATCTTAACGTCTTTTGGTATGACGCGGTCGGGGAAGAATTGGGTTTGAACACCCTTTTGGTGATCCTGATAGACTAATGGGTGACTGGCACAAGTGTGAGTTTGATTTTACGCAGCTTTCAGCAATATTTCAGCAATATCATGGCAGGGGACACCAGAAACCAGAATATTGCTATTTTGAGTCCTATTCCAAATCATAAACTCACACACATTTGACATAAAATATTTCTGTATTGTGACAAGATATGTTTGCAAGTATGAAATTTTCAGTCAAAGGTACTTTATCAGGTCTGATTATATGCATCACAGCATAAGCATGAAAATATTCCTTGATCTTATAGTTCATGTGGAAAGATATTACACATCTTGTCGACAACAATTAACTTGCTGCCATATATCAACAGTTCCATGTAAATCCCATAAATATATGTACAGGTGCCCATTACAAATTGTTCCATGTAAATTAATGGCCTGTCATTGGTTCGATTGGTGTTAGGGAGATCTAAGCACTAAACTGAAATATGATCCTGACAGAAAAGGGTGAGTGTCGCTTAAAGGCTTGGTTATATAATTCAGTCTACTTGTATGTTCATGCATGCCGGTTAATCTCGTTGTGCTATGCTACCTCATGGCCTTGGCGACTGCCTAACAAGCACTTGTTTGTTGTCTTGCATGCACAGCGTTGTTGTGTTAGATAATAGCTTCATTGTCGGCAGATGTCGACAACGTGACAACGTTCATACAATCCACTTTAATGTTGTCAAATCAGAGGAGATTGTTTGCTATATTTCCCAGTAGTACAGGAAATAGAATTTGGTACTGATTTTCATGAAAGCAGCTTTTCCAATATGTCACACTCTGAACATGATGGATGGCCTTTACATGACGAAACAAGACAGGCACATACGTTGGTATTTTGCTCTTGATCAATTTGTTTTGTTTTGTTTCGTTTTTGGTCTTGCGAGTATGAAGGATCGTATTGGCTAAATATTGTGCGAAGTCCACTGTCACTGAAATGTGATATACTGTTGTACATAAATAACACTTGTTTGACAGAATCTGGTCTGGAGAAAGTGACTGAGTTTAGTGTTACGCCGCACTCAGCAATATTCCAGCTATATGGCGGCGGTCTGTAAATAATCGAGTCTGGACCAGACAATCCAGTGATCAACGACATGAGCATCGATCTGCGCAATTGGGAACCGATGACATGTGTCAACCAAGTCAGCGAGCCTGACCACCCGATCCCGTTAGTCGTCTCTTACGACAAGCATGGGTTACTGAAGATCAATATTCGAACCCGGACCTTCTCTGGTAGAATCTTGTCTGGAGTTCTAAGGATACGCCAAGTTGCATTTGTAGTTACATGCGAACATTTTGTTCATATTCGTCACCCAGAACGTGAACTTATGGAAGCGAATTAGAGCCACAGTCTAAACGTTTTTATGATATACGTAGAAAATATTTTCATCTTCGTAGATGATACTTACATTTACGTAGAAGATACTTGCATATACAAACATCTGCGTACAGTGTACTTTCATCTACGTAAAGTTACGTTCTTCCAAACAGAAGATACTTTCATATAGGTTGAAGATACAAACATCTACGTACAGTGTACTTTCATCTACGTAAAGTTACGTTCTTCGAAACAGAAGATACTTTCATATAGGTTGAAGATACAAACATCTACGTACAGTGTACTTTCATCTACGTAAAGTTACGTTCTTCCAAACAGAAGATACTTTCATATAGGTTGAAGATACAAACATCTACGTACAGTGTACTTTCATCTACGTAAAGTTACGTTCTTCCAAACAGAAGATACTTTCATATAGGTTGAAGATACAAACATCTACGTACAGTGTACTTTCATCTACGTACTTCGAAACAGAAGATACTTTCATATAGGTTGAAGATACAAACATCTACGTACAGTGTACTTTCATCTTCGTAGAGTTAAGTTCTTCCAAATAGAAGATACTTTCATTATCATATAGGATATAGTGGTGCGTATCCTTACTGAGACCGTCATATTGTGATGTGAAGTTACGACCGTAGCTTGATTTAGTTATATTGTTAGATGTTATTGTTGGAATTTATTATTGAGATACCAATTTGTTTGACTGAACAAACGATGGATATAATTTATTCGTTTTATTCACGTGTATATGAAAGTAACATCTTCGTAGATGTTAATGTTTAAAATGTGAGGATGTTAAAAAAGCACAGACTGTGGCACTAATAGACTTCCATATGAACATGACCCGAACCACCACGGGACTGCGTCTCCAATAACCCGATCATCAATCACCTATACAGTTGTATTTGCTTCTACCACTGAACCCTGACACTGCCTCAAGTAGAGACAAATATGCTGTCTGGCTCAGGAAAGCCTTGTGTTAACACATTAACCTTGTATTCATGCTTCTTAAGTGCTTCTAAATGGCAGACATGGATGTGTTTGAAGTTCCAATATTATTTCCAAACAGCGGAAGATATGGCATTCTCCGGGAGATTTTAACAATAGCAGATCGTCTATCTATTAACTCAAGGTCTAACAGTGAGCAACAAGAGCCTTGCCGCCAATGTGGTTGGTGTAAGTTGATATGGCGGTGGGGGTGCCGGAACGGAATAACAATAGACTCGCGATTTCATCTAATTCACGTGAGGCACGTAGACTTGCTAATGAGAACAGGAAATAGAAACTTAACTTAACCTTTTTCAAATTTTTAATTTTGTTTGTTGTTGTTGTCTTTGCCACCGCCCCTGGAGAATGCGTTCATTGGTGAGATGCTAGAAGACTTGGGCAGGTGATGAAAATCCATTTCTGGATTGCCTGGTATACAGTGAGTGAGTGAGTATAGTTTGACGTTGTTTGCAATATTTCAATATTGTTCCATACTTACATATTTACAGACCACTGTCATACAACTTGAGTGAGTGAGTGAAGTATTACGCCACTTTTAGCAATATTCCAGCAATATCACGGCGGGGGACACCAGAAATGGGCTTCACATTGTACCCATGTGGGAAATCGAACCCGGGTCTTCGGCATGACGAGCGAACACTTTAACCACTAGGCTACCCCACCGCCGCTCTGGTATACAGATCTATACCATAGTTGGAATATTGCTGATAACAAACAAACACAAATCGTGTTGTTAAAGCCAGTGAATGGGAACCAGTCTCAGTAACGTGGCGTGTAATTGCTGTCAAATGGCACAGTCTCAAGGTCTTCCCGAGGCAAGGGAGATAACTGATGGTGGGTTCTTATGCTTCAAGTTACTTGTTTCCCTGCTCCAGGTTCGAGTCTGTACAGGCCTTGTTGTATACAGCTCGAACGATACTGACTGGCGATAAATGACACCGACTTTTTTCAAAACTCACACTTTGATAAGGATCACAAAATTCACAACATTACGTAGATTTATAATTTGAAATTGTATCCATTTAAAACTGGATAAATAATAATATGGTAACCCCTCTTTAGGCAAACAGTCACTTTACTCTAACATTAAGCACTTGATACATGAGTAACTATAAAAATGGTTTTCATGCCACCAATCAACCATTTTGCAAATCATGGAACGAGTCATTGAGAAATTAACAACACCTGTCAATAGCAGGTATGGGATCCACAAGATGCCATGACATATTGAAACAAAGGAACCATGCTTACAATAAGCCTAGATATTTAAACCAAATTTGTCCCCATATCATAGTTTTCTGTTAAATCCATGATTTGATCATTAGCAAAGTGTGAATAGTATATTTGGATGCCTTCGTGCCCCAGTTCGAGTGGTGACGTCACAAAACTGTTCTTACCCGTAATCTCTACGTGTATGAAGTATATATGTTACAGTCAATGTGTAAAATTGGGCATTTTGTAAATTGCCTGATTCTCTCCTTCAATTTACAAATTGCCTGAAAGGTTAGTCGATTTATTTGACAGATTGTCAGTTTCAATGGTTTTGGGGAGGAGGCCCCTATGAAGTGAAACAATAGATTAATTAAGTCATGTTTATCACCCTCATCCATTGTGATTCTTGATGTTTGGTGCACCCTAGATTCTGCAGAGTGACAACGGAAGTGAGTTCACTGTAAAGGTCATCACACACACTGACACACATTTTACACATTGAGTCAATGACTGTAACATACAGTACAACCAGAAATTATTGAGAATTTAAGACTGTAATTTTTTTAAATTTTCACTCATTACTCGCGTATTAAATGTGAATATTAGCAGAACATAACTCCAGATTCAAAGACAGTTGAACAGTAAGTATTTTGTCAAGTCACCATGGGCAGCAATGCAGGCTTCAATGCGGCGGGGCATACTACTGATCAAAGAAGTTAGAAAGTCGTGGTCCATGCTGTCCCAATATCGGACC